AGAAATTCATTGCGTTACCTTATTACGAATAAGAACTATCTGATCTTTTAACTTAACTGGCAAAAAACTTAGCAGTCTCTCTTCTTGATTGCCGCTTACTGCGCCGAAAAGCAGCATTTTATGCTCAGTTGTTCGTTTATTTACTTTGAAATGGAAATAATCAATTCCATGTTGGGATCACATAGCAGAATAGTGGTTTCTCGTGAGCCTTACTGTGTTGACCATCAATTATGAACATGGTACTGCATTGCCGGTATCTGCTTATGGATCGTGAAAAACGGGAGGAATATGGTTCAGGTCATATATATGTAACTACACATCTGTAATCAATTGTTTCTCGTCAGTTCCGGCACTTTTATAATTAATGGATACTCGAGCAGCTCGAGTATTGCAAAGGTTCTTATGACAAACATTTTTTGGTTCGCTTGCACATCATTTCTTTTTTCTTTAACAAAGGCTTAGACTTTCCGGGCATAATTGTAAAAAAGGCAAAGCATAAAATAAACCACTGTAATTACTGTGAATACAGCCAAAAACTTTTGCTTTATGAAAAAAGAGTACTGTTAGCCGATGCAGTTATAGTAAGAATAAAGAAATGCTAGTAAGCTGTTTTGCTAACAGGTGTAATTTTTGTCCAGCATATTTTCCATATCTTATGCAGTTCCGGCAAAGTTAGGTGGAAAGCCAGAGCATGGAAAATACAGCTGGCAGACTGAAGCGTAGTGCCGATTCGTGCAAAATAACTGTTACTGAATTCGGAATTAAATCCAAGGAGTAAATAGTACAAGGTGTTGGGCAACCAACAAACGACCACCGCAGTAACCAGCGATACGAAGATCTGAATATGTTTACGCTCGCGTCGCATGTGCGCTTTATAGGCGATCACTTCCTTGATCGAACCACCTGTAATATAAACCATTCACCTAAACCTTACATAACTAAACATAAATCTTGTGCTTGGCATTTCATGTGCATTACATAAACCTTGTGCTTGACTGGATTATAAGAAATGTAATTATGCATTTCACGAGCTCATGGATCAATTAGCGATTTATACGGTCGCGGCACAATGTATTACCTTTATGACCTTTAGTTTTTCTTTGGTACCATACAAATACCAGAGCAGTATCAATCACGCTCATCAGTTGAGGGAAAATGAACTGTAAAAATTCCATGATAATCCACAGAACTGGCTGGTTTTTTGGATGAGAAACACAAACGGTTTCCAGCGGATCGGTGTGCACTACTCGATCCATCAGAATGTACAGAACATTACAAGAAATCAGCCACAACCACAAACCACAACAAATTATTATTCGGCGTCTGACTGTGTTTAATTTTCGATACAGAAACGGTTTGTATACAGAACAGCCACGGTCCAGACTAATCAAAAACACAGCGTTACACGAGGCGGTGACCGTCGTTCGTGTGACGATCAAAAACGGAACACACAAGCTGATACCGATAGCGCGATAGCCGAGGAAAGCGTTAACGACCACTTCGGGCAAATTACACAGCGCTATCAAAAGGTCACTGATGGATACATTGAGCAGTAAGTAATTAAAGGGGGTCCGAAGAAAGGGATTGTGTATAAAAGCTCCGATAAAGGTAAAATTAAAGAACCACACCAGTACGCATATTATGGCGATAATCGTTCCGTACACATAGGAAGATGTTGGCACACGCGTCTCACTGAAATCTCCCGCCGACTTATTGCTAATATTCATTATGTAATTGCAGACTGCATTTGACAAGAGATGGACTTTCCAGTAAATACCCAGATAATAAAAATTGCCAATAAGGTCTCCTCGTCCTAAAATAAAGCAATTATGTGCTTGATCTTCTCATCAGAAAAGCTGTTCTGCTATTTTGGGACATTACAGTCTGTATTTCCCAAAATACGGCAGATATTTACACTAATGGTGTGGTTCAATAATTTACATGTACAGAAGTTTCTAAACTTCGTGTAAAATATTGTGTCGGGCACGCCGTTAGGGAATTGAATGCTTGAATCTTTAAATTTCGCGTAACCGGATCGCCGAGGAGCCTATGCAAGTACTGTACATTAGCCGATGAGCACATCCAGAACTCTACAATATGGTAATATTATCACCCCGCGAACCACTCGTAATTACTACCATGCCACGTGGAGCTCAATATGTTGACTGTAACCTTTGCCTCTTAGGGTGAACAAAATGTGCGTTGGCGGCACGGGAAGTATTTAAGTACTGTATATCGCTTATCGCCACCGGTTAAACGTTATGCGCCCACCATGCACCGCATCACCAACTTTAGTACTCGCAGTTACTTACGTAAATCAACCTAATTCGTTCGTAAATGTTTTACCGATAAAGGGCGACATTACCGTAGACTGTGATTCTGCAGACCGACCCCATATTTCATAAGGTCACTAGCAATGTGCTTTCCATAATTCGTTGAATAAAATGGGAAGAATTATATTAATGCAACGGTTTTTCCATGCCATCTTTGTTTTGTACATGCAGAAACCGATATGAAAAATAGGACATAAAAATACAGCCATACAGAAATTTCATCTGTTTTCGTGAACGAACAAAATGATCCGGAAAAGTTTTCTGGATTGGCGAAGTTGGCACGAAGGTTTGTTTTTGCCGGTTCATAGCCTTTTATGTTCACAGTCGATGCACATTTGGTCCCTCATGACGGAACTACGATATGTATTTGCGAAATTCCGCTGGCTGGTTTTGCGGGAATTGATAAGCTGTTTACCAGTCGGCGTCAATTACCCTAATTGTACAAGCAAAAAGGAAAATCAGACCGTTCTCGCTATTGTAAGTAGAATAACTTGAGTCTTGAAGACCTTCCTGTTGTGGGTGCAGCACAAAATGATCCGTGAAATATATTCTGGTTTGGCGAAGAACACAAGATGTGCGCAGTCACTTTGCTAGGACAAGCAGTCTGAAGCAGATACGCTTTAATTGCAACATGGTTAAACCGTCAGTTGTACGAGAACCGAGGACCTACAGAGTACAGTAGCAGTAAGAGAAAGCGCTGCATCGATGACAAACCGTATAATGCTATCTGGAAAATTCCGAAAAGGATTAGAGCAAAGCAATAACGATGTGGAGTTCCCCTAACATTAGAAAATGTCAGGTCACTTTAATGTTTTCCTGACTTTTATCCGGTAAATTCACTGAACCGTCGCATGTTTATTTGACTTTAGTATGCCATCCAGTGCACTTTACAAAACAAGTGTCACCACATTACAGCTCACATCACATTACCGTTCATCAACTTCTTATAATAATTTAGGAATACAGTGGTACACTGTATAGTTTCTTCGTACATGTTTTAAAATTTTTGCGCTTTGTGCTGTCTATTTTTTCCTCTGCTGTATTTATATTTGGTGTTTGTAGATTTTAATAACTAGCGATTCCTTTTGTCTATAGTCATTAAACAGTTATAAATCTAAACCTGGTATATGGCTACAGTCGAATACATACAGAATAGTTATCGAATGGGTAACAAAACTTATTATAGAAGTAATAGTTGTACTTGTGTAGATGCCAGATGGGCATTTCACTATATATGACGCTCCATACACTTAACCGTTTTTCATGTTCTCTGTTCTCTGGTTGGTTCCGAAAACATTTGCTTGTGATGTTAGACCGGAAAGCTGCAGAGAACAAAACAACATATTGCGCAGCCCGAAAACATCATCACTATGAGGAAGCAGCTGTTGCGAATCCGTTAATGGGTTATATATTTGTCTGCAAATGTTTTCTTGAGGTATTCTACAGGATCTTTCGTGATTTCTCCAAATTGTATATTTGGAAATTAATTTGCTTGTCAGTATCCCTACTTTCCGTAAAATAATTATCCGCTTACAATTACCAATAAGTGTATTTTGTGCGCTTGTGCGTAAAGAAGACGTTCGAGTGCCTTGTTTATTCTCTGTTCTATTCATCCTTCTGCTGGCTGCGTGCTGCTCATTTCTTTGCCGGCAAACAAGCGTCATTAATTGCATCTGTCATGTTTTCGTCAGATACAATGTGCGTTTTGGCATCGATAAAACCTGCTGCTTTTTGAGCATATTTTGGCAGTTATTGCTCTCGTCTACGCGGAAAAGGTTAAAATCAATGAGAGCGGTTTTATTCCGCACGTTATATACGAGTAATTTGTCTCAACTGCGACCGTAATCGTTTGCCAGTGCCCTTTTGCCAGTCTTTAGTTAGTGACCTTGTCGGTACAGTGCTGTGCGTTGTTGTTGTTCCTCGCAAGCTTGTCAGTGTTGCAGCAAATCTCTGCAGTCTCAAAGTAGTCCCTTATTATCAGATGACAAAATAACAGGGTCCCAGCTGCAGATACATACGTGATTACATTAATCAAGGACGTTTGATTCGCACAATCCCGCCGAGGTCGTTTACGTCTCTTAAAGTTCGGTTTAACCAGTCAATTATTCTGGCAATCACGTTTCCGTATGTATCGGCTGGGTCTGGTATTTCAGCCCTGTTGATCATCCGAGTTCATCGATTATCGGATCGTGTTACTGCACTTCAAAAGTTAATTAACGTGCACTGTTTTTCAGTTGATCATTATACCAGATTCGCCAGATCATGTTGTATTTTTTGTCAAGTTTAAGCACAGAATGTGTCGACTAAACAAACGCATTGTCGTGTAGTTGCATGAATTCAGTGGCACAGAGAATGGCGTATCTGTTTATCCAGTTTTATTTGGAAGGTGATTGGGCACATGTTTACTATAACACCTACTCTATCCTTTTTTTCTTGTGTAGAGACACTTCATGCTTTTTGACGTGTAGTCGCTGTTTGTTTGGGATAATGTAGACACGCCCTGCTGAAATAACTCCATTCTATCGTTTCTGTGTGCGTCGCGCTCGGGGCACATTAATCATCCGCGTCCAGTTACATAAAATGCTAATAAAGACGCACCGGCATAATTTTGATTTTAATTTTACTAAACCGTATTCCGTAGCGTCGTTTGCAGGCTAAATGACTGAAAAAAGCACAATGATCCGCTCGTGGAGTATTGATAACGGCACTGATTCAAACGACAATATCAGCGTCCCGATCCAGAAATTAAACTGGGGTTTTGGTCCCATCTTTCTGATAACGGTCACTTGTGTCGCCTTCATATTGAACGTGGCGGTCCTGTTGTTATTCATCTGTGTACGCCGGCTGCGCTCGCTATTCGCACTGTATATCTGCGCACTTCTGCTGTCGAATGTCATATTCTGTGCGACGAACGACTGGATGATTGTGACCAATCAGCTGTTTGGCACATGGCCACTGAGCTATGCAGCGTGTACTCTGCACATGTACGCGGCGTGGGTGTGGACCGGAGTGACCATGCATCTGCACTTACTAATCACCATCAACCGCATCTGGGCGATCTCCTTCCCCCATTCCTACCGCAACCACCACAACATCAAATCAGCACTGATTATGATGGGGCTGATAACGGCGTACGTCCATATCATGTGCCTGCCGGGTGTCGTGCTGGATGCCCTGTATTACCGCGTTCCCGATGGCTGTAGTCTGAATACGGATAAAATGATTGTCTGGGATGCTGTTGTCATGATAGTAATATACGACGCTCCCATTGCAGTGATGGCTGGGGCGCTGCCGTTTTTATGGTATCAACAGCATCGTAAGCGACGATTGGTGTCGGTTACTCAAGCCAATGAGCTCACCCGCAAAGCGACGGCCGTGGCACATAGCTCGGCGCCGAATGAGGTTTTTGAGAAAGGTACCCGAGAGCGGCAAAGAAGTGGGCATCGAGGATTTGCTGTGCTGACCGCGTTGACCATTAGCGTAATTCTCAGCTGGACGCCGAACCAGATTTACTACACCATCGCGGTGTTTCGGGATGTGGATAACGCGGTGGTGCGGCAGTTTGCGTTTATTCTGTACTCTTTGCAAGCCATTGCGGATCCGGTGTTAATTGTGTTGACGTTCCAGGAGGCGAGTGCTGTTCTCAAGAGACTGACTTTGTGCGATACCAGTACCTGGAGGCCATGACGACGTTTTGTTGTTTAGCAGAGATTTGTAAAAACTGCTTGTATACGGCACTTTATAAAACGCGCGGTTTTATGTCTGTACATGATCTACTTGGTAAAAGCCCAATGTGCACTGATGGGGTCACCTTTCAATTTTGCACACCCGTAACACATACTCGACCTGGCACAAGCACAATAAACGTAGCCAAACGTATCCTGTCGCGACTTCCTGTTTTCGCCAACAGTGAGAAGCTTTTCAGAAGAATTCTGTGCGTATTAATTGACATCGCGGACTCACGGTGACAACTTAGTTCATAAACAGATATAAAATTGATGTCCGATCCCTCGCATAGGTCCGTCCGTAAAACAATTGATCATTTTCCACAGATTTGTGGAAGAACCTCGGCTTCCATAGTGTTATATGTCTTCAACTAAGTTTCAGAATCGTTGTTAATTTCCGCAACATTTCCACAACGTACGGAAACAGTTGATGCCTACTTGACGAGCAAAGCGTATTGTATGGATCTTTCTAATTAACTTATTCTTAAATAATAATAAACAGTGGTACGAACAAGAATGAAATGTTATGTGGTGTACTGTACAGTGTACAATAACAGTTTTAGTGGAACCACTAGCTTGTCTATACACATGCATTACACATGGGATCTCTATAATATTTTTGTCAATATGGTGTATAGGCTATTAACATTTAACAATATTTAAAATTGTTGGAATTTTAGCTCTAACTGTTTTCATGATTATTATACTCTTAGAAAGCAATCGATTCATTCGATTGTTGCGCTAGTATTCAAACACTTTGATACCGCAGATGCGGCTACAGGCACAAATTAATATTATAGAAAACAAAATAATAAGTCTATATGCTCTGATGCTGTTATTTGTCATAAAATAAATACGTGTTTATATAGAACGCTGCGTGGGGCAGCCCGTATTCAATTGATTAATTGATTTCTGACTGCGAGTTGTTAAGTCCGTACATGAGAAACCTCACGTATTCTATTCACGAAAAACGTCGAATATGCTAAGCAGGCTATTCAAATCACCAAGTTTCGTCAAATATCAGTAATCTGTCATGCCTTCGCCCAAAATAGCAAGTCGCAACCACAAAGATTAACAAATATGAGCCAATGTATCGACATTATTTTGCAGTCAAGGATTATAAACTCATGGCAAATGCTTCCGGTGTTTGTTGGGGCACGTTATATTAGACAGTCGCCAAGTACCATTTTTCATCGTAGGACAATAGTGTTTTCGCCGGTCTGCCGAACCGGAAAAATCTACGATAGCAGTGCACACGTGACACTCCAATGATCTGGTTCGTCTTCTTCCTGGTTGATATTATTGTCCTACAATTCAGTCACGCAAGTCTTACGTATCCTGCACTTGGATACGTATATAAGGAAAGGTTATCGACAGATCCATTTCTTCATCGCCCTAAAAGCCATGAAAAATCAAACTATCGTTGTGTTCCGTTTCGCGCCCGCGGCGGTTCATCTATTTTAGAAGCAGAGCCCCATTACGTGATTGTGCCCGTAACTACAAATACGGATAAAACGGCCAACCAGAATTGATTTACATCTTAAAAATTTTGTAAAGGATGAACCGGTCGTGGAGTTTCAACGATAGCGCACTGGATCGCAATTCCACCGCAACCACTAATAATGCTTGGTCGTTTGGCAGCATCTTCATAGTAGCAGTGACCTTTATCGCGTTTATCCTCAATTCCGCCGTGTTACTGTTGTTCATTTTAGTGCGGCAGCTGCGGTCGCTGTTTGCATTGTACATCTGCGCGCTACTAGTGGCCAATCTCGTATTCTGTATGACCAACGACTGGCTGATTGTCATCAACCAATTATACGTTGTCTGGCCGTTAAGCTATGCGACCTGTACGCTACATATGTACACCGCCTGGGTGTGGACCGGAGTGACCATGCACATGCATCTGCTTATCTCCATTAGCCGTGTCTGGGCCATCTCCTTTCCTCATTCTTACCGTCATCGCCACAATCTTTTTACTGCGCTGGCCATGATAACCGGAATGATACTGTATGTCCATATTGTCTCGCTGCCCGGCGTCATACTGGATGCCGCGTACTTTCGACCTTCAGGCGGAAGTTGCCGAGTAAATACCGATGTATTATTTGTATGGGAAGCCATCGAGATGCTGCTCATTTACGATGTCCCGATCGCCGCGATAGCCGCCGCGTTGCCCGTGTTGTGGTACCAGGAACGGAGAAGAAAGGTGGGAAGAAAGATTGCAGCAGCCGCACTACCGGTGCTGTGGTATCAGGAATTTAAGAGAAGAAAGCTGGGAAATTCGGTTGCAACGGTATCGCCGACAAACGAAGTAAGTTTCCGACAGTTAAACACGAGTCATGCAAGTCCATCTGGAATTCCTAACAGTAGTGTTGGAAACGACAAAGAAAAACGGGCGCGCGATAGTCATCGAGGATTTGCTGTTTTGACGGCACTGACTATCAGCATCATAGTGTCGTGGACGCCCAACCAAGTGTATTATACAATCGCAGTGTTTCAAGATATTGACAGTGCCGTAGTTCGGCAAGTCGCTTTCGCTTTGTATTCGCTGCAAGCCGTTGCCGATCCCGTGCTGATTGTGCTGACCTTTAAGGACGCTAGTGAATTTATAAAGAGATTGTTTGGCTGCGCTTGACACCCTGATACTAACACAATATAACGTGATGTACTCTATATGCGAAACGCATTTTTAATCTCATTAATTTTGTTTTTGTTGTTGTAGAACGTACTCGCGTATGTTGAAACAATAACTGTCTGAAATGAACGAAACATATTAATTCTCTCTGAAGCTAGCTGAAGCTAGCCATACCCTCACGTACGTACCTGTCATGTAGTAAATATGAATTTTTTTTTACATGTACAGAGTACTGCACTTAATTCATTGTTAACAAAATCACAGCAAAGCTGCCAAGAAAAACAGCAACGTAACAACTGCGTAAATATGAATGTACGTGCATTTATTGGGCAGCCTCATTGCTTGAATTGAGGGTGACGACAACTAAAAAATTCATCTTGTTTACATGATTTGACTGTTTCTGTGCAAAAGAATCCGGATGACGTTATTAACATTGTGTTGATCTTAATAAATTCAATATTTTAAACAACATAGCGCGCGTAATATCAAAATTAATTTTCGGTAGTGGACTGAGTCTACCTGCGTCACACATATTTGTTTCGTGGTTAGTTGGTTAGCGGTACAACAAGAATCAAACCGCCAAATGTGATGTAAAATTGATGTCTTTTTCTCTTTTCCTTCGATATGCTCCGGACAAACAGATCCAGAGTAGATGGAATAAATTTGCGAATAATACTCGTAGTGCTGTGGGCTGAACTATAACCGTCGGTAGCATAATTACCTATATTATATAGATATACGTACAGAGTATGTCACGTACAGAATATTAACAGACTGCGCATGTGCCAAATGGGGAATACGCTCACGGGAAAACATGGGAAAACTTTGAGATTATGCCGGTGCAACGACGTGCCAATTCGAACGTCCTAAAACCTTTTTTCTGGTACAGGTACAGAAAGATTGCCCTTTTTTTCTTTTTTTGTAGTTCTGTTACTGATCAAATAAAAATGGCAAGATAAACAGGTGCCAATAAATCTACGGCTGCAAGTTTTATATACGTAATTTCCAAATTGTCCAGCAAGTAAATTTAGGCGGTGAATATAATACAACTTGCTACGATGCTGTTTTTCTCTGGGCTTGAAATACTCGTACTTTCGTATTTCTGTTGTACTGCGAGACGGAGTACGAAAAAACTCATGTACACTATAACCGATGCAAAAATGTAGTAATTAGCCATTGTATTTATTTATAACAGGTATATAGTGGGAAAGTGGCGCAAGGCAAAGCGGCTGGCTCTAATTATCGCACAAAAATTCTGCGTAGCTCCGGTATAGCAGCTCGGTACACAATCTGATTAAACAAACAACTGAAATACTGCAAACAAGTAAGGGTTCTACTAACTTCCAAAATACCGTAGGAGCTATTAAAGCTATTCACCACGTAATAGATACAGTTAGGTAACCAGCAAACCGTAATAGATGTTACTAAAAGGAAGAATATCCACAAATTCTTGCGCTCGCGCAGTAGGGTAATGTTGGGAACGATCGGAATATGGCTTGAATGATGCTGTACTGCTGACGTCAGATTAGCGATTGTAGTTTGGGGTGTAGCTATACAAATGTAAATGTTAATTGTGATATACTCGAAAAATATTACAGCACTTACGTTTTCTGCCGTGTTTCGAGAACCACGCAAAGGTCACCGCAGTATTTAACAAGATAATGCACTGTGGACAGAGAAAGAGAACAAATTGTAGAACATTCGAGAAGGTCGGTTGGGCCGCCCTGTGCGTTACGCAATCTATTTCCGTATCGTTTGTGTACCACAGCCGGTCCATTGCGACATACGGGACGTTAATAACGATTAACCATATCCACATGACGACACATTTAATAACCACTATTTTGACTTTGCGATTGTTTCGGTGCCAGAATGGCCAGAGAACAGACAAGACACGGTCCACACTGATCAGTAACACCGCGTTGCATGAGGCCGAGACGGTGGTACGACTGATGACCAGATGTACCGGACAGTATGACTGCGCGACAATGGAATATCCAATAAACATGGAGATGACACTGGGCAGCATATTACACACGGCCAACAGAATATCACTGGCTGATAAATTCAACAAATAATAATTAAACGGCGATCGCAGTGACGAGTGTCGCAGAAACGATACGATGAAGATTATATTCAATACAACTGTGATGACGCATATTATGGCAATAACGCTCGCGTACATGTATGTTCCCGTTGACACGGGCTGCTGAATTGCGGTGGTCGTATTGGTAATGAATGTCCTGTTACTATGCATGAGGATGGAAAAAAGCCGCATATTAACGAGCAAAATTATATGTCGCAGTTTATTGTTTAGTCCACTGCGAGATATAATGTGCCAGATGTAATCTGCTGAGATCTACATACTAAAATTTCTCTAGCAATAAGATGGAAATCATGCGAAGGCGCAATTTCAACAGCATGTTTTTTTGACATTGAGAGCTGTAGTTAACGTTCAATGAATAAGTACATATGCAAGGGGTGTAAACACGGATCCAACGAATAAACGTTGTAATTATGAGTTTTACGCTAGTGTGTTTGTTTTTACACACTATTGACTACCAGCCTGGTTTCGATGGGATGAAAGAAACATCTATACTACGGAATATACTACGTAGTTTAACGAATTTGACAAGCACTTGTACAATTTGTTCTAACTGCAGATGTCCAATGTGTAAATTTGACTAACTACAGAGTATATAAGTATCCGTATGGCGGGTTTATGTTTTACTTGTACAGATGTTTTTATGTATGCATCTGAATCTGTAATGCAATACCCGGTATTACAGTTTTAGCAGCAGTGAGTAACAAAAAAGTGAAAGCAAGCATCAAATAGCCCACCACGAAAAATTAGGTAAATAGGTGACAGTTATTGAAGTAAGAATGTTGTCTGGGAAAAGATTCACGGTGTTGACAAACTGATTTTGGAAATGGAATTAAGTTTTTTTGCTAACAGCATCTAAATCTTGACACCGTCTTCACAAGTGAAATTCTTCTCGTCGATTCTCAGATCGGCCATAGCGTCCGCTTTCATGGTCTTGTATTCCGCTGATGTACAAGTATATTTTCGTTCGCGAAGTTCCTTCGAGTTCTCCTTGAAATCGGTTGCGTCTTCAAAAATCTTGATGTGCACTTTCTTGATTTTTCCTTCTTTGACCAATGCCGGGAATTCAATTAGTGAGAAAACACTGTAAAGGTCAAGGTCAAAGTTTTTGTAAAGATACACAGCAAATTAAAAGGACACTTAAGCTTCGCTTACTCTCCGTTGAAATTGCCCTTGAAATTGCCGGCTTTGTTCAGGACCGTTATCAATTCTCCATCGACTTGTAGAGCGATCTACAATAATCAAGGATTTGACGGTCTGAAGAATATACACGGATGGATGTTACTAGCGTCCATTTAGTCGTCCTTACATTTTTGCTACCGTACGACCACAGCGCTCGGAGAAAGTGCATGCCATCGATTTTCAATCCCGGCCATCGGGTGCCGCCTATTTCCCAGTTGGTATTTTTATGGCAATCCAGAGCGTTTTTCGGATAGTTCTTGTCGCCTTCTTTTTTGTTGAATGCCACCTCCAAATAGTTCCCGAGGGGAGTGTTTTCCAGCCGCATACAGCCGCTCTTGTTATCAATATAGTCTTGCGAGTTAGGGGTAGTAAGACCGGACCACAAGCACAACTACAAAAAAGTAGCTTTCAATGGTTGCCTGTAATCCAGGTCACCGTCAAAAAAGTTTCTTCACGTTTTAATTGTCGTTGCTTTTCTAGATTAACCACAACGCTATGTAATAGTTTAGCTGCGTAATAGTGGTACCTACTGTCTGTATTTGTTTGTGCTTAGGAAATCTTTAGAATATCAAAATTATTTATGATGACCTACAGTAGACTTACCTTCTTGGTACCAATGAAGTTGGCCACTTGGACGTATTTCTCCAGACCGACTTCCTTCATATCTGCTTCGCTGAAAAAGCACTGTTGTGCCGGATCTTTAGTGTTCTTCAGCTTATTCTCAATCAGCTTCTCCAGAACCTTTGGGATTTCGGCCTTGAGAGCCTCTCTAAAGACGTGCATGGGATAAAGGTCATATGCAACAGTCTACTATACAGGTGAACAAATGACAAATCTTTGTTTAAATTGGAATCCAAACCACTATTTTATACGTTTCACACAACCATTGCATTATAAACCAAATTTCGGTTCACACAACCAATGCTTTAGAGACACACAATCGTACACTTCGTAGTGCAGAAGCATATCAACATCGCACTTACGCGTCGCAGGCACTAGCCGGTGCCGGAGTGGTAATCGTCCTAAGACTGATCGGGGTGTTGTTCAGCTCCTTGGTCTTGGATGGCATTGTGCACTTGGTGGCCTTGGCCAGAACCGGCTTGCTAACGAAGTACCCTTTGTTCCCGTCATAGGTCAACACGTGTGCCGCATCACACCACCATGCCGAGGCACAGAGAAAGGCCACCACCAAAACGCACCGCATTGTTGCAGGTTACCGTCGGAGCACAGGGACAGAAACCCAAAAGGTCCAAGAAAACTACCGCGGAGAATTGACGGAATGGGGCGCGATATTTATACTTTTCCTGCCATGGTGGCCATCCAGTCCGTTTTGTTGATCTTACCGAGAACTGCGCAACCCGCACAATATAGTGGAATTTTGTCGTAGATCAACTCACGTGTCAACATTATCAGCATTTCTAGCGGTGTGGTTTCTTAATTTGAAGAACAAAACACTTAGCGCGTCTCGCTTGATTAAATTAGCTAGCCGCAGCAGACGGAGGCCTGCCGTATTTGCTGCGAAATTGTGATAGTATTCTTAAAATATTTTTTGTCTCATGAGCAAATGTGTAAACGGCGACCCTGCGTTTTTGCCGGTAACCGATAAAACTGTATCTATTTCAGATACGAGTACCCACAAAATTGCGGAAAGTGCAAATTAAGTAGGCAAGTGCGGAAAATGCAACTTTTTGGCAACTGGCAAGTGGACGCTCCGATTATCTGCAATCGTCGCCCCCTGTGCATGCATATTGACGGCAGCAGTTAACAATCATGTCATGATTAAAAATTTGTACCTAATTGTACTGTTGAAGTGCTGCTTTAGTTTCTTGTTTTACCCATTTGAAATTTGATTAAATCATAATTCAAGTCACTGGCAGAATTACGGTTATCTCCTAAATCCAAACGTCAGATCGGTTTCAGAACCATTCCAACCGCCGCCATTTTGCGAATTTGGTAAATAACATTTTTCATCATGTGCAATATTCACCAATTTAGTATAAAAGTAATTTCATAAAGAGGGCAGACTGGAACTGATACATATGGCTTAGATCTTCCAAGGCAAAACCCTTGCGGCGCCGCTAAGAGGTTAGCATAACGAGTATTGTGAGCTATTTTACTAAAGGTCAAGCAGGGATTACCTATACAACACGTACGCATCGCAACTGAGGTAAAGTCATCATATCATTGTTTATGCCAAAGATCCTGATTTCATAGATAAAATGACATTTGCGTTCAGTCTCCTTCGATAGTGCTGCCGAAAACTCCAAACGTCTCACAGAATTTTCGAAAGCTATATGCAGTACTAGTGGACACTGGACACTTGACAGATAGCACGCAGTTTCATATTTGGTTTACGGAGGACACCAGCTTTTCGCAAAGTGAAGGTCCTTCACCATAGGAGTATTCCTATTTAGTAATGTCACCACTTTTATCGAACTTTATTACTGTACAATCAGCTAAAAACAATATAGCTGCATGTATCTCGGTATCACCTGTAGTTAGCAGGGCTGCCCTTACGAAAACGATCACCAGTGTGTTATACTGCGAAACATGATGAACCGAAGAAATTTACTTTTCCCAGTTAATATTTTGATACAAAATAATGAAAATATCAACAACTATGCATAGCTGTTGTAGTTGTCATTCATTATTCTTTCACTCACATAACCAAGTGAATTTCAGAAGTTTTGCAAATTCTGTAATGGAATGATACAAATAAATGATTCTGTAAGCTTCGGCACACCGGACTAATATGTTAGATAGCGGTGAAAATACGCATGATGCATAAATATTCTGCTTGTCGATTTGTTGTTGGGACGACGCGAGTATAGCTGGCAAGCTGCGCATAAATGATAACTGACTGTGCTGTGTATATGCAAACCTGGATTGATCACATAAACAATCTACATTTAAAGTATCTTTTATTGGGCAAAGACCACCAATGTCACAAAAATTGCATTTGCGTAATACTACTTAAAATGATACAAAATGAAATGAACTAGAATGAGAATGAAACTACGATACAAGAATGAAATTCAAAATGATACAAAATCTACATTTTAATTTTAAAACTTCTTGTGCAAGTTCACTGTTATTAATGACTTACGCCAGTTTATTTTTTTCAGTTCTCATGGCCTAGATATAGTGTATGCTAGCTGTAGTAAATCACTCATCGCCCGACGAAACTGTTTTGCAACTTGTTGAATAAACAGCACCGTACCTGTCATCAAAACCGCTGCAAAACACTAGTTGATGTCCACAGTCAAAATAGTAATGCAACAGCCAGCAAGCATTTATCTAGCAGAATCGCTCCGTGGAAAAGGCGTATATTACTATCTTACTCTACTTATTAATTACATAATCCAGAATTAGTATATTTTGGCTTGAATCCTTAATAACAAAAAAAATTTTAGAGACCGTATAACCAAGGTTGCGTTTTAGCGGGTACGAGTACAATCTTTCTGTTTTACCTACACTAAAATAAATAATTATGTCATACTCGTAACGAATTTATTTATTCTCAGAATAGAGGACGGCAGCATAAGTAAAGTATTTACGTGTGCGATATAAATAATACTTACAAGTTCGCCTCCGTAAATTAACCGACACATGAGAAATAAAGAAATTCTTATGCATGTGGTTATCTAGAAAGCAGCACCAAGTGTCTACAATCGACGTATTACGGTACGAGTGCTGGTTTCCAGTCATTGCAAAGTCTAAGACGAATGCAGTTTTACTACAATTTCGATAAACCTAATATGTCACACAATTTCCCCCAGAAAATGGCAGAATAGTACTGTCCGTAATCTGCACTTGGCACTAAATTATTAATCTTGCAAAGTTCCCACAAATTCGGCTTTGCGACATTTGATAGTCCAGCCGATTGCGTTCATCACAATTTACTCAGAGATACGTCTTGGAATTGGTCGTTTGCCGGGGAGAATGCCGGATTAGCATGGCCGTTCTTGGCATCTGGATTAACCACGACGGTAAGCGGCGGATTAGACGGGGATTTCGGCGGTGTGGCGGTCGGTGCACTGCTGGGATTGGCTATTATAATGGTTCTTCCGCTTCGAAATAATCGTCTACAGAAAATATAAATATATTTGGTGTTTCTGTGTCCAGTAAATCCTGGCTAAATTATGTTAGGTCTTTAAAATCAAAAACAGTTTCCTTTTTAGTAAAGGTCGTTCAAAACAACAAAGCCAGTATTCAATATTGGCATTGTACTATGGAATAGTTAAGTAAGTACCTGTTTGTACATTGCAATCAACTTTTAATGACTACCTAGTTGAATGCATTGTACGGATAATACATATTATTGTAAATACTGTGAAACTTTACAAAATATACACCTTTTAAGATTGAAAATGTATACTGTAACGGAGACGCAACTTACGTGGCCCGTGTTATGGACAAAATCACCAAAACCAGAAGGATGACGGCGCCGGCGATCGGTAATATGATTGCCGCTGGAAGCCAATGCTAAAGAGAAAGGTAAATTATAATAATATTAAGTTATTTTTCTTGTACAGAACCGGTATTTACACTGATGTGTACATCTCGGTATAAAAATTGCAGTTTGCTCGGATTATACTTATTGATGCTTGCATAGGACGGCTAAGCACTTATACAACACCTGCCGATTAAACCGCATAACCTGCAATTGACCATCTTGATCCCGTTACGTTAGTACACCAGTTATGCTAATGCGCACAAAATCGTAATTTTATCAACTTGAATATGGCTGTAAATGAGCGCAGGGAAACTCAATAGCCGGCGCACATATTTCCATTGTGTGATAATCAGGAAAAAATTAAAAATACGAGTAATTATGTATAATACTAGCGTTTGCCACTCGACATCCATCTGGAATAGTGACAGAATAACAGGAAAAAATACTATGTTGTCGACATCGTGATTTTGAAAAAAATTTAGCGCTTAAAACTAATTAATCCACTTTGCAGGTAATCGGCTACAGCTCCCGTAGTTAACAATGCATAATTAAAAAAATAGGTAACTGGCTGATCGGGCCAGTTCTCTTTCAGATACAGACGAACACACAGCGAAATTTCTTTTGCGTTACATGCCACTGCATATGGGACAGAATTAACGATAAGGTGTACGATATCTGTGTACTGCACATTATGCGATTTCTTGTCTGGCGGATAAAAATAGGAATTTTACCGGCATCGTTGATCACACCTACCACACCTAGTATGGACCTTACCGGCTCCTGGTTTGTATGAAATACGACGTCGTAGATATTGGCATCGACGTCCGTACTTGTGGAAGGGACAACATTTCGTTGTGGTGAAAAAATATTAGTAAATCCCGCAGTGGAAGAAAGGTCAGAAAATGTTGGACTGATAGTAAATCCCGTATCCGTGGCCATTCAGAAAGCGTTTGTGATAAACTTGGTTCGTCTTAAAACTTCAGTGATGTTATAATTAAATTGAAGCAGTACAAAGTGTGATTACGAAATGTATTAAACAGTTCAATTGGCAAACGATGTCATTAAAACGCAATACGGCATGCAGATATCCCGCACTTTATTTTTCAAGTGTCCCCCGCTGCACACACTAATACCGACCAAAAAAATCTAATAAACCACACCGTACTTTAAATATCTTGCTTGCATAATTGCGTACAGAAACGCGAACATATACACAGCTGGCCAATATGTGAAGTTTGTATATTTGCACATAGAGCGCGTTTGCTGACAGCTGATTATGAGCATTCCAAACTCGAGTCGCTGACAAACTCGTGTCATTGGCACTTTTTTCCCTGCATATACTTATTATACACACTGCATCATCCATCAAGTTTTGGTCAAAGCAACTGACAGTTGGTCAGACAACGTACCTTCGCACCCGGCTTAGAAGGATAGCGGTGTATTGTAATTGTGTTAGATCGCTCAGGAAAACTGATCTCTCCAATTATTATTATTCGAATGCCCATACACAAAATGTACAGAGTGTACTGTCGATTTATGATAACTGTACCGATCAGATTACTGCATGCAGTGTAGTACCGCTGACAATAGCAGGCATTCTGCTGACTGGACACTCAACAGAATCGACTGTTTGCTGCAGGTCGACAACGTACGAATTATCTTCAATCGCGGCATTATCAAATAGTCGTCATAATTTTCCTTTTTTCAAACGTGCTGTTTATTGTCTAATCGCCACAATTTTTCGAAATATTATCGTTAATTTTGAAAAATAATTTTCTGTAGTACTTCTGTAAAGTGCGCCACAAAGTGCAGTAATTAGAGAATTCAAAAATGTTTCATCAAAATTATTCCGATTTGGTGAAATTCATTATTCGATCAAAACCATATTTGATTTCCCGGAAATCTCGCATTTCGTAATAATGCCTCATAACAAGGAAGGTTCTGAGCAAAAACAACAAAATAACAGCTTAAAATACTGCAACCAACAAAAAAAAAGACTTTGGTTCAAAACACTAAGTTCTGGTTTCTGTGAAAAACGTTGAAAGGTACAATCGATACACAAAGCATCGTAAACATGAAACAGTAAAAGTTTCAGAATCCTTCTACGCGTACTGATTTCCGTTCTTTACGTTTCTTCGGAGCAGGAGTTTCCGGTAGAGAATCCCTGATAACCACATCATTGGTATCCTGCTGGGTGGAAGTGGCCAAGGTGCCATCTCGCTGTACGAAGCGGGAACATCCGCGACTACCGATTCCTGGAGGGCTGATATTCAATGCTCGATTGACGCTCGTATCCAACTACAAATAGGTATTAAACACTCATACAAAATGAAAAAAATATAATTTAACGACAATCTTGTTCATTTTCCTTTCATCCATTTTTCAGTTTTGTTCTAACGGATAATCATACGCAGTTCTAGGCATTCACATGGAAAAGGCGGTTAACTTACCGCATTTTTCTCGGGGTTCCGAGGGAAACAACGGCGGTGGCGAGATGTTCCTCTGAATCTCCGCTTGCTCGAGGTTTTCCGCTCGTTCTAGCAGCGTTTTCCTCAGTTCATCTTCTTCCGCCTTCGATTTTCGACCGCGACCCTTCTTCAACACCGGGAGGATCATCTTGTTTTCCGCTTTGGGCAGTAAACCGGCATCGGAGATCGTCTCGTGGTAACAGTGCACCGCAATTCGATGGGCGATGCGATTTGTCAGCGCCATTTCCCGAAAGCGCTCCTTTCGCTTCAGTGCATCTGGCAGTTCGGCGGGCTTTCGACCAGGAGCATAATCCTCCGTTACGAAAACGAAACGATTCAGATTCGCTGTGTGCACCTGTCTTTTTACCGTGCTACAAAAAAACGACATAACTTGTTTCGGTAACTTTTTGATTTTTTTTGCTATTTCATAATTATCTTTTTAAGCTAGGTATTTATAGGCATTCTTTGTACGAGTGCGGTTATTATCTAAATTTTTGTTTACTTTTTGGTGTTACTGGTTAACTATAAGGTACTTATTGTTACTGAATAACCAGTCGTTCCAGTTATCATTATCGTAATATGTCAGCCCAATCTTAAACAAATTAGGTCGATTCTTTAAGTACAACACAAAATACAGTAAACAATAAGATAAATCTACAATCGCGGGTAGAAGGCAGATATTACAAGAAAAAGTCAAGCTAGCGAAATTTATAAGAAAATTTAGTAAAAATGAGAACTACAACAAAAACCCTACTTTTACTCACCCTAAGGCCATCTGGCACCGCGGACAAATCTCATCCGGCTTCTCTATATGATCGACACTCTCGCGCGGCACACAGCGCAGACACTCCGGATGCGGTTTCCTCTTATGCGCCGTCGCGCACATTTCTCGCAGCTCACCCAGTCTCTCGGAAATCTTTGCCTCCTCGCCCGGCTGGAAGACTCGCAGATAGGATTTGGTGGTGGGATCGGAGACCCGGCCACGGGCCTGCCGCAACCAACCCACCCACCGCTCACAATCCACGTCATCCAGCTGCCAATCGAAGTGCACACTGGAGAAGGCCTTGGTTCCGAATTGATTCGTATTGTAGTCCGTGGCCGAGACCACTTCGAATGACTGCACGAATAGATCACCACAGGCGGATACCGTGGCCACGGTGAAGCCGTCGGCGTCCAGATGCCCTATCGGCGTCATGCCGATGATGGGTTTCCGCAGGCGCTCTTGTGTGGTGAAATCACAGTAAACATTAGAAAGCGGCAAGTGTTCAACCTGCAAAAAGTACAAAATATACAACAATTACAAGCCGATGTGCCAATGCGCCACAAACATTCAGAACCGGAAAGCAAGATGTTATTATTTTACAACTCACACAGCTTAATAATTAAGATATAATAATTTGTTAACATACCTAATGGTATGTGCAATGAGCGTTATTTGTTTACTACTCGTATCTTCGTTGGTACATCCCAAGTAACGCTGACCGTGAGCTACTACGACAGATGCATGTTTTCAAAAACTTTATGTCCAAATTATTACGTTCGTTGCCTCGCATAATCGAGCACTGTTAGGTCTCAAAACTGATACTACTTTTTTCACCTAATATTATAGAATAATTTTGATACAGTATACGATGACTGATTGTGACACGACCAGGTATGTTTCAGTTTACCAATTGTCGCGGTGTGGCAGTACAAAACGGCAAACTGGCAATGGATACCGGAAGATGCTCCGGGACGGTCAGTTCATAACAGACACATGTCTGTGCCATTTGCGCACCGGTGACAACAGCATCGGATACGGTCGTAGCTTTCGCTAAATGCGACAAATACATTGTGGGAGTGGGTGCCGGCGATGGACACCGCAACACGGGTAGCTTCGGATACCGTTGATCAACCACCAGAAGCTCCCTTGTGGATGCCACCACATGGTAGAACGAGTGATCTCCTGAAATAAAACATACAACATTTTCAGCAACGGAGTACGAATCAACAAATGCGAGTGCAAAACATAAGAATGATGAGATATATCAAGTAAAACCGCTTTCTCATGGATAAAAACAAAAAAGGGATAAAAAATGTTAAAATTCTTGTGAAAAGCTAAAAGGGGTAAATTATTGAGTAAATCAAATGACCAATCTGAGAAAAAATTAAAAGAGTGAAATATCGTTACCTCTCAGAGTTTGTGCCGCAACGATGTCATTTTCCACTCCAGTCGTGTACAATCCGCGCGTCATCAGCACGGTCATCGCCGCTCGCCCGGTGGTCAGTCTCCGGTCAAACAACTCCACGGCGGCGTTGGTCATCACACCGAACTCCCGGCCACCGCTGCCGAAATAACATCCAATCCACTGATGCCGCGCTGCTCGCCGGAAGGCCATCTCGCTGATGTTCATTTCGAAGATGTGCGTCGGCATCTCCACATCCCACAGCGTCACGTAGCCGTTCTGGGTCCCCGTCAGAAATTCGCCCACTACGTAGGGGCTGCTGGCGATGTGCGAGAATGCGGTGAAGTCGTCGGGGCGTTGCAGGACGGTCTTATACGTCAGCTCCGCGGTGTCGATGTTCTGTTGTTGGAGGATCGAACAGTTGGTAGCATGCCGAATTCCAATCAAGCCGTAATCGAAGTCTGGAGATTGCTAATAAAATTAATCTCACTGAAATCCTAATTCTATGTTTCAGTTATCAAAATGTTATAACAAAAAATACTTTACAGAAAATCTGGGTCGAAAACTCGAAATAACAATAAAACGAAGGATATTTCGCTTTTGTTACAATAATAAAAGGCAATCACAGAGAAACTGGTTAAAACCTCAATCAACGTTTTACAACAAAACGACGAGGCGTAATGTTAAGAAAACAAAATAAAATAAAAAATGCCGTTATAAAACACAATCTCGAACGTGAAGAGCAGTGAGTTCGAATTAATATACCGAGAACATTAATAAACCAAATGGGTTAACAAAAAAATGCAACAAATTTTCTAGATCGTTGAATGGCCGAAAAATTATCCGTCGTATACTACCGTATTCTGCATAATATTAATGAAAACTTGATAAACTATTCTAAATAGCATGAAAAATTCTAAGCGTAAGATACCCACCTGCGATACAATCTGGTAAACGACATCCTCCGTAACAGTCTCCTGAGCCGCACCGGCCTCAACCACCCGGCTTCCCGTCCGGCTGTCGCTGATCGTCACCGGAAGACACTGCACACCCGTCAGTGTCCCCTTGGGACTGATGACAAACCCCCGTTCCGGGGTAAAACTGAGATAGCTCAGCGCTCCACCGGAGAAATACCAATTTACGGGAGAATTAATGTGTCCAACGCGCGGGAGGCCGGTCTTCACCGCTGCGCGCCGGCCTTCATCCTTCACGCGTTCCATCTCCGTGCGGTAGGGTTTGTACCAGCGGTACAGGGGCATGGAAGGCAGCGGAGTATCCAGGAGGAACGTGTCGCGTTCGGGAATGTCGTTGAGTTCGTTAGCAAAATCTTCCGCGGTTTTCTGCCTGAAATTATTGTGGATACGGCATAAACCAGTCATCAATAGCAGACTTCCAGTAAATAAATATAAAACTAACCAACCGCAGCCTACGCGACCAAAATTATTTTTAAAAAATACATAAAAACTAAATCACCTTCTTTACAAAAACAGTAAAAATAAACCTCCACAGAGTATAAACAAACAGAAAAACGTAGCACAGAATTAATAAGAAAAGATTGCAAAAAGAATCAAATTCACAATAAAAAATAATTGTAAGACTAATACATACACCGTTAAAACCATTTTCAGGTAAAAATTAAAAAATAAATCACCTTTCTATAAAAAAAAGATAAAAATAATCCTCCGCAGATTAACAACTACAGAAATGAATCACAGAAACAACCAGAAAAGATCGAAAAATCCAGTTAACGGTTGAAGTAGTGTTTTGTCTTTGTCTTTAAATTTCCAAATAAAATAATAAAATAAACTTTTAAAAGGACAAAAAAGTACAAAATATGAATGTATAAAAAAACACAAAATATAAATTTGAAACAGAAAATTAATTTAAGCGTTTCACTCAAACTGGTAACTAATTAAATTTAATTTAAATGAATTTTAATTGTGATTTTCCTCACACATTGAGCGAAGTCTTGCTGGTCCCTACGGAGTCCTCTCCCGGTCCGTGATCCATTTCCCTGCAAACCATTTACTGAGAATCAGCAACTGCTGCCCAAACAAACAGGTGATGAAGAACCCACTCGTCTTCTTCATCCGCTGCTTTCCCCTTGTTCTTCTTCGCTTTTCCCTTCCGAGGCCGTCCCCGCGGCCGTCGGTCCTGCATGTCCCGCACCCACTGCTGGGTCTGCACGGCAAAGGGGACAATCTCCGTGCAGTAGTCCTGCAGATTGGCCAGGAGACTGGGCGCACCCAGGGGCAGCACGGTGCTGAGGGGGTGCAGGATGTTGCCGTTGGCATTCGTGGCGCTGATGCAGTACTGCTCGTGCCAGATGTTTTCCGCCAGCGGATAACGATAGGCATGCTTGATGGCGGGGAGCAGGTAGGGTTTGTTGGGGAGGTACAGGCCGCTGCGGACACCGCGCAGCGGCGGAACGGGTTTGTCGAAGAGAGGAAACTTGGGCAGGATGAGATTATCCATTTCGCAACATTATCGTAAGTCACCATGTGATACTACTTTTCCCGGTGGGTGCTTGTCAGATTGTCTGTTTTACACAACCAGACTGCTACTTATTACTAATAAGTAACTCAATTTGCTAACGATAAATGTAATAAGAACGTTCTTTGCAATAATTGAAATTCTGTATTAACTATTATTGTGATTTATCATTATTAAATTTTTATGACAAGGAGTTTTCGACTGTGTCGGACAGCATCGCAAAAAAGTGTAACCGTAACCGCGGTGAAACGTTAACGGAGTTACTGTGGTTTATGGCGACCGCCTCGAGAATCGTTACTACCAGCCACCGAACAATAGCAGCTGCTGTGCGGTTTTCATTCTCGATTCCCAAACCCGCTTGCTACTGCTTCCGGGCCCCTTAATGCATAAAGGGGAAATTCTCATAAAGTTGGTTGTGGCTATAAACTGGATAATCGAAAATGGAGAAACGGCGCTCCAGTTTTCATCGAAAAACGAACTTGTACAGTATGTTTATCTGCTCTGGGAATTGACCTAAGTGTTGTCGCGTCCGGTTTAGACTTGCAATAGGATTTGCTACTATTGTATACCAAAGTAAGCGTAACGATACCTGTTATTTTGAACCGACTTACATCACCGTTCGCTTTGTGCGCAACAGATCCGTGCCATGACAGTTAACGTAAATTAATTAACGCATTTTCGAAAATATACATGTTTTTGTATGTAGTGCGAGCATTAGATGTTCTCAGATATCATTCGGACAGAATTAGTTTGGCAGAATGTTTTCGCGACCATTCATTTCGTGTTAGTATTTACACGTTCCAGTCGAAAGAGCTAGTTTCCATCTCAAGAGGAAAGGTCATTCGATTGCCTGTCCATTTGTCCACTAACATGAGCAGCTATTTAAATTCGTGGATTATTTCATTCGCATGAAATTCATCTGTAATCAGACCGACACATCCGAATTCGGAGGTATCGGCCTTATTACAGGTGAGTGAGCCGAATTCGAAAGCTATTTTGATTTTATTTTCCTTGCATTTGTGAGGCAGTCATTGTGGGCCTCAAGTAATTCTACTCGCAGCGTTTCTTTCCTTTACGTTGTTTCGGTCCTAAACTGCAGAATGCATTAATTGCGTTGTAGCGCAAAGCTTCTACGGCGGTGCCGGCAGTAGTTTTGGTGGATATGGAGAGGACGGAAATCCTCAGGGCGGTGGCCTTCACAAGCCGGCGTCCAGCTCGGCGGTTTCCAGTCGCAGATTGAGCACGGAGATCTACGGATGCCACAGCGAAAAAGCCTCCCTAATTTCAGCAACTCCCAGCCGAACAGGCACTTCGGAAGTGCGAATCTGCCGTCTGAGGATTCGGGAAGATAACGGCATGGAGGAATGCCCGTGATCTTCACGAATCCGCAGATGGCCGCGGATGACAAGACCGTTGCAGCGGTAGTGCAACCATCACCTTTAACCGCATCAGGGCAATTTTTTCTAGGCAGCAATGCATTCGCAATTCCCGGTAATGCTGGTATAAGCGTCTTTATTGACATAGTTTTTGCAATAATTAAAAAAATATTTGTGTTTGTATTAGAAAAAATCCGGGTGATCTGGTTAATAGCCTTCTAAACTGTCTAAAGATAAGCAGTAATTAAAATTTTCGTTAATTTTGTCAAAGATGATACAAACGAATTTTGATCGGCAATATCGCCAGTATTTAATAGTGTTGATTTTAATTTAAGTTTGTATTACCTAGTTAATTATACTTACCAGACAGCAAGATTCACTGCTCTTATTTTTGCCTTAACATTGTACATATTGTGATTTCAGTTTATTTTAGCGCCGGCGTTGCCAGTGCCGTCCGCGCTCCAGGAGCACTATTGTCCGTGACCCGTACTTGAACCGATTATACGGAAGCGGTCTTGCAGGTAGTCCGCGCTTTATCTATATGATTATAACTTAAATTATTAGCATTTAAAATTATTTGTTTGTCGTTCACTATAATAGGTTTGTACGGGAACCGGCCCTTTAATTAACAGTGCGTTTGGGCGCGGCTACGGAAGTGGCTGGGACGATCAGTGGGGAATCGGCGGAGTTGGGTACGGAAGTGATTGCAGTATCTTTTACGGCGGTGGATTCGGTGGCTACGGCGCCCGGTACGGTCGGAGCCTGAGCGATGGTTATTGAACCCCGGGATCCGGAGCGTCACGTTATGGCAGTGGTCAGTGGAGCGGCGCCGGTGACCCCGTTGAGTATGTCGAAAAAGTTGTGCGTCGAATTTAATTGCGGCGAAATGTCGCACTCCCAAATGTCCGGGTGCGTCCCGTTGAGTATGATCGCTCTTCTCCACCGTCATCAGTTCTTCCCAGTCCGTACTCTGGTCCAGATGTGGGGCAGTTGTTGTCAACCTCGGTTCTAAAAACACTCAGCACATCCACTACCACGCTGCAATGTACTCTGTACCTGCTTCTGTTATAAATAGATCAAGCTCCAAACCAGTGATTTTAATATTGGCGACGGTATTATTAAGTGATGTTTTACTTTGGAACTTTACTGTTAACCGCTTGTATCATGTTTTGGAAAAAATGTTTATTTTTTTTTGGAAAAAATGTACAGTATACGTATGCGGTACTTCCTTTTATTCGCTCGTGCATTTGGTACGGTAGTGCGCTTTTGTTATTGCGGAAACCCTTCAAACTACTGAAATTCGAAATTCCATGTTCTGCATCTAAAAATCGGTTCAAACAAATTGGTTCAAATTGGTGCACGTTGAAAATATGCTGAATAACTAGAGGAAAATTTGGTAGAAATGCGCTTAGTTTCTAATAATATATCAAAAGCCCTCCCGGTTGCGTATAATGATGTGAAACTCACTTATACGATTTTTGCTCTACCCAGGCTGGCGATCTGTTGCCCAGAGTAGCGTATTGTATCTGTAAGTACTTTGTAAGAACCGGGAAAGAAAAAACTTCACATTCAATCAAACTTGAACTTCCGGTTACTGCTAGATGCAAAACACCAAACTGACCAATTAATAAGTAAAATTAATTTATAAGTATTTTCTTTAATTTATTTCATTTAGTAAAGGTGCACGAACTGGATGAAACAAAATGTAGAAGCTGGTGTCCAAGAAAGTCAAAAGATACACGGATGACAAGAAGTATTCTAACCATAAGTACAATACATCAGACGTTTAATTTTATTGTTTCGATTACGGTAGTATCCGGCGTTGCGCACGTTCTCACTGCAAATGCGGGAAAGAAAAAATAAGATCAGTAACAAACTGTTTGTAGACCGAAGAAAGCTAACTACTGTACAATACATTTGTTAGCACTAGTTTATAACACAACATGTAACACTGCCGAGTGTGTAGCTAGTTCGCTACCGCGGCCGTACTAGGACAAAAACTATTTTAAGTGCATTTAAACGTTCACTTTTACTGCTTTGATTGATATCCGGCGAATGCGATATCCATGTTCTCACGGCAAATGCGGCAAAAAAAATATTCAGTAACAAAATGATTGTAGACCGAAGAAAACTAACTACTGTACATTTTTTAATACAAGTACTAGTTTACAATAAATACCGTATGTGACAACTGACACTGCCAAATGTACATCTAATTTGCTATTGTACTGTACTTAAAAATCCTGTTTCATTGCTTTGCATGCACCATCGTAATGCTGAATTAACTTGAAGCTTGAATTAACAAAACACCTTTAGTTAAACTGCCCTTTACAATGCTGAACAATGCTGGACATTTTACACCAAATTATACGGTAGTTTTACCGGAAATAGGTATTGCAGGTTTTAAAGGAACTATTATTTGAAGACGCAAGTTTTACACTAATAAAAATGATCGAATTTAAACATTAAAAAAGCATACAAAATCGTTAGAGCCAATCATGGCCTTCGGGCGTGCAGACGCAGGTTAACTTATGTATAAATTGCAGATAGGTATTTTCAGAATAGTGCAACTTGTAGCTCATTGCATATGGGCGACCTTTGTACAAAGTATAAAATCGGCCTATCGCATCCGGGAATAACCATTTTGATCCGGTGAAGTACTGGCCATGGTATATATATAACTTAAAAATTTGACAAACTCCGGCTCCAGATTTCAGATTGTCGTGCTCCTACAGTTTGTTATTGTTACAGCTTCTAATTTGTTGATTTAGTCGTGTACTGATTAAGTGAAGTTGACCTTTAACAAAGGCAAAAATGTCGTTCACCTACGTTTTCCTTAGTGCTCTTCTCATCGGCAGCTGCATTGCACATAAAGGTGAGACTGATTTAACTTGCCAATATGATGTTTACGGGCTTTCCTAATTTTTTTGTTTTACACTAAGCAGGTCGGCTATAGCATGTTTCTTAAATTTTGTTAACGTTTTATAGATAAGAAGAAAGTCGATCCGAAGATTAAACCGACGGACACGCAGCCAACACTCGTTGTCGGTAAGTTTTAACATCTGATGGGCATGATATACTGATTCTAAAGGCCAACTCAGTCTTTTATGTCCAAATGTGTACTGAAATCACTATTTACACCTAACACCGGCAAATATGAATTATTTTGGCTTCGTTTTTAGATGCATCTAATCCGGATCAGCGCCTCCTCTTTCCCTTTGGACTGGGTTTCGGCGGTCTCGGCCTGGGCGGTCTTGGCTTCGGTGGATTAGGCCTGGGCGGGTTAGGCTTAGGCGGTCTTGGATTTGGATTGGGTGGATTCGGGTTAGGCGGTTTCGGACTCGGCTTTCCAGGTAGAGAAACCATTAACGAATATATATATGTATTTGTAAATACTTATGTGAACTAGCACGATTATATACCGGTAAATTTTCGGTTATACAGTACTGTACTCGATCATTGACATATCACAGTCGTTATTTCTATATCGGACCGCTAGTATCAGCTAAACCCACCAATTCAGTTGTTCGTAGTCATTGAATATTGTTTAGTAATATTTTCCTTAATTGTCTCACTGATTTGCAGGTCTGTTTTGGGATGAAAGCCAGGATGGACAGTCCGCCATGTCTGAAGACGAGAGCGCAGCCGATGAATCCCAGCAGACGGATGCGACTTCTATTGGCAGTGACCCCAGCAAGGTCATCCGCATTCCGGGTGAGGCCATTCAGAGCGTCTTCGTCAAGCTTCGCCCCGGATACAGTCGTGTGTCGCGTGTTCCGACGCCGGCCGCTACCAGCAACATCGACACTACCGGCATGTCGACGGCATCCGCCATTCCCATGCAACCGCAGACCCAGCGTGTCTTCGCGGCCCCGGGATCGTTTCCGGGTCGTCTTCCCGGATCCGGGATTATTCCCGGGTCATACATCACTGTCATTCCATCCAATCTTAACGCACTCAGTAAGTATTAATGCGCTGCTTATATTCAGTAAGTGCTAACTATTTTTTTCCCAACGAAGAATTTTTTTATAGACGCTTTATATTACCAGTATATACATGTAATTGACATGGGCTTAAGAACTTTTGCAAAATGTGTTTAATTTTTGTTACTATAAGCGCGGGATGATTGATTGACACGGTGTAATCAAAACGTTGTACTTATCTCCGATTTTTATTTAATTATTGTATAAACACGTCTCTAATTTTGCTGTCTATTTTAGATCGCTTTGGAGTGATGGATTCGGAATTCGATCAGTAACTTTCCCGTGTTTGCTACAGTTGTGAATGGAACAACGGATATCAGTCAGCATAACTAATTTTGTACACAATTTTTGTTTTGCAATTTCCTGGTCGTTACAGTTTTATTGATCTCGCTGGTTGTTAAAAACACTTGCTGCGTATAAACATCATTTCAAGCTGAGTGCACAAATAAAAAGTATAAAAAACGGGGAAAGCAATAGCATTGATTTATTGTGCAGTAGTACAAAAACATTAACAATTCACACAAATGTGGCTGCACAGGAAATCCCATTATACATGCTGCACAGGAAATCCCGTCCAGAAGATGTTCCACAAAATAGCGAAGACAAACAGCAGAATGGTTAACACTAGGCAAATCCACCATATTACCCGCTCCCACGCCAGTTTATTCAAATTTTTCAGACAAACCACTCCCAATAACAATCCGCATATTGCTCCGCAAAAGTGCGCTGAATAGCCAATCATCGGCTTGTCTTTGCCATCGTAGAAATGCCGGTAATAAATAAATACACCAATATCACTGCCCATCAAGACAATCCAGAAGATCAACCGGATCCAGGCATACTCCATTTCTTTCCAATTCTGGATATCATACAGTTTAATTTTTTATGTAATAATTTACGCAGGATATTTTCATATTTTGTCGATTGCTACGAGTACTCCTATCTGTATTTGTAAATTATTTCTGGGCCGCAATAAGTGTAATGAGATAGGTAGTTGTATATATAAAATAAAGGCGTACGACAGTTTAATACAAACCGCTTGTAAATATACGTAAAAAATGGTAAAAATCCTAAAACGGTGACACTTACGATAATCATACTGGCGAGGTGAGCGGCTAGCAGTGCATACACTCCACCGGAAGCACCCACCAGGAACACATTAGGATCGGTAACCGACGTTCCTAAGGCGCCGGCAATCACGCCCAACAGATAGACAATTCCTGTAAAAATATAACACAACAATATATAATAAAAATAGCACAATTGCAATAAATCTTCACTGGATTGATTCATCTGGCTAATAATTCTAATTATGCATTGACCGTACCGACTCTCCAATATTTATGCACCAGTTCCAGAGGAATTCCCAGTACCACCTGTACCACGAGGTTGACAATCAAATGGTACCACCTGCAATGCAAATATGCTTCAAGATTACAAAAAGCAACAAAACGTAAGCGGTTAAGCATACAATAAAAATGCATATGCTGTTCGTGTTGTCACCGATACCGGGTTAATCATGGTTGACAAATGCAGAAAATATTTTGTTTCTATACCGTTCTCGGATCCCGATGAGAAGACATACAAATTTGTATAAACGTTCATACAGTTTTTCCCAGATAATTTATAAGAACAACATAAATTCTTCCAAAACAACATAAATAAGTCAACATAAATTTTTCCAAAACAAAGATATTAGCAACAGTTAAGAAAATGTTTTATAAATCTGCGAGCTTGTACTTTCCAACAACAATTTACATTTCTCACCCGGCATGCACCAGCATATAGGATAACAAGCGCCAGGCTTCTTTGCGCCGGTTGGGATTATAAGGCAAATAGTCCTTTCTGATGGTGACCGACATGTCGCTCATACCCTTCGGAGTAGTGAAGTGGTAATACAGGGCAATGGCTAACTCCGCCGCCGACACCAGGATGAGGAAGATGGGCGGTGGACAGCACGTGTAGTGCTTCAGTTCCGATTCCACATACTGGGGACGTTCGGATTCCGGTACCACAACATAGGAGGCCAATGCCAACGCTTTGTGGAATTTATCCAAATGGGCATGACTGTCCACTAATTCGATCTGCGTCAACAAAGAGTGTTCAACCTTTCCGTCACGTTGCAAATAATTCCACCCAAACATTAAATGTAAAAAATCAAAAATCCGTGTATTGGCAAATCGGAGCTTAAGAATTACATTGCCGTTAATTAAATATCACTTCAGTCATACTACAATTATGATTCAGTAATTTTCTAGCCATGATGGTAAGCTTTTCCCAGTTGCTGTAATCATAATTCATTATACCGTAACGTTCCTCTTTTTCTGTCGGTAAAACATCCTGCACAGATACGTCGCGTATCAATTCAAAACAGTAATAAATTAATTTTAAACACGTACTACAATCTAATAAACTGTCAATCTTAATTAATAAAACCAATTACAACTTATAACGGCTTTTCGTTGATGCGGCAAGCGAAGAGGCGCCTCATTGTAAAAGCATAATGCTACTGACGCGACATCTTCTATACTCGTGTAGACAAAAATTCTGAATACAAGTGATATGCGCATTACGCATTACGGTCACAGGTGAACGCGTACATACTTACAAGCCCGACAACAATTAAATGCATTACTAATACGGTTAAAAGTAGAGTAAAATAACAATCGATATCACTCACCAGATGTAGGAACTCATGGAATTCGTAATAGCCGTCTTTGTTCATGTCCGCCCGCCTCAGCAAATCATCGCGAATGTGCTCAGGTATGGCCAACTTCCGGTCAGCTCGCCGGAGACGATCACGCAGATCGCGGATTCTCACTTTGCCATCTTTGTCATAATCCATCTCTTGAAAAACACCCATCCAACGCTACAAAGGTAAGCAACGCATGAAAGAAATTTTTTTTATTGTATATTGCGCGTTAATTAAGTTAATTTTCCTTTAAACCGAACATAATTATGAAACTGAACAAAGTATGCCAGTATGTATACGAGTACGTACTCTGTACCAAACTCTTAAAGCTAAACCATTGTATTTATCCTGATATCTATATTTACGAAACTTGAATAGAAGTATACTTCTTTTACGTTAAGAAACTATAGATAATAATTTCCACTGAGCCATCAATGAATACCGTTCCTGGCATTACATGTATACTCGTAACTCAAATACTTGATAACAATATCATCATTCGCACATATATAATTTCATTAATCTTTAGCTAACACATATTACAAAGTTTGTATGCGTATGAGCGAAATAATATTGTAATTAACTATTAAGTATGTAATAAAATACGTACATGTTCCAGTTCGACATCTTTACGATATTTGTACTGATCAAAGTTGATCTCCAATTTGCCGGCATTACTGGGACCTCGGCCGACGTACTCCATACTTTCCTGTAACTTGGGATAAATACTGGCCATCACACTCAATCAAATCGCTATGAAATCCGTTGTTAAATCCCCATAAAATATGTATCCAGTTCAATACGCTGACGCACCAATTCTGTGCACAGCTAGTATGTGTCATAAGCCGGAAACAGTTTGTTTCCGCATAGCACTTTTAACTGTTTAGAAAACGTTCTAACTAGGCGCCTCTAAACATTCCGAAGAGCGTTCCTCCTTTTAACTCTGAGGTAAATTTATCGCCACATTAGCAAACAGCAAAGATCTCTACGGCCGCGACTAGCAGCGCTCCAAGGTTGAATTTTAACGTTCGTAGTAGTTACAGCGGAAATACACGGGCCAGCGTGATGCAGCGGAGTGTCAGTGAGTAAGCTGCTGGCAATTTGACAGCCGGCGGATTACGCCACACACAATGCTAATCATATTTATACGCTCGCTCGGCAAAGAATGAGTAATCTCGTTAGAGATAGTTATATTTTCATAGCGCCCAGGGAAACACTGCAAATCTATCGCTCGTAATGGTCTTCAGACCGGCCTATCTAATGCGAATTAAAAAGAAGTCCAGAAATAAATAAATAACAGATAAACCAATTCAGAACGTAACCGATCGTAACATCACATACATACATACTCGTATTTCTGCGTCTGCACATTTTCCATATTTTGCTCTTCGTTTGTAAAATCTGCAGTCTACCTTTTAAAAATAATACCAGTAATTACGCTTTCAAAAAACACAGTATTTTAATCTTCACTAATTTGTCTTGCAAGTAAACCGCGAAATTTAGCGCAATAACAGCGCACACACAAGTTACAGATGCCAAGCTCGGTAAAATCACCGTTTCGCTTTATTTCGAAAATTTCAGCATATAAATTCAACAACTTTTTACAGTCCAAAAACGTACAACAACGACAAACTAAAAATAAAAATCCCAAAGAGCGGTACTCACACGAGGACGATTTCTTTCTGTGGTTCAAAATGTAACAAACGCTCAAATTCATAAGGAGTCACATCTTGTTCCTCGTACTGGGCTTCATAAATGTAATCCATTATTGTTTTTGCGTAGCCTGGCGCAACAGCCATGCCGTAACCGGAAAATCCACATGCGAACAGCATGTTTCCGTGATAGACGTGTGGTCCCAAAATCCCGGACTGATCAAAGTAATTGTAGTCATAATGGACATACCATCCACCTCGTAACTGCAAAACGAATGAAATAAGCTTTGGAAAATGATACATAAACGCTGAACAGCAAACAACAGCAAGAAAATATTTGGAAAAACAATAAGTTTTGATTATTCAGTGTTGAAAAGTGAATAAGCCAGCCACAAAATATTGCAATAAACATGAATAAACAATAAGCATAAGCACAAAATGGTTAAATTTAACTGTTTGTAAAATGCAAACAGCTAACGGACAGACCTCCAGCTTCGAAAACACCGGTATCCGGAAGGATAATTTCGGCCATAATACGTCGTAAAAAAATTCATTCTTCACCGTGAGATCATTGGGATCAGGTTCCTCTTCGTTGGTTTTGGGCGTCCAACCGCAAATGTACATGCCTTTAATGCCATCTCTCCGTATGTTCAATCCATTGGGATCCACCAACATGGGCATGGACAGTTTCGGTCCCTCTGGACAGTGGAAGGCATACATATATCGTTTCCTAAAAAACATCGTATTCGAAATCGGTAAAGACGCCTTAACACTTCCCATTATCGGCAGATTGCGTGCAGAAAATGGCTGGTAGGTAGTTACTTATTTCGCTGATTATTTAAATCATCACGTTTTTCTTGCAGCAGCAATGACAAAGTCCCAACACGTCAAGTTAGTCAAGTACAAAATATTAACTTGCAAAACAAAACACAAAGTATTAATAATAAGAAACTTTGCAATCACGGAAAGTCAGTAAAAATGTGTGCCGAAAATTTTTTACACCAATTAAACGAACGTATTTACGGTTTATTAACCTCTTTTCCACAGGTAACGGAATAATCCGGGTTCCTCTCTTCTGGCCAACATCAGCTAGCTTCGCAACCGTGCCGGAGTCCGCCCCGGCCGCATTAACAACGAAACAAAACTGAATGTGCTGATCTCCGTGCTCTTTCGTGCGAACCTAACACAAAGCCACCAATAAATGCACAAATTAGGATCATTATGACAAATCGGTTTCCACATTTCAATAAATACGAGTATAAGAATATCAATTTCGCTTTAATGATTACATGATTTTACGAAACTGCGTACTCGTAGTAACTGCGTTGCTCAGCCGATTGTAACTTTGTAACAGGCCATCAGGGTACGTTTTTGCATGATATCGTGAGAAATAAAAAAAACGTAGGGTCAGCAGAGTGCATTACTGTTCGCTTTTCAAAACCTCAAATTCTAATAAGCAAAGCGTACATGGAAATGTATACCCAAAATTTCAAGCTTACAGAGCGAGCTGCGGCTTACCCTAACCCACTTCCACTTTTCGAAGGGAACACCGCCCATTGTCGCCACCTGACTGCCGGCGAAATCATCCCGGCGGAACTCGACTACTTCTCCGTCCACATAATGTACACCCATGGACATGTTCTTCTCTTTCAGAGCGTACAGATATTTCCACGTATCCAGCCATCCCTCGTGCTCTAATCCTGAACAGCAGCCACAAACCCATAAATTAAATTACCAGCTATTAAGCATAACAAACATTTTCAAACTGCCGCCGCAATGGTTACATGTTTGTGTTACCGCATTAAGAAGAGAAAAAATTCATATTTTTTCAGGAAACTTTTTTTAAATAACAATTTATTTACGCCGGTATTTTATTTATCTTACCGTAACTTGCTAGCGCGATGCCGTCCAAATTAAGCCAGGGATACCGCTCGGCGAGCTGATGCGGGAGCAGCAGCGCTACTTTAGCACCACACTTTATCTGCGTTTCGTGGTTGATTTTCAACTGCGCCACATCCGCCTCGGATCCCAGAAACAGATATCCTTGTGGTTGGAATTGCAAATCTCCCGGTTCCTTCTCTAAAAGACATTACACTTGCCAGCATACACACTGAAAAAAGCATACACACTGAAAAATACACACAAGAAGCATACACACTGAAAAAATAATGCAAATAAATAATGGATATTCGCTGTCTCCGCTGAAGTGATATTTACGGTGGTGATATTTACAGCCCAACACTTCTATCGTAAAAATCGTAAAAAATCAAGAATCAATCTATAGTCCAAACAATAAAAGAAAATTTTTAGAAATAACAGCGAAATTGTCGGATTTTTTTCTAAAAAAAACATTCAACACATTCCTAGTTGCAAAATATGCATTCCGCGCCATATCAAATGCAGATTTAGCAGAATTCACACAAGATTTTCAGCAAACTGAGGCAGTGCTTCTAAAAAAAATAATTTAACAGTTTTAACTGTAGAAAAATCAAAAATAATCATTTGCAATAAAAGCAGCAGCCATAAATCTGAACTGGACTCATAGCTAATTTTATGTAGTTCTTCACACGCCAAATAGCCCGCACGACTTCTTACCAAAAACAGCCAGATGCTCTTTCATCCTGCGGAGAAATTCCGCCCCGTACAGTGCCGCTTTGATGTTGTGCTCCTGCGAGAACTGCACCCGGACCGCTCCAAAGGAGTTGGTGCTGGCCGACTGCGCATAACTGGGATCCTTCTCCACCACGACAACCCGCAGATTCTTTTCGCCCACACAGCGCTGCTTAATAAAATAGGCAATCAGCGAGCCCATAATGCCCCCACCAATCACACAGATATCGCAGAACTGCGGGAAGATCTGGCCCTCCACCCGCGCATCATGCCCGTAGGGCGCCTTGCCGCGCAGCAGATCGTACATGTTGGCCATATCCCAGCGCATCACGGTGGATGCGCGCTTCCACGAGCCCTCGTCTAGTACCGGATCGGGGGGCACGTAGCGGCGACGCCGTCGCCATTCTTCTTCCTCGATCTGGTCGGCGGAGGGGGCCGGGGGAGAGCGGTCGACTTTTTTTGAAAGGGAACAGCTCGTCGAGATTCCGCATGCAGGAGGATTGCAGTGGGAGATGCACGCATGTATAAACCATCTCTTACTTAAAAGCCGAGACATTTCAACAGAACACAAGAAAATCAAGAACAATGGTCACAGCTTATAAAACAAAAAATACGCGACCGTACGCGTGCAGGGAAGTCCAGGAAATTTGCACCGAGCGCTAAGTGCGGCAGTACAGTTTATTAGTGGAGCCGCTTCACTGAAGCGATTGCTGTTAAAATAGTACTCGTACAGTACAATATACTCGTAAAATTCTTACTTTGTAATTTGTACAAGGGCGATTAAATTAAATTTACTGTCATTTGGTTTACAGGATTGGAACATAATTTTTCGGATCACCAGCATCCCCTTAAGGCTGAAGTAAAAACGATTGGAATTTATTTGGAATTCGTTGGCTACCGTTGGTAAAAAAAACGAATAAGCAAGCATTTTCGTGTCACTGATTTTATTATTTACTACAATACTGTACAAGTACCAAATTATCAATATTTCAGACCAGCATCTATCAAAATTAACTAGCGACTGACAGGTTACAACACCATCGCAAACCTACCAAACACCATTATGTAGACCGATTCAAGAAAACTAATAGGGTAGGAATTAGAAAGACACAGTCAGAATCCACAGAAGCGTTCACTACGGTACATGTCCACTTTCATTTCTAGGGATCAGTTTACTATATCTATATTCTGCGCTCGCATTATGCGCTGCACTCGCATTATGCGAGAATGGAATAAAGGCAATTGTTCCGGAAAAAGAAAACTGGACCCGGAGGATCCCTGGTGGGACAATTAAGCTGGGTGAAGGTGCCGGCAAACCGATGTTCACCGATGTGGCACCCGGAAACTGATATACCGTTCCACCAAAGCTATTGATCTGCGGCCCTGACCCAAAGTTTCCGCTCATCATCGGTCCGACGGGCACCGCGATTATCGCTGGTGGCGAACTGCCGTTAAAACTGCTGAAATTCCGACCGTATGGGCCACCGCCCATGCCGTAGCCATGGAATCCGCCGGTGTTTAGTCCACTGCGGTTACTTCCAAAACCTGTTCCGATTCCCCACTGATCGTCCATGCGGCTTCCGTTGCCGCCGTAGCGTCCAAACGCATTGTCAGTCGATCGGTTCCCGTACACACCATAAGCTTCTAGAAACAGACACATTCAGCCAACAGTTCGATCTAAGCGATGTTAGACATATGCGTATGCGTCTGGTGCATATAGCGCCGGCTACCTGCAACATCGCTTCCGTTGTATAATGCATATGGGTTCCCAGCACTGGCCTGCACGGGCAATGGTGCTCCTGGTAGTCCTGGAGCAAGAACGGTATTGGCTGCCCCGACTGAGAACGGCATTGGCATCCCCCGAGAATTAACTGAAATCACAATACAATTGTATTGCTACAGAGCTAAAGTGACGGTAGTGAAATCTTGCTGCCACGCAGGTATCGTACTTCATCACTTTGTGACCCCTCCCAAAATATAAGCCCGGAGCTAATAATACTTGGTTAAATGCAATAGTTATTAGCGGTAAAATTATTTTTAATTTAATTAGGTATATACGTAAGAACGTTTTTTGTACTCCGTTTGTTTCTGATATTATATCATACATTGTACTCGTACATATTAAAGGTTGATCAACGTAAGAAGTGTTTGTTAAAAGAAAACCTTCGTGAAAGAAAGACCCCATCTAAAACCTTTACGAGAAGAGAAGGGCCCCGGGTCACTAACTGGTAAAATGCGGTAACTGCATGCGAGTTAAATAGAGTATAAATACAATAATTATTCTTTTCATGAAATCGATTAAAATACCTGCTTACTATTTTTAGTTAATTTAATTGGTCATGTACATAACTGTTAATCAATCACATTATCTGACTGTCTTACAGATGCTGCTCAGTATGGCAGAAAATGCGTCAGCTACAGCCTTATCCGGATTCATGAAGATCATGGGTATTCCTCCACTTCCGGAGTAAATCGGCAGCTGCGGAGACATCTGGGAATTGGTGGAATTAGGGAGACGTCTTCCCTGTAGCATCCCTAGGCCTCCGTGCTGCATCGGCGATTGGGGATCAACATAGTGACCGCCGCCTTGTGGACCACCGCCGTGAGGATTTCCGGTGTCTCCATAACCACCAAAACTGCTGTTGTCACTGCCGTAGAAGCCTTGCACTATGATGCATTTCAAAAAAAGCTTAAGTAACAATGGAAGCAAGTGCTTGCACCATTAATAATAGAAGTATGTACACGTATTTAGCTACCGAACTCACAGCTTCAAGCAAACCAGATTCGAAACCGTTTCCGCTTACTCACCTGTAACAAGGCCGGAACACCCGAAAAAAACAATCCAGGAATATAAATAGCTCATGTTATGTTAATGGACAGATATTGAATGCTTCAGCTTTCAGATGGAAACTACCCTTTCGACTGATGACCTTTCAGCTTCAGATGGAAACTACGCTTTCGGACTGTAACGTGTGAATGCGACCAAGAAATGGAAAATGTCGGAGGAAATCTAGCCAAGGTAATTCTGTCCGAATGATACCTGAGAATGTGCAGCAATCCGTGCACTATGGTATTAAGTATCTCGTTGAAGAAAGGTGTAATCCAGGCTTGCAGTGATTCGGCGCCGAATACTGACAAATCATGTGCATTTATAAGAAAATCACAGCAAAACTGCCAAGAAGAAGTGATTCTAATTTCTAAGTCTGTTTAAAATTACAGGTAACATAGTATTACGCGAGACTATACGTAGTAACGAATCTGATTGCGCGATCAAAACCGGACGGTACAACGATGTCAATTTACATAGTTTCGTCGTCGTTCGTTTTCGATGAACATTTCAGACTTGAAAGTGTTTGCAGCTCACTGGTCGGTGTTATTAACAACGTGAAAACCGCTTCGGTGTGCTAAACTGCTAATGCACTCTGAATATTGCAGAGTACTGTATGTACGAGTATTTTCCTTGTTCAAGTACGGAGTAGGTTAGCTCTTCATTTTAATCATTAAAACTAACCTTTTATTCTGTGATGTAGTTGTCAAACGAAAAAAGTACAGTAATACATGACAGTAAAATACTATAGCTATACAATGCGAGGGTGAATTGAAGCACTGAATTCGTAAAACTCGAGACGAATATTCAGACAGATTTTAAACTTTCAAAAAATCAAAAACCGTTCAACGAGAAAATACAACGCACACTACACGCGCTCCTATTGTACACAACACAACGGACAGCAGCAAAATAAGTTAAATAACCCAATATCAGAAGATGCCGCGAAAGAGATTACTTAAATTAAGCTCACTCCGTTATCGGATCCGCCGCTCGCTTTTTCGCTTTGGCTGCTTTCAGCGGAACTATCCGCAACCGTTCCAGCACTTTCCTCAAATGTCAACTTAACATTCAGACTGTAACTCGGCGATCGGTAGTGCCGGCAATCCGGATCGAAACACTTCTGATAATAAATTCCTTCCTTCAAATACGCCACGAAGAAGATGCCGTTGGATGCGTGATGGCGTCCAATACGCTGACAGTAGCGATACTGACCCTGTATATTGTACACAATGCTATGCGTATCGGGATGGTACCGACACTGCCGAATGCTGCTCTGCAGACCGTCGCGTGTGATCACGCTTTCGATGAAACGATCCACCTCCGGGAACGGTGAGCCCGGGCCCGATACGGGCGCACGCGCATCGCCATCCGCGGAAATAAAATTATTCGTCACAGGGCAATTCCGGACGATTTCTGGCTGCAAATGGGCCGGAAACTCCAGTGCATCGCAGTTAGATTCCACGTTGCAGATCAACGACTCCATAAAAATCTCGCGTTCGCTAATGTCCTGGAATGCTGCCGTGGGTTGAAACAGCAGAGGATTATTTTTGCCTTGTTTATGGGATAAAAACAATCGGAAATTGCGGTTCTTATTATACACGCCCGTGTCTACACATGAGCCTTGCGCACTGCCATCCTTTTTCCAAACGAGCAGCTCATCATAGCTCAGATCTGCTGCTGCATCATAATCCGCACGGTTGCTGCACAAATACTTGACGAATAATCCTGCATGATTCACATCCCGAAACACCACTGTAGGAAATATTAAATGCTGACTGAATTTTGCATCCGTCGAGGCGTCCAATTTTAGCATGGGTAGCTTTCCCTCCACGGCACCATTTTCCGCATTCAAATTATTCAGGGGAAATTTTTCAGGATATAAATGGGACAAACAGCGATACACCCGCGATTCCAGACAGTCAACCATGGCGTCACCATTTTTGCCTTTGTTCTGCTCAGTCCGCGGAAATTCCACGTCGAAATACAGTTTGACGGGTAGTTCCGCGGGGATGACTTCATACAGCATGCGTTGTTCCTCCGGAGTTCGCCAGTAAATATGCCAGCAATGATAGTACGTGGTGGCTAAAAAGCGTCGCTTGCCATCGCGCAACTGCTCGTGCTCGTAGGAGAAGCAGCGCACAGGCCACTCCCGATGCTGCTCCTGTGCGTTCTTCTCCTTGGCGTAGTCCAGTGCGGGCTGTAGTTGGTAGAACAAACCCCACACTGCGCTTTTGGCCAGGAGATCCCTGTGGCTCTTGTCTGCACCCGCTAAACGACTCCTGGCTGCGTTTTTCTTCTGCGCCACGATGCCAAAGGGCCAGGCGCGATGTGCACTGGATGAACTGGCGTTTTGCTTGGGGAAGGTTAGAGGAAAAGGATCGAATGCATCGTCCTGCGTATTCCCAGGCGGAGTCTTCTTCTTGCTTGCGACGGTAGCTTTCCAGGCTTTTTCGATTTTCTGCACGAGTGGACTGGTGGGGACGGATGATGATGCACCGTAAAACTTGCTGGAGTCCATGATTACGGGTCTCCGAAAACACGGATAACAGATTCTGCGAGATACCACGCCAATTACCATAAGCTTCTAACATACCTAACCATTGCTTGAATGCGAAGGATGAATAAGTGGAAACTCAAGTAATCAAAAGCTAAAACTAAAGCTAATAAATGCAATGTGTAAAAATTGCTCACATAAATCTACATTTAATTTTGTATAATTTTAAAATAAATACAATTTAGACACTTGAAACTTGAAAACAAGTTAAAGACCCTAACAGGAGCTGACTTGGTAGTCGACACTCGACAGACTACAATCTTTCTCTCTGCTGCAACAGCTGATCGAGAAGTTTTTCTTTCCCGCTTTTTCCTTCCGCTTGGCATCTGATCGCCAGCCTGGGTGGAGGTATAGGCTGTGTAAGTGCCTTCCGCCCACGATTGGGGCTTCCATTAGCTATGCAACCGGAAATGCGACGCACTTCCGGTTGCATAGATTACAAAGTGCAATTTCAAAAATTAATAAAAACACATTACAGTGATTGCACTCAGTGCACAGCAGATTGTTCCTCCCAGAACTTTCTCACTCTCAACTTATCCTTTGGGCACGGTTACTTAGTTTCCTATTTTGTTGCAGCGTTGCTTCTCGCAGTTGGTGCGAGTCATTGGCACATCCGCATGGATATCAGTTCTCAGTCGGCTCATCTGCTTTAAGGATTCACTCGCATCCAGAAGTTGCAGATGGAATAACAACAACTGGACAAGGTGCGTTTTCGTGCACATACAGAGTACTTTCTGAAGCGCTTTGATCTCATACTGGATGCTTGCACCATCATTGGTGAGTGGAAACTCAATTTGTACTTCGTTCCACTTTCGATGTTTGGAGCATGATACATATGTAGCTGCATCACATGGTGGAGCTGATTTATTATGCGCAGCTATGATGATACGAGTACCGTTATAAACAGTCTGGGAAGAGAACGATAGATTACATTGTTGTGGATCGCTGTGTTCAAGTGGTTATGTGCTAATTCCGGCTGTATCAGTGCATTCCTTATCGCTACCACTCGTATCGATAGTTCATCGTACTTGTCACTTGTAATTGATCCCTGTACAGCACCCTTTAATACTAATTATTAACAGTGATAAAAAAAAAATATATAAACCAAGTCATCACGATTTCTTTTGCTTTTTCAGTTTCGCATTCCGAGATTTGCACACAAAATTCGGTGTGACCATTTTCGCATAATCAACAAAAATGGGCAACATTTGGAACCGACTTCCGGATGATGACGACGACGATCTGATATTATTAGAAAAACGCCTGCGGAATCCCCGCTCCTCCAAACCATCGGAATATTCCGCCTTCCACCGCCTGCTCATTTTTCTCTCCCTTTCCTTGGCCTTTGCCATCGCCTTCGCCGTTCTGGCCTTCGTTGTCTTGCCCATGTTCTTTCCCCCGCCCTCCTTACTCACTCCCGATGATCCCGTGGAGATGGCGGTGAAGGAGATTGTCGTGATTGAACTGGAGCGTCTGCAGATGGGATTAATTCCCCTGCCCGACTGGGTGGACGAAGTCCCGGCGGAGGAATTCCCCGAAATCCCCGCCGAAGTGCAGAGACTATTGGAGGTAGGGTTGAGTGATTTTGGGGCCGTTTTTAATACGATATGAAAAATACATTTTACAATTTATGTGCCGAATATTTTTTGGTTGTAAACACGTAATTGAAGTTCTACTCGTAGTAGTTTCGTTTTTTTCAGCAGCCGTTTTACTGTATTTTTTTCAACCGGCCTTGAATTTGATGAATCTCTCCGTATTTAACTGCAAATAAAAAATTGTTTCATTTTTAACGGTTTCAGATTCTCGAAACCCCGTTTGGTTTTGAGTTATGACTTGATTTGAAGCGTGAACGTTTTGAAACTGTGATTTCAACTGTAGAAGGAGGAGCCGGCAACGCGGCCTTTTTGCAGTCTGGTGCCGGAAGATAACCGGTTTGATTGTATGCCGCGGGGGGATGTTAATCAGCAGAACTGCGAGGCGCGGGGGTGTTGCTGGATGCCGCCGGATCAGCGGCGGAAGCGACGCAACCGGCGCAGTACGACAGAGGAGAAAAAGCGGGGTGTGGAGATGGATGTACCGTATTGCTTTTATCCCTTTGATATGCCGTCGTATAATTTAGTGGAATATATGCCGACGGATGATGGGTTTGAGGGTCACATCAGCCGTGATCCCAATGCGACGAATGTCTACCCGGAAGCGATTTCGGATCTCATTATACAGGTATAGCTAATGCAGTAATTATTTTGTGTTATTTATTTCGTGATGTTCGTGGCTGCAGTTTGCAGCTAAATAAATTGAATCAAAAGTGGAATAAAGAGTTACGCATTATAGGAGTATTGTTATGAAATATGGATTATTCAATGCGCAGTACTTTGATAACCTGCTTAGGGAAAAAATTAAATTACCTATTAGAATTTCGTAATGCTTTTTGACACAGTTTAATCAGGCGGAAATATACAGTACGAAGAAATTCTCTATCTCATGATTTCTGATGTTTTAATATTTTAATGAATGTTCTAAAACTATCAATAAGTATGTATAACACCTATATGATTTTGAATTAAGAGGGCCTTCGCTTCGCCCCGGTCGGTTTCGTCAGATTTATTTAGAACAAACCATTCGTGTTTCCTCGCTTTTCTCAACGCTTGCGATTTGCGTTTTATAAATGGTGGCAGAATATTCGAAATGGTGGTTTATTTTTGATATTTTTTCACCGGTTGCTGTATTTAATGGCTCCTGACTGGGAATTTTGCTATGTTGTAAACTCGGGGCTTTTCTCGTAGGTGTTCATGGAAACCGAAACGCGACTGCGCGTTAAAATCACCGATCAAAAAACAGACCGTTACGAAGTGCCAATTCCAGTTATGCCCCAGCCGCCGACCCGCCAGCCGAAGCAGGCGTACACCTTCGAGGTGACATACGTTCCCTTCAGTTTCCGGGTGATTCGCGCTGCCACGGGCTCCGTCCTGTTTGATACGTCGGCTACGCCGTTGTCTTTCTACAACCAGTTCTTGGAGATTGGTTCGTACCTGCCATCGCATTACATTTACGGTTTGGGTGAACATACCGACCATCACTTCATGCATTCCACGAAATGGAAGAGCTTTACTTTCTGGACGACGGATATATATCCGAGTTTTGATACGCCGCTCTACGGCGTGCACCCGTTTTATCTGGTAAGCCCGAATCTATTTGTATAGCGGATGAGTAATATTTTTGTGTGTCTTTGTAGTTTGTAGTATTTGCTTAATGGTTTCGATGATCAAACTAAACGCATTTTACGCTGGTTTTCAGTTACAGAGAATATCTGATCGAATTAGTTTTGTATTTTGTATAAACATCTGTGATAATTTTTTTTCCATGACTTTCTTCGATTTTTGCCCTGAAGGATTCGGATAAGTCTAAACATTTTCTCAAAGGTAATTTTACGTTCTAAAAACTAGCGTTTGCGAAAAATTCCTTTCAAAAAAACTGCATACAGAAAATGTGTCCGTCGGTTCTAGTTAATGGAGGAAGATGGAAAAAGCCACGGCGTTTTCCTTTTCAACTCCAATGCCATGGACGTCATCTTGCAGCCGGCTCCGGCGATAACGTACCGGACGATTGGCGGAGTACTAGACTTTTATTTCTTCCTCGGGCCGACCGCTGACGATGTGGTGCAGCAGTATACCATGCTTGTTGGCGCACCGGTATTGCCACCTTACTGGGCTCTCGGATACCATCTGTGTCGCTGGGGATATATTAATCTCAATGGGACAAAAACCGTAACCGAGCGGAACATTGCGGCCCGAATTCCCTTTGATACTCAGGTTAGACGGCAGTTTTAGAGATGTGTTTGATTCGAATTCAAGAACGAGCTTACCTTTGTAAAAAGTTCTTTTCAGAACAATCTTTTGGATCACAAATTTTCTTATTGTTCGTATACTTGATTTGCTTTTTTTATTTGTTTCGAATTTGTTTTAACTTACTTATTGGCGAATTTGTTTTGCTCGAATTCAGGAACGATCTTCAAAAAGTTTTTCCAAAACAATGTTTAGTATAAAAATGAAGATTGAAGTGTATTAATGTGCTTTTATTCGTGTATTACTCACCAGGGCAGCGTCACCGGCCCCCCTCTCAGAAAAATCTAATTTCTTGCAGGATGACAGAGTAACCTTAGGGTATACCTAAAAAATAGTTTCATCTGCCATGGCCAGTAGGGCGTGGCCAAACAGAATTTATAAGTTAAATATTTACCATGTTATAGCCTATGGCCCATGCATTGCTTCGTACTTTAAGCACATTTACGATTTATTACGAACCACTTGAATGCGCTATCGTACGAGGCCTGTGTGTGTACAATATTCTCCGTTAACCGTTTTTGTTTCTGAAGCGGGCCTGTAGGTGGTAACTGGTAATTAACAATATTTTGTAAGAGCTATATTAGCTGGTGTAAATACTTCCATTTCGATTCGCGCTATCAATTTTTATCTCATACTGCCAGCACGAAAACCGAGGTAATGAGCACCTACAGATCATCTCCAAAATTAAAAATAATAAACTGTCATCTACTAGCCCGTTTCAGAAACGGGAAGCCGAGAACACTCAACGCACATAAGCCTCGTACGATACCACATGAAGAGGTTTGTATTAAATCGCAAATGTGCCTAAAGTACTAAGCAATGCATTGGCCATAGGCTATAACATAGCAGATCTTTAACTTCTAAATTCTGTTTGGCCACGCCCTGCTGACCATGGCAGATGAAACTATTTTTTTTAGCGTACCCTAGTGTTACTCTGCAATCCTGCAAAAAATGGAATTTTTCTGAGAGAGGGGCCGGTGACGCTACCCTGGTCAGAAGTGCAGTGTACTTTGTAATACCGTACAGTAATTCTCGTTCATATGGCATTTCGAGTGCCTAAATAATATAGAATATCTATTCAATCGAAAATTTACTTGTTTCTTTAAAAATTCGTTTAAATCCTAAAACACGATATTTGATTATCATTTTTCTGTTGGTAGTGGAACGATTTGGATTACATGAACGGATCGCGCGACTTCACCATAGACCCAGTAAATTTTGCCGGTCTGCCGGAATTTGTAGCGGATTTACATAACCGCGGCATGCATTACGTGATTATAACCGACCCAGCGATTAGTTCTGTCGAACCCAAAGGGACCTATCCGCCATTCGATGACGCGTTGGAGATGAATTGTTTAACGCTAAATGCTAGCGGACAATACATCGAGGGGAATATGTGGACCGGAGCCAAAGAAGCCTATCCGGACTTCACCTGCGCTAACGCCAGTGCGTACTTCACGAAACAGATCTCCGAATTCCATGCCAAGCTCCCGTTTGATGGTCTGTGGATTGATATGGTGAGTCTAATATTACAATTCACAAAGTTGCAGAAGGTTGCGCGTTTCGGTGGATGCAATTGAGTGACCAAAAATCAAAATGTCTGTGCAATACTGTGGTAAGTTTGTGTACAAGATATGTGTACCTTTTGACGGCAATTTATTTAGCGCAAAAAAAGTGTAAATAATTTTATAACAGCAGGAAATAGTGTTAATAGGAATTTGAACGTTCCCTAATTCATTTGTTCGCTACTTAACTCACTGCTATTTTGTACAGCTGGAAGTACGGTATTTCTGGAAGTGCAGATTATACGGTAGTATAATCCGATGACTTTAATTCACATGTATTTAAAGGTGTTTTGAAAATGTTTGCTTCGAAAGTGAGTTTTCTTTTGTTATTACACTAAGAACGTACGCTAAACCTGTCTGTTACAGAACGAGCCCTCCAGTTTTGTGAACGGCAGTGTCTACGGCTGTCCCAATTCGTCCTTGGAATATCCGCCGTATGTTCCATCGCTGCATGTACCGCTGATGGCCGGACGCACTCTGTGCATGACGGCGCAGCACTATCTGGGCCTACATTATAACCTCCACTCAACGTACGGAATTTTTATGGCCATGACCACCCGGACCGCTTTGCTGAAGGCTTTCCCTGAAAAACGCCCATTTATTCTATCCCGGTCAACTTTCGCCGGACAGGGTCAGTTTTCGGCCCATTGGAATGGAGATACGACGAGTGACTGGTCGCACCTGCAGACCAGTGTGTTTGATATACTGAATTTCAACTTGTTTGGCATGCCTTTTGTGGGCGCGGATATTTGCGGGTTCATGGGCGATACGACGGAGGAATTGTGTATCCGCTGGCATCAGCTCGGTAAGGGATTAGAGAAACAGCGTAACATATATTATTGTGTGTTGCGTTCACAATAATCGTGAACACCTGCGATCATCGCTCATCGAAATACATTTACCTAAAGGAAATATTACATTTAAAGATACATCAAAAGAAATACGTTTAAGGATTTGAAAACTTTAATGGGCAATAGCCATCAAAATAACGCAAATTGCAAGCCTGAGCACGCTACTTCAATCTACAGAATTCAATGTACAAAAGCTATTCTACAAACGATTGTAGAGGAAAGATTTTTTAATTTTAATTTGATTCGGCAATATTTATTTCATGTAGCACTACAGAAATAAGCCTGCACTGGCAGAAATTTGTACTATATATAGTTTCAAGTGTATTCTGCGCATTCCACTAAAGGAGTTTTCTTTTTGCATAACTCCGCGAAAAAATGGAAAACGAAATTGATGGTGGATCAAGATCAGGATATCTCCTTCTGTTTATTTAATTTTGTACTTTTGATTTTAGGAGCATTTTACCCGTTCTCTCGCAACCACAACGACTACGGCAGCAAAGCCCAGGATCCGGCGGCATTTTCCAACACCACCACCGCCATCATTCGTCAAGCGCTTATTTATCGTTATCTGCTTCTTCCGCACTGGAATACCCTGCTATTCCGAGCCTCCGTTAGCGGATCACCGGTACTGCGCCCCGTATTCTTCCAGTTTCCTGATGATCGCACCACGTATTCCTTGGACTGGCAGTTCTTATTAGGAGACAGTTTCATGGTATCGCCGGTTCTAACGCCCAATACAACGGAAGTTTTGATATATTTTCCGGAAAATCGCTGGTATGATTTCTACACCGGAGCGGAGTTGAAGGCGAAGAGGACGTGGCAAAAGATGGCAGCGCCGCTGGAGAAACTGAATGTGCATATTCGGGGCGGCTGCATCGTTCCCATGCAGGTAAACGTAATGTCCAAAAACTGGACAATTTTGTATACTTCAGTACTTCTGTTGCATATTATTAGGTAGCAGTAGTTGTCTGCAAAACGTATTCGGATTATTGCAACACTAAGCATTCGCAGTATTACTGCAGTCAGCAAATATTAAGTTTAAGCATTAAAAACAGTTTGTGTGAGTATTCGTATCATTTTAGAGTGTACGATTTTATACGTATAACGATAATTATTGTATATTTTACACGTATACATTAAACAAAACTGGGTTTTGTATATTACTCTTAATCAATTTTATTTTGTACGGTTTTGTTTATTGGTAATTGGTATTGTATATTTTACTCGTATCTGTAAACAAAATTGAATTTGTTGTATTGCTGTTACGTTTGCTTTCTCTGAATATAAAATATAACGCCAAAGGAATCAGTATAAAAGGTGACTTGCTGAAGTGTTTGATTACCTACAGAATTTCCGTAAAATCCTTGTAAAATTGTTTTTTTGCAATCTGCATTCGTATGGTTGCGCTTTCTGTTAGCTTGACAGAGTACCCATTCCAGTGAAAGAACAAACTTTTAATTGCATGCTATTACAGGTGCCCAATGTAACGACCACTCTGAGCAGACAGAATCCGTTTTATTTGGGTGTGGCACTGAATGACAGCAACGCAGCCAGCGGTGAAATCTTCTGGGATGATGGTGAGCAGTATTTCGATACTGTTCTCACCAAGACGTATTCACTGGTCAGTTTCACCATGGACAACTATATCCTGACGTCCCATGTTGTGCATGGCGTGTATCCCATCGCTCCTCCGTTAAAAGAGATCATTCTATTGGGCCTGCGGCAACCGAGTGCGGTGATCCTGGACGGTAACAACGTCAACTTTGACTATGACCAACAAACCGGCAAATTGGTAGTGGGCAACTTGGCATTAAACTTTCTGAAGGAATTCAAACTGGAAGTCAAAATGCCTCCTCCAGGAACGGATTTCTAACGATGATTACGACAGTCTTTGATTTTCATTTTGGCATGCTCACTTTTTTAATCGTTTGTTTTATTTTTTTCCATTGCCTGTTATGTGATACATGAGAAATTTTATTTAGGTATTCGTTGGTTATGTATTTGGTTCGAGCGCGCTTTTCTTAAGTTGAAGAAATGCCGATATGTTTTTTTACGAGTTGACTGTACACCCGCAATACGTAGCCAAACAAATCGAGTTTTTAACTTTCATGTGAAGAGGTGCGAAAAGAAAACATGTTCAGTTGGCAACAGAAAAGTCTCGGGCAACAGAAGTGTCGGGATTTCGTGTAGCTAATGTCTATGGTCATTTAATGAGCCAAAAATTCAGTCAGGCCTTCGTAGAAAAAGAAAACCCAATTACTGAATCAGAAGTTCCGTCCATGTTCAGATTCAAAAACGACTGCTTTAAAATTCTTCCCAAAAAGGATGTTTTACGTTTATCTGTGAGTGTGCTTTGGGAGTTGAGCAGTTGCGCTTCCTGAAAACAATATGCACGCACGATTATATCGCATGCAAAAATGGACATGAGGCATTCGGCAATCGGCGTAACCTTGAAGATTCACTTTCAGATTTTAAAAATTAAGATTTTTTTATGCGGAAACGAAATAGTTTTATCCGAGTTCTGTGCTTTCTGACCGTGACTGGTGGCGTGGTTTATTTAAATTAATCTGACCATGGGCAAGTGAAATAAACTACATATATTCAACTAATTCCAGCAAAAAAACAATTAATACTGAAAAAGGCCCAAACTGGTTTTCTTTCAGAGTAAACTTTGCGACTTCTCCACTATGTTTTATTCGTCTACCTGTTAAAGGCACGATGGGGTCATCGTAAGTATGTTTATGCTGGTTTCGGCGCAAATTGCTCTTTTGTGTATTTTTTTATTGCGAAATCAAAATCGAACTTTGTTCTAGAACTACTTCTGTCTATCCAATACCGAAGTGTCGAGCGCGGAGGCTAACTTGTATACTGTGGACAGGACTTCAAACATCAAAGCGCTACAACCCTTCGAATTGCGCAACAATTAAGGAAAGGTCACCAGTTCTTTACGATACAACAACAGCTTGTCGATAATATCGGTTCACGATTATTGTGTGGTGGAACGGTGATACTTTGTGCACTTTACATAAATTTTCAAACGGGAATAATTACGGGTGATGGCGTTAATGGTGATTGACTATAGTGGTCAATTAGCTGGTCAGTGGTCACCTTTGTGTAGCACTGTTACCACCTCATAGTACTACGATTTTTCAGCAAACAGAGCTCGATAATTTGCGATCGTCGATTCACAAGAATTAAGCGCGCAGGCGAAGCCGCTTCTCGTAACCTCTCGGTATACAGCCCTGCCGGGCCAAGTTGGGGCAGTTTTTCTCAAAAATTTCCGTGAGTTATCCGTCACCAAATCAAACTTACTAAATCTTTACATGATGCCTATGTGTGTCCAACATCTGCTGCACTTAAGGTTTCCATGCTGAAAGCGTGCTGCGAATTACAGCGGGATAAAAATTAGAGCGGGCCAGCTGGAGAAACTGGTTCGACCCATCCTACTTGTTAGGCACTGTCCGATTTAGAATTCGTTTATAAATTGGGTGTGTGTGTCGTAGTGTAAAATCAGTAACTTCAAGCTGTTCCCCTTTTCGTGCTCTTCCAAATTATGCAATATACCAGCTACTTTCAACCAAGCCTGCGTGACCTTAGCAGTCTGACTGGAGGAACCGGAGAACTGGAGGATGACCTCCTCTGCATGCTCGCCGTACAGGCACATGGCGCCCTACGGAAATCTTTTTAGACAAATCTCGTTCATGAAGTTCTGAGGGTCAATTTAAATCTCGCTGTCCTCGTAATAGACCCGTATTCCGCTCCAGTGCGTTCAAACAGCGACAACATCTTTTTTTATCTTCCGCTTTGTCGGTTTTTTATTCCACTTATACGGCCCAGCCTTCTGCCCGTCTGTGCAAAAGATGCCAATCTGGACATCAAATTCGTATGATGTTATCCATGTGTCATCAATGGAAAATATCATTTCGAGATTAGCACACCAGACGCGCTAGGCAACCCTCTTCTTCCGAAGGCTCATTATATCATAGCAGTCTATGGGAACAACACCTTATTCCCCGGTGACCGCAAGCAGACGTGGAGCACGATTCTTCTCCCAACTTGTAACAGACACCTTTTGGGTCTCTCAATAGTTTTCAAAAACATCCACGAAAAAATATCTGCAGGTGACATTTTCAGAAGCGCACGTATAAGCGCCCTAAAACAGACCACTATCCCATCCCCTAAATCACCGATCGGCTCGCTACTGGCACACCGATAAGTACCGGATTTAACAGTTCTAGATTTGCGACGAAAAGTTACATTAACTATGCTAAAAGATAACAGCAAAACAATGAATACAGTTATTTTATAATTTATTTTTTACAACTGCCCCAACTTGGCCCGGCAGGGCTGTATATTAATTACATATAATACCCATATAACAGAACAAGCAAACCTCGTTCTGTGGTGGGTTTCCCTGGCAGATTGTTTTCTTATACCCCGGCGGTCGTACCTGTTTAATTGTTCCACTGCATAATTACTACATAATTCGTTGTTGATGTTTAGCGGCAGAACATCCCGCACTCTTTAATTTATCCTGTGTATTAACCAGCTAGCGGCACTATTTTCTCGGTAATCAGGGAGTTGCCAATATTTTTCTCGGTTATTTGAGTAAAAATTGGATTATCTCCTAGGGCTGGCTGAGCCTGACGATCCAATCCGTCTGTTGACAAATGTAGCAGTTTTATGAGCCGGCTTGTGAAACCATGCAAAGGATTGATTACCCGCGTTGCGTGCCTTAACTGCGCTTTGGCTTTAGATGATCCTATATCGGGAGTACGCTACCTGTAGTCTACCGTTTCACCTTCAATGCCCTGGATTTTCCCAGGATCGGCTATGCTAATGAGCGCGTGGTGGCGTTTTCTTTATGACGTATTTATTTATCACGGACGTTATAAACGGGAAAACAACATATGCAAGATGTGATTACGAACTATGTATCAGCAATAATAGCATGTCCTACGTTATATGGTATAGTATGTATAAGATGCTTGCGTGTTTGATTTATCTTACTGCTACTCGTAGCAATTGCCGGCTTTCATAATTAATAAAGTTCCTAGTAAAAAATGCATGGAAATGTCCTTCTTTAGACTGACACTGGCGTCGCAATGCGATATATGCCGTGCCAAATTTCCTCTAATGCCATAAAATAAAAATTGTCGTCAGTGGGATATATTTATCCCAAGTTTCGACTGGATATATCCGGAATATACGTTATCGGCACGCATCTTTCTGTGCTGCACATAATACCGAAAACATCCCATTTCTGTTTGGTAACACTAGATTAGCACTTTCCGAGCTCCGGGTTGGCTTATAAGTAAAAATGACGTCTTTGTCATGTTTTTTAAACAGGGGCCGTTACGTAAACATTCACTTTGGCGTTTATGTCGCCGGCGTCTTAAGCGTTTTACGCGCATTTTCTTCCATAATCAGACAAAGGCAGCCTGCATTAGCGTCTACCATTACCGGCATATATGGGACAGAGGATGCACCAAAGCCCCGTTGCTTCTATTCATGCCGGCCGTATCAGCTGTCGCGCGCGCGGCAGATGATCATTTCCGGTGATGGGAACTGCCCAGCTTATCTCTCTCATGTTACCCCCCGTTCTAGAGAAAAAAACCCGGCACAGTATATATTCGGCGCCCGCTTTTTGTTGTCCAGAGTTTTCACGCCAGTAAAGTTGTACTCTGGCTTTTTATTACCCTGACACGTCGCCGATTACCCCCGATTGAGCCCGGTAGACGCACACACAAGCACACACACACGCTCATTTTTCACTTGTCCATCAATATTTATAAGATTCCCTTAAAAACCCCATTTCGCCGATTCGGCGAGATCAGGTTGCCGGTCGCATATAACGCAATGGGTGCCGGTTACAGGCGGAAATGCGTATAATGGATCGATGCCGGCATTGGCCAGCTGACTTAGATAATACACACATGTACACACGTATATATAAGTATGAACTACCAGCGCACCGCGTATTAAAACATGAATGTCTTTAACGCCGGTCGCCTCATCATTCTTCCAGCCTGCCGCACACAAACAAGATTCCCCACATCCCCGCACACATCCCAACGTCCTACTTAAGCCCAGCTGGGCAGCTGATGATTTCCCCCCTCTCTCTCCGTGATCTTCACTATATAATATATTCCCTGGTGGAATATGTTATTGTTTGTTTGCGGATCGGTTTAGCGAAGCTGAAGCGGGCAGTTGGAAGGAATTACTGGCCCTGGCATCTATATCGCCCTGGTGCGCGATTATTTTCCCAGCAATTGCCAGCAATCAAGCGCCTTGATTGCCGGGGACTGCGTGTGTCCGGGGGACCGCCGCATTCAATGATGGTTGTCGCTGGCAGGCATGCCGTGTGGTGAATAATATTCTGTCCGGAGCCTTGAGTCTTGTGTATATATAAGATCGCGCCGGGCTCCAAAGAAGATTGTGTGCTCGCGCATCCTGGATCATCCCGTGTTCCGGTAGTTGGAGTAGGAAGTCACCGCGTTAACGACACACATATATACATATTCACACCATAGCCTGTTCCCCCTCAACGCTCACTCTCGCCAATTCGCCACCATTCAGTCAACAAACAGTGCCGGCACCATGCCCATACGCCGGGAATGCGGCAGCCAGCAATTCCCCTTTATCGAAGCCATCATCCGGAAGTTCGAGAGCCAGAGTACGTATTGTTGTCATTTTATGGGCTAAGTGTGCGTAAGTGCGGTTTCGCCAGCTAGGTTTGTCGGGCTTTTGTCCTACATAAACTCGGTCATTAGGCGCTTAATTTATTCTGAACATGATTTTGTTAAGAAAAACTTTTTTACAAATTTTTATTTATCAGCTTAACTATTTACTTTTAACTAAAATGCGTACATTTATTCTAACTAAATTTTTATCCAAAACAGTACGGTCTATGCAATTTCTTATGGTCCAGCTTTTGTCGATATATGGCGAACCTAAGCAGCAACAGCAACAGCAGTAAAGAAAATATATATTAATTTATAGAAGGCTGTTTATTGATTTACTGCCACAAAGTTTATTAATATCGGTATTCGTGTGCAGCTCTGCATTATAATGATTACGGTCTTTGCAGCTAACATAATAGCTGCATCAGTTACGTATGGCCTAAAATATAGATTGATATAGCCTTTGATTTCTAAAAACAAACTATGCCGGTGTGCGAGCGCTTCCTGTCGATCGCTGAATCAATTAAAATGCATTATATGGCTGCAAGTCTAAATTAATTAAAAATAACGGTATTATAATATAATAACAATGAGCTCAACAGCGCTATTCATCTCATTACACTCATTCCCGCAAGAATACTCTGGACAGCAGGAAGTTCGGGTCCAAAAATTAGGCAGCAGCTAAAATATTTTTGCAGTTGCTGGGTACTGCAGTTTAGTACATGAAATAGGAAAAAGATAATTACCCGAACACCTACTCATAAAGAATTAAACGTGCACCGACTGTCGTTTGAGCACGCGCCGACAACGTATACCCAGCGTAAAATAACGGTACCGGCGTATGACGCACGTGTTTTATTGGTTTCTTTACTGTCAATGATTGCCCGGGACGAACACCTATCCCGTTGCCGCACAGGCGTCGAATGTAAATCAGCATCTTCCGCTTTTTTGCCAAAGTAAATTAAAAGTAAATGGCCAGTTATTAGCGGTAGGCACGTTCCCTATTCCCTGTATAAATTCTATGTGCGACTGTACACTTATCGATCATTCATCCATAACGGGGTATGCACAGCGCCTTGCGCAATGTGCTCCTGTGTGTTGATTTAATTGTATCAATAAGAGCAGTCTGGCGCAGTATTGCTCTTCTCCTCCTCAATCCGGCGTCTTTTCCGGAGCAAATTGAACTTGTTTTAGAGGCCCCACCTATTTACATGACGCTTACACACCTGTTTTGATTTTTTCTTATATACACAGTTTGCACAAATATTATTTTAAGTTGTGTTTGTTCGCTTATATATTTTACAGTACATGAGACACAATAATCCCTGATATTCAACAAAACCGCTAATAAGGCTTTATTTTTTCCTGTGTTTCGGGGAATTACGGTTGTATTATAACAGTGATTAACGAAATATGAGCATTTAATTGCATGATCAGCATTACACTGTCGTTGACCTTTCATTTATACACCGGATGTAAAACATTATCTTGTTTTTTTCCTCTGCAACAGATCGCGTCTTTGTTATTTGCAACGCGACAACACCACACGTTCCCATTATCTACTCCAGCGACCGCTTCTTTGAATTTACTGGCTTCAGTCGGCCGGAAGTAATGAAGAACAATTACACCATCCAGTTGCTGCATGGACCGCGGACGGATTTGACGAAAATTAGGCAAATTGAGGCGGGTGTGCGGCAGGCCGAGGAGGTTCTGGTACAGCTCTGTCTGTATCGCAAAGACGGTAAGGCGACGCATATAATGCCGGCAGATAAATCTCTTCCTTCTTTTTTTCAATAATAAAACCATTGTCCACTGAACCGAAAAAATGTGATTACTGGTAACGTAACGATAAGTGCGCACTTGCGCCGCTATTGCCGGTTACGCTTCGCATCGTCCCTTTATTACTGTCCGGGATTAGCCGGCAATGACAGACCCTGGGTTTTGACTTTATATCGATTACTGTCCAATCTCGTTTATCATTGGGAAATCTGCTGTACTGAAAGGGGATTTATTTTGTAAACAAAGGCGAAATATATTGCAAGTATTCACACACATATCATGCGATAACAGCGAAGCGAAAAAATGACAGTTAATATGCCGATGAATTTGCAATGACGTAAGATAATCGAAATTTCATCAGCGCACACGCTAGTGTTGATGAAAATGACAGTTGGGAAAATTGAAAAGGATAAAACCATGACACATACACACAGTGACCTCAGACAAGAAAAGGCATATAATATTAATAATCGGCAAAAGCAGAGAAAAGAAAGAAAGCAATCAACAGAGAGAAAAAATCCGGTTACACAGCATGATGTAAACTTTTCTTTTGAGAATTGGCAAAACAACCCTCGGAAAGGAGCGACCGGGAGAGTGAAACGACATATACCAGTTTTTCGCACGTAAGGGACGTTTGTCATATAATGGGGAGAATTTAACGGCTGACCTAAAAAACTGAAGAGCCATCCTTAGACAGCTACACACACGCACTTCTCCGTTGCCGAATCGATTTCCTGTCACACTGCACTGTGTATAGCCCTTTATGTGTTGCATGCGGGAAAAGAAATGCATATATACAGCGCGATGGGAATTGCATTAGGCAGCAACATACGTTGACGACAGTTGTACAAGGAGGCTTTCAAGCAATTGTTACACCATTCATCAGCAGCGCTTAAGTGTGAAACTGGGCTCTGGGGCGTTCATTAATGGTGTATAGTGGTGACCGGATGGGAATAAGAACAATGGCTAGCGCCGAGCCTTGAAAATCTTTAACAGTTGCCACCTGGAGATACAATCGTGACCTTGGGTGATTTTTTCTCTCTTAATAGGAACGGAGATGCTCTGCAACGTCATTCTCATACCGGTGCGCAACGAGACCTCCGTTGTGGTGCTGTACATACTCAACTTCGAAGATGTTACAGGTCAGTATACAAACATTCCGCGATGACCTTTTATTTCTTTCTAATAAATGGCGAACAAAATTTCGTACATCAACTAGTGTCACATTTTATTAAGAACAACACATATGACATTTAATTAGTACTGAATACAAACATATACAATTGATTCCGTATTAAATAATATTGTTAAGACTTTTTTTCCATGAACTCTGTAGTTCCTATGCAAGCATAGACAAAAATTAATACGTTCTAATCAGATAAAAACAGCAATGCAAAACAATAATTTAACAAATCTGGCGGTTGCAGTAATTATAAATGAAATTGATTCCACTTTAAGCAAGGTCTTACGCAACATTTTACCGTGGCTAATACATATTGTACAACAACGATTCTGGCAACTATTCGTCGGCAGCTACAAATTACTATATACATCGCATGCGATTATAATATATCTCCCATGAAATTGACCAACATAATTCAAGACCACTTGACGCTGATTAATAGTCGGAACAAATAATGCACGCTACTACTGATGAAATTCCGTCTAATCAAATTATATGCTAGTAGCGCTGTACGTAAATGGCACACCCTAATAAAATGCATCCTATTCGTAAAACGTATCTGCTATACCCCGGGTAATATATAACCGTGGCACGTAATAATTGTTTTTCTATATATAGCGGGAAAAGATCCCAAAGACACCCCATCAAACCCCATTCCTAGCTCAAGCAAGACAAAGAACGACAATCGCTCACGTACATCCAGATAATTATCATGTCATACGCATAACATAATTAATTTTTATTCCCTTCGGACTGCGCCACGATTCCGCTGGTGTACAGTCCCTACTGTAACCATTTTCCGGCATAATCCAATCAGTATTATTCAATGAATTCAAAATCTTGTTGTACGAGTTTTCTAGACATTCTGTTTTTCGGGTTTTCGTTGTGACAGATCTGCCACTGTTTTTGCAAAACTAGATATCTATATACATTGCTGCAAAAATATAATACCTGTATGTACAACTTTATTTAGTCAATGGATTCAAAATCGTGTTGTACGACTTTTCTAGGCATTCTGTTTTTTCGAGTTTCCGCTGCGACAGTAATGCCATGTTTCTGCGAGACTACATATACACTGCTGCAAAATAAATGTACAACTTTGGTTTCACTGGTTAACTTAATAAAAAACAAAGCAAATTAAAGCTAGCAGGAGTCTTTACGATCGGTTCGGTGATTCCTATGCACACTCCGCAAGTACTCTTCCACTTTGCCAGCGGATATCCGGCGCAGATCAATGGACACCCGCTGGTGACCTTTCATAGCTAGTACACACTCGGTAAAGCCTTCCACCGGGTGCCGTTTCACCACCCGGCATTCCTCTAATCCTACAAACTCCACCGTCGCCGGCATACTGCATAATACATCCAGACGGATTTGGCCGGTCTGAAAGATCACCTTTCGCAGTTTGGGACACTGCTCGCTTAGCAGGCGTCGCAGCCGCGGCCACACCAGGTGGGCCTTGTTGCATAGTTCGTTGGCCAGGCACAGTGTGCGGGTATGCTGCCCGACAAAGCGCATGATCCACAGCGCCAGGATATGCTCGTATGCCTGCACGATCGGCTCCATGTCGGCGAAGATTTTCAGAACAAAGAGATCCTGATAATGGGTTTTCCAGGCGGTGTCGAAGTGGTCCGAGTTTATGATCACTTCCCGTTTTAAAAGAGGCTCGGCTACGATGCTTTGCCATCTCTTGGAGACGCTAAAAATATTCAACATTTACATAACCACGAGTAAAAAAAATAGAAAATAATAGCAGTACATACAGGCAGATAAATAAAACTCAAAAGCAGTTCAACGAGATGACGAGTAAACTTATACAAACAAACAAAGGTATGTATAAAAAAACGAATAAAAACGGAAATCGTGTGAAACTGCTAACAGAAGATTGTTGAAAATACTGTATCGGCGCGATATGTCGCACAGACAACAAACACTGCAAAAACTGCTTATCGGATGCCGCACCATGAGATCGATACCGATAAGTGTTAACGCTTAAAAAGAATCGAATTACACAGCTTAATTGTATTCAATTTTCCCATTGACATATCAGGCACGTGATGCTTACACTGTGCCTTGATGCACTAGATGCAATGAATAGCATGTTATTTGCAGAATAAATGAGCGTTTCCGCAACACACTATGTAGGTTTGGAAATTTTGAAATTGTAATAAACTATTGCGTGTTTGCGCGTATATATATAATGTGCTAATATTACAGCTCGTATCCAATTTCTGCTTTCCTGTAACGAAACTGCCACGCCACATGTCGTAACTACCATGAACTGTATTATACGCACAAAAAATTATCACCCCCAAATTTTTCCATAATTTTATAATCTTGATTTGTTATTGTGTCTAAACATGTACAGTGATTATAGTTTTCCTCATACAGGCATTTAATGGCGCAGTAATACTACTATAATTTTATGTAAGTGTGGCGTGCGCTTAAAAGATTTCCTTATAATTTTTGGTAGTATTTTCTACAAAAAAACTTTTACTTATATTGCTCACCTTGTTAAAGATGGATGATGGGATGCCGGCATCAACTGTAATATCTTCTCCAAAATTTCTAGCGGTAATTCCACATCGGATGCGTTATCCCCAGCATCCTGAGAATCCAAACAGTCCTCCTCCACAGAAATGGCCGGAGATTCAAACCAGACGCTCATTTTAAATTTTCACTTTGATTCCACTCAATTATTCAACTCTCCTATGAATCCGTATCAGCTGTGCTGGACAAATCACTGCAACGCAATTAATATTACACGAGCAGCAATAATTATAGTAAGACTTTCAGAAATTCCGAACTAGTGTAATAGTGTGTTTGACTTACATACACAAAAACCAAATTCGACTAATCGACACGCTAGCAGATTTTAGGTTACGCATTTCAGTATTAAGGAAACAACCGCATAGTAAATAACTCGGTATGCATATACACGAAAGCTTGTGTTTATATCAACTTGGATAAATGCAAAAGTGTTACACTATACAGTTTCGGGGCATTTTCCGCTTAGTTCTCTTGAAAATGTTTATTTCCACGTGATACCGCATTGTTTGGCAACATTTTGACTGACAACTGCCGGTTTTTGTAGGACGTTCGCATTCTGCATAATATGCAACTGCGCGCGCAAGTTATTCGTTAATTTTTTTTATACTGCAGAACATCCAAGAATTTTCACCACGTCGGCGTTAGGGATCAGTCAAGAACAAAGGCAATAACATCCGATTATTGAATGCTTGCCCGGCGCAGATGAGGTCATTGATTCAGTGGAAGCGTGTCATACGGTGTTTTTGTTTAATAAAGCGCGCGCTGTTATTACACACAAATGAATGCATGCGCCCATCATTCCATGTGAAAGAAAGTGTCAACAAAATTGTGAAGGTTGTACTCGTAACTCATGACTACGGGTAATGAAAAGCAATCACGTGCTGTGCCGTTTTCTAAGAAATTTAATAAAAACCAGTCATAAGCAACCGTTCCACAGAACTACCGTAAAGTTGTATTCCGGCGCATATTTCCGCAAAATTTCACCGGCTATACAGTACATACGGTGCAACCGTATAATTACCAGACTGTCTGAAAGATGAAAACAGTTTTTTGTACCGTTCTATTTTACCTTCGAAACAATCATCCTTGTACCGAACTAGCCGAAATGCAGCATGTACGATGCCGGAAATAATTGTTGTAACCTTGTCATGTACGAAATGTGGGCAATTTACATCTTGCGCTGTCAAAGTAAATTTATGACGTGTGCAATTTTGTTGTTAAAATTTAAATGCTGTATTCGTACTGAACGTTCAAAAATTTTTTGATTTTCGCTGTTTATTAGTAGAAGTAATCTTAAAAGCATGTAACATGTACATGTACCAGCGTTGTGAATTCCGGTACTTGATTCATATTTGCACGTAGGAAGTCGACGTATATACTTACATTATAGGAAGAGATGTCATCCCCCGTTGCAAAATGCAATAATTTATAAAAGCAATAAAGAAATAAAATGAAGGATATTACTAGGTAAATTTTTTGCCCCCACTAGCGCCATCATTATCGCGTTGACAAGACACGATCTGCCGAGAATGTGACTTATTCAGACGTCACTAAAAGAAACAGCTATTCGGTGTATACCGTCAACAGAATCGTCAATGAGAAGGGCAATTTCCGTTTAATAGGTTGCATGTGATATGTTGCCACCAGCACTGTATTGCGATTACGGAACATCTGGATCGGCACTTCCGGCCTGGATGACAAGCACTGCGCTTGCAGATTAAAGATGTTCAAATGAATTACCAGGTGTAATGGATAGTCGACTGTTGTCACTCATTGTACGGAATCATCCGATTTATCACATCAGGGATATAAATATTAGCTGCAGGATTAACGACTGCTACTTACAATTTACAAACAATGTAAACACACTGTAATACCATAACATCGTTGGAAATTGCTTTGATCGACAGCAAGCAATCCAAATGAGCCATTATATGAACAATTAATTTTTCAAAATTACTAGGCACGACATGTTAGGCAATCGTTCCATTCAATGCTGAACAGTATTACATGAAATAACTAATATTTAATTTTCCATTCACACATCTTCCTTCTAAGAATATCAGATTTTCCACCCACAAATTTTATTATGTTAAATTTTAATCAATTTTACAATATGGCTCATTTACGCGCGCTTTTAAATCAATATTTGTAATAAAATAAAAGATTCTGGTTGCGAGTTCATAATAATTAATACGCTAATGATATACGCATAATACGCGAACATATGCTCCCACATTCCGTTACAACGTTAAAAGCTCAATTTCATTCCACACGTAAATCAATCATTTAAACACAAAAAATTAACACAGAAGGAAGCAAAAACCAGTTTTGCGTTATTCAAGTTATTTGAAGTGAGTCTCATTAATTTTGCGGAAAGCCTATGTCAATCACATAAAGCAAAATGAAAACTTTCAACGTAAGAAATCCAGGCTCAAGCAACAACAAACAAAAATACAAAAAATCATAAAGACGACCACTGCCCATAGTACTCTCTTTCCCTTTGGTGCCCAACCGCGTGACCTTCTACTTTAAGCGCTGTCCTCGTGTTAGTTCGGCGTAGAGGCCATTCTGGGCCAGGAGCTCTTCATGGGTGCCCTGCTCCATGATGGTGCCCTTGTCCATTACCATGATCACATTGGCCTCCTTTATCGTCGACAGCCGGTGCGCGATGACGATACAGGTGCGACCGGCACTCGCCGCTTGCAGAGCCACTTGTACAACCTGTGAATAAAGAATTCAAGCACAACCGCTTATTCCACGTAAAATTGTCAACTTTAATTATGCTTAGGATTTTGTAACATTAATACTTACTGCAAAACCCAGAAAATTGTTACTGTTTTATGCATAACTGAACCGATCTCTGGTCTTGCATTTTCTCCTAAATTAATTCAACTAAAAAAGCCTGCAAGCGCTTAATTTCGCTCGCCAGTATAGAAAACATTTACGAAAACGAAGTCTTAAACTTTACCGGTCACGATTTCATCATAAACACGAACAAGTCGACAAAGATATCGGAACTACAGATATCGCGCATTAGTCAGCATCAGACTGACCTTTTCCGATGTGGAATCCAGCGCCGATGTGGCCTCGTCCAGCAGCAGTATCCGCGGATCGCGGATGACCGCACGGGCAATGGACACCCGTTGCCGTTCACCTCCACTCAATTGCGTGCCTTTTTCTCCAACACCCGTCTCATAGCGTTGCGGGAGGTTCATAATAAAGTCGTGGATATTCGCCACACGGGCGGCATCCATCACGGTCTCTTCCGGCACCACGGCGCCGTCGGGCAGAGAATACGCGATGTTCTCGTTAATGGAGGTGTTGAAGAGGATGGGCTCCTGCGCCACAATAGCCACGCGCGATCGATACGCTTCCAGATTCAGGTTCCGCAAATCCACTCCGTCAACCAACTGTCAGTCCGGAAATAATAAATTTAAATCATAAAAATCTCAGGTTAGGAAACCAAGCTGATGAATGCTAATGAATGGCAGTTACTAATTACAATTTCTCCTTCCACCGGGTCGTAGAAACGCTCAAGCAGCGATACCACCGTACTTTTGCCGCAACCACTGGCGCCTACAATGGCCAGTGTCTGACCAGGTTGAACGCGGAAACTCAGGTTTTTCAGCACGGGAACATCAGGACGAGATGGATAATGGAAAGACACGTTTCGAAACTCGATTTCCCCGCCTCCTTCCTGTAACAGCCAACCTTCAGTAAATTATTATTTTGTCACTTAAGAAGGCACAGTTTCTGATAAATACACGGCTTGAGCCTTCATTTTTCAAAATGTTCCGTATTTAAACAATGGCAATGTTCAGCGCTACCACATATATATACCTGACCAGCTTAGCTTTGGAATTTTTTTAATTTTGCCAAATTTTTAACGGTACAAAGACAGTTGTTTAACAATGCGGTTAAATATCGAAACCATATTAAAACTAACGAAATTTTACCGGACGTGTTCCCGCAGTGCTGTACACGTCGAATCGCGGCAATTGACTCATCATTTTGAGAATCAAACCGGCCGATATTCTGGCTTTGGAATAATCCGGCAGCATTGACGTCATCTGTCCGAAGGTCATTGCTACGAAGGCAATCCCGAAAAACACCCGGAAAACATCCACAAACTTCATCTGTTCAATCGATACCAAGTAGTATCCAAAACGGAAGGCCCCGGCATACAGCAGAAAAATAACGGCCTGCGAAAATGCAAAGGCCACGGCATACACCTTGCTTCGGCGCAGATTCGTCTGGTGAGGAAATTCCAGGTACTTCGAATACTGATCGTAAAAATATGGTTCTTGTGACAAAGACTGCACCGTCTGAATATTTTCAATGGATTCCGCCGCTGTCTAAAGCAATCCAAAATAAACTGGCACCACTAACGAGCTCGAAAATACACACGGTATACTACACTGAGCAAACTCTTAAGTACTATAACAATAGTCAAATATTTCTGTTTCTTTTTAATACACATCTTTGGACAAAATTGTTTTTGAAGATATACAATTTTGATTATTTCTTCAATACTTAAATTATAATCATTTTACGTAGCGGATTTTGAACAATGTCTTTTTAACTAATGAAATATGAAAGTAAAAATTCTACTAAACAGTTTAAACTACACAATACCAATTTAATGGAACCGTACATTTCCCGCTCGCTCGGATTCCCTGGTGTCTTTCTGCTGGTCACCGGTGTGCAGTTTCATGCTGATGCCGCCGGCCAAGATCAGAACCGGGGCACAGCCGATAATGGCCAATCCCAATTGCCAACCAAAATATCCGCAAATAACAATGGCTGCAATCCCGGCAACCGCGGTGTTGACCAAAACACCTAAGCGATATCCTGTCGCCTACAAGAATATACTCAACATGCAGTCTTCCACCAAATTTCCACAATTCTGTCAAGTCTTACCCCTTTGACCATGGGAGCATCGGTAGCCAGACGTGTGGTCAGTTTCCCGGTGGTATGGCGTTCTTCATCAAAGTATGCCATGTCTTGTCGAAGAACATTCTCAAATGCTGCAAGACATCAGGGTCAATTCGATGGTACTGCATTCTGATGTTAAAGTAATACGACTGGTAATCTTACTTCGAATGCGAAGACGGCGCGTCATCTTATCACCGCTGGTACCAAACATTCCGGCTTGCAGTAGATGACCAATGAAATTAGCAGCTGAAAAAGCAGCAAATGGTTTGTTTCGCTTCTAGAAATATTCTAAAAATTAAATGAACTACAAAAAACCTTCACTACGTTCTGTTATAATAATCCCAACTGAACGGAAAACCAATAAAAGGCACTGGTGCAGAAAAAGCAAGTGCCTGACTGACCAACCTCCTAAAACCAAAAACATGCAGGACCAAAACACGCCAGCCCGTTTCAATGCTTCCTGATCGGTTGTGCTGAACTCTTCGAACATCTGACTGTAGAGCAAGGAAAAGGCCGGCATTGCCGTGCCCAGAATCAAACTGCCCAGAGTCCCGGCAGCAATCCAGCCACACTCGGGACTATTCTCCTTGAGCATGCGGAAAAATGTCGGCGCCTCCGCCTCCTCCGCTTTCAGCTCCTTCATCCTTTCCTCCAAGGAGTCTTTGGATTTTTCCTTAGCGGCTTTGATCGATTTCTGGCGTTTTATAGCTACTTTCTTGGCATCGGTTTCTGCGTGGAATTCCTCCTCCAGATCTTGCTGGCTTTTGGCCTGCTCTGGCGTCACAGCGTCGGCGCGATGAATGCGCTGGAGACTGACCAGTTCCTGATAGATGCCTTTCTGAGAAATTAATTCTTCATGGGTTCCTTGTTCGGCCACATGACCTGTTTTAAAGGTACACTCTTGATGGTATTACAGTACATAGTGTAATGTCTGCAATTTGTAACTACTACAGTAAATAACGGAAAACGACATAATTTAATTTAAACTTCCCTTCTGTTCTTCATTTCCCTTTTTTTTGCCCTAACATACAGTATATAACATTGTTAATTACTTAAAGCAATTTTATTTTAATTTTCATAATACGCTCTGTAATTTACACAACTACTATAATAAAATAACTAAGCAACGAACCGAGAAAAAACATAATTTAATTTACACTTCCATCAGTTTTCCTTTTGCGTACCTTTTTCCATAACATATATCGTACTGGCGTTTTGAATCGTAGACAAACGATGGGCAATAGCAATTGTTGCGCGATTTTCCCGTGCCTTATCAATAGCCATTTGCACCAGATGCTCGGATTCGGCGTCCAGCGCCGACGTGGCTTCGTCCAGCAGAAGAATGGTCGGGTTAGTTACCAAGGCGCGGGCGATAGCGATACGTTGACGCTGTCCTCCGGACAACTGACCTCCACGGTCTCCGACCATGGTGTTGTAACCATCCGGTAGACCGACAATGAAATCATGGATGTTCGCCGAACGAGCGGCCCGCTGTATATCGTCTTCGGTCACTGTGCGTCCCAGGGCAATGTTCTCGGCGATGGTCAATCCAAACAGAACCGGCATCTGTCCCACCTGATCGATACAAGAAAATACAAAATCCTGGACAATATAAACACTACAAAAACAATTCTTTACTTCACATATCAGTGTTGTATTCTAAAAATCAAAGTAGCAACACAACGTGCAATGTAGACCAAAGAAAAAAGTTGAAAAACTCCATTCGGAAGGATAATTGATAAAATAACAAAACAGCTGGCAATTAATAGAAAACAATTTTACTCGTTATGTATGTGAACTGATAAGCGAGTACAGTAATTACAGGACAGGTAACCGTAAAAAGTGAAACTTAATTTCCTTTTTATCCCTGAATGTTATAATATTTATGGCGATGAAACAAGCATCCCCAACAATTATTCCTACTGTAACAAATAGGAATACAAATTATTGTTGTTACAAACGTACCACGCCGATATTGGATCGCAACCAGTGCACATTCAGCTCCCGAATATCCCGCCCATCCAGCAACACCTGCCCTTCCTCCGGATCATAAAAGCGCTGCAACAGCGCCAACAGCGTCGACTTCCCGCAGCCACTATTACCCACCAGGGCCACCGTTTCATTGGGATTCACCGCAACGTTAACGCCCTTCAGCACCTCCACATCCGGGCGGGTAGGGTACCGGAATTTGATGTTCCGGAATTCGATGCGTCCTTCGCACTTGTCGGGCCTGGCGCCGGCATCCGAATAGGAATCAATCGTGGGAGCACTGTCAATGACCTCGAAGATGGTTGCCGCTGCTCCCTTGGCGGTGGCGATCGTGGCCAAGTGCGGTGCAGCCATGCCGATTGAAAATGCACCGATGATGACGGAGAAGATCACTGTGAAGATCTCACCGACGGTCTTGGTCTTGGGGACGGCTGCCAGCAATGTCGAGCCATACCTTCAAGAAAAAGCGTTATCAACTTCAGCAAAGTGACAATAACACTAACAAGTCGACAATCAAAAAGTGCACATACTACCGCAGGTTATAAAGGATGCAAACAATAGTATGCAGCTAAACAAGCAGGGTAGTGCATCAAACTACATTGACACCATCAAAACTAAAATAAAATAATCAAGGAGTTTTAGGTGTATACTGTACTCTAGAAATTATTAGAAAAATGTTATTGTAGAAATCATTTGGTCGAAATGAATATCCACAAATGTGTATCCACGTTTTGCAAAATGCGCTCAGTGTAGAGTTTGAAAGTTTGTTAAGTTACTTATTAGTGAAATGATAACGATTAAACAATTAAAAAATTAATTCATAAATGATTTCTTACGTAATTAACGAACAACCAGAGGTAAACGTACCAGAAAGCCAGTGCGTATGTCGCATACATAATTACGAATACAGCGCCCAGTCCAATGCCAGTGACGAAGGCCTTCCTAATTCCCAACTTTTCACTTGCTGCCATTTGCGTATCGTATCTAAATCAAGTACAAAGGAGGTCATCGTTTTGACCAGTAGCACATGAGCTTGAGAAAAATCTCCACCTGCGAATTTCTCGCCGCTGTCCTCCGAACGCCGTCACAGTCCGGATACATCCCAGTACTTCTTCAGCGATGGCGCCGGCTTTCACGTATTTCTCCTGTTCCCGAGTGGATGCCTCACTGACGAGCTAACCAACAAAATGTATGCAAATCAGGCTAAATATTCTCAAACTGAAGAAATTGCGCATCGTAGCACGCCGACACATATACCTTGCTAATAAAAGCTCCGGCAATGGCCAAAAACGGAACCAGGGATAACATAACCAGAGTCAAATCCCATCCTTTATAAAAACCAACGGCGAAACCTCCGACAAACTGGGCAAAGGCTTGAAGAGCAAAGGACATTTTGTCACCGAGACCATCTTTCACTCGTTCCATATCGCTGCATCACACAAGTATCACTGTAGACTCGTCATAAACGGTTGTGGTACTTGTTGCGTAATAACTAGGTATTATAAATCCCGTTTCTGCGGTATTAACGTGGGTCATTTTCAAACTTCCAAGAGTACAATTACACAGCTATAGTAAAATCCTTAAGGGATCTTGGCCCGGCCCGGCAATAATCCAGATAATACGAGTACCGAAGTACAGACCTGTAGGTGTTTCTTATTGTTCGTTAGGAATTTAGGGAGTCACATTTACTGGTTTATTTAACCTGGAAAAGCTATACAAATTAATCAAAGCGGTTCAAGAATTTTAACCTGGTTTAAAAAGATCACAGCAATAAAGTTAAAAGATTTGTATTGAGTGACCTGAGTGCCATTCAGCCAGCGAGCTTTTGCTGTAATAGCTTATCTCGAATAAATAAAATACAAAAAGTATGTAATGTTTAGAAAAAAAGCTGTTCTACATAATTATCAAATTACTCAGCGTTATCAGCAACGAAACGGTAATACCTGTACTGAAGAAGCCGGTAAGCAGTGCATTTGTAAGAACACTGGTTGCCTTATCAGTCAGCAAATATCGCCAAAAGTCAAATAAATTACAAAGTACTAATTTAAGTGATTGCTGGTTTAATTATTGGCCAATACTATGCATTCCAACCAAAAATAATCAAAGCCAGATAAATTTGGTGCTATCACCATCCCGGACCCGGTTACTTACTCTGATAAACGTGTTGTCAGTGATCCACTTTCATGGGTATCAAACCATGCCATTTCTTGCCGCAGTACAGAGTGCAGAAATTTCTTTCTGAAATTTGCAAATATTAAAATCTTGCAAATTAAGTATACTTAGGACGGCTGCGCACTCACTTCATCTTGTGAATCTGACGCTCACAGGCGGTAACCCAACAGGCCACCTGTGAAATATTGTAAGTAAATAATAAGTAAATAATGCTGTATAAGCAAGGTCATCTAATGCGGGGGAAGAATGTAAACACTCGTTGTTCCCCATACGGCCATACCTGAAATACGCTGGCCACGAAGGATGCCGCGCCAATGTACAGATAGCGGTACGTGAATTTATTGATCTGCTCCTCCATGTACGTCGCCGACGGAATTATCGGGGAAAACGATGAATTTGGTAGTATGGGAAAACTCGTAGTATTCGGTTCACCGGAAGGAATTCCTAACAACGAAATAAGCATAAACCTTCTGCGACGTTTAACCAGGTAAACCGTTGCTCGTTGTTCACCTATTTTACCAAAATATACAGAAATCATTAAAAATACTGAACTGTCACCTAACAATAAAAAACGAGAGAAAAAACAAGTAAAAAATAATCGCCTCGAAAATTCTGCAATTCAGCATTTTTCTGCAATAATCCCGTCGTTAAACAATTATTTCCAACGGAAGATTCGGTTTTATCATACCACAATCATTACACATACCTCCCTCGCCCACACTGAATAAATCCGTCATATCCCCTAACAAGTAAGAATAAAAAACCGCAATTAATACAAGACTTATTCAAGGCGCTTTTCAGCAAACATATACGCTCCGACTCGGTTCATCGTGATGATATTCTAAATTTTTACTGTAAGATTCAATGATTTTTAGAGCAATCTGTATTTAATTGAATCTGACAGTGTAGGTGCTTATACCGCGTACCGAAGACAACGTTCATCATAGGCCATGCCTGCAAATATCGAACCCGTTTACACCGTCCAAAATGCAGACAGCACTTTTCCACGGTTCGTGAGCGTTCGTCACGCTTTCTTACCAGCCCCGTCGCGCAGGCAAACAGGCTTCCCACCACCATCAGCACGACATCCACCCATGTGGCATAGCGGAACTATCAATTCCATAACGAAACAGGTGAGGGAAAACGATAAATACTCGAGGATATTCAGTTCTCACCAAGGTGGAGAACGGAACCGGCGGCAGTTTAGGCTCCGCGTCGTCCTTCTCGTCTTTCTTCTTCTTGGCCTCTTCATCCGGTGGCCTACGTGAAACAGGTACATAACGACGCATTTTACTGAGATTCTAATTTCATGAGATAATAAATCGAGACGAGATTCAAAAGATCCTGCGCATCGGCAGGAGGAGATCGCAGTGACGGACTACATTGCAAGGATTGTTGATTATCAGGCTGACTCAAAATAACATGAGGAAATAACAACAAACGATTACAACGACAGTTTTGCGAGCTTGCATGGGTTGACTCACAATTCACAAACGACACCTAAACATCACGGCTGATCTAATCCTCCTGGAGGGATTGGATGGGCGCTATTCACGCAATTCGGTTCATTTTATGGACTTTAGCGTCGTGCTCAGTGGCAGCGTTTACACATCCAATCTGCCACAAAATCCACTGGAAGTTGTTGCTTTTCAGTGCCTAAGCGCAAGCCCAAGCACAAAAATAATTAATATTAGAGTATTTGAAATTAGAAATTTTAGTTTTTATCAAAAGGAGGGCTTAAAAGCAAAGCGCAGAGCGTATCGACCCTGATAACAGGTACCCGATTTTCTGTTATTATGGTTAAGATTTTATTATTGTTAGAATCTGACTGGCGTGTGAAACATTTTGTGAATTGTAAAAGGTACCACATATCGACATATGCCTCGTTTAAGTAGAAGAATTGAAGATGAATTTCTCTCGCTCGTACTAACTTCTATTTTGACCAAATAACAAATGAACCTTTTTTCAGATACTTTTCCATATGTTACACTTTCAGACCAGCAATGGAAGCATTACAAAACTATTTTTTGTTTAAAATGAAAAGTCAAGGACCGTTTTTGTCCTACCGAAACATGCTTACAAAGAATTCTAAAATATCAATAAATTATCACTTCCACTTAAGGAAACACTAACACATAAGGAGCCTTTCGACAACACTAACATGAGCACTCGGGTTAAGACTATGGTTAAAACTAAGATCAACAATCAGGTTTTCACTTTGATCAGAACTAACGTTAGCACTCGGGTTATGGCTCCGGTCAAATTAAGGAAGTGGGCCGGTACAAGGTACCAAATTCGTGTACATGCACGAAAAGTTAACTTTTGCGCACTCCCAAACACATTTTTAGTTTTATTTTATGACATTCTGCAGCCAGATGACTTGTATTCTAACAATAATAAAATCTTAACCATAATAACAGAAAATCGGGTACCTGTTATCAGGGTCGATACGCTCTGCGCTTTGCTTTTAAGCCCTCCTTTTGATAAAAGCTAAAATTTCTAATTTCAAATACAGTAATATTAATTATTTTCGTGTTTGGGCTTGCGCTTAGGCACTGAAAAGCAACAACTTCCAATGGATTTTGTGGCAGATTGGATGTGTAAACGCTGCCACTGAGCACGACCTAAAGTCCATAAAATGAACCCATTTGAAGCGCCCATCTTCCTCCAGGAGGATTAGATCAGCCGTGATGTTTAGGTACAAACGACAGCCGATCGGCTGTGCCGCTGTGGTTTCTGAATCACTCATGGTGAGCCGATGCGATCCCACAGATCAATACTTTGCCTTTAAATTTCTCTTCTAAACGGCATACCGTACTACGCTCTTTTAGTACTGTACCGAAAAACAATATTTTATTTGTGAATAATATCCTTGCTTCATGTTGGTCGACTAATGAATAAAGTATTACTCGCAATCAAAATTGTTTTAAACACTCTCATTTAGTTTGCGCCGTACTTTGCAAAAAAGCTAAAAATCAGTAGGATTATCATACTTCTACTAATAAAAAGTTGTAAAACTAGTAATAACTAGTATCAATATTTAATCAGTTGTTTCACCGTTACATTCATATTTACTAGCGCACCATCCATGTAAAATAAATTTAAAAATTAAATTTTCCTCTGCATCCAAAGTAATTAAACCCCAGGAGAAGAATTATGTCTCTGTACTTGGACAAAATTGGATTAACTTACACTACGTACGTAATACAAGATAATTATAACGAAGTCTGGGTTTTCGTTGCAAGGAAATCATTGAAAATACTGAATACTGAATTTTGATATGAACCGGCAAACTGGTTCGTAATAATTCCATATTAATACCTGCATGGTTTTACCAATTTACGTATGACACTAAGTGACCACTGTTGACATCGAGGTCAGTTGTAACTCGAAATCAGTTTTAGCTTTGAGAACTACTTTGAAGCATGCAAAGTAACTTGAAAAAACTCAAAGTTTTCTTCCATTTCAGCCGAAGTTTCCCATAATGCAATATACATATACAACGAACTGAAAGCTTACGTGGAAGTTGGTTTGACCCCGACCGTCACAGATGATTGGCCATTTTGCATCGTGTCAAGTTCATGGTCACTCAAGGAAGTGGTATCGTCTGTGACGAGCTGATCGGTGCTTCCGCTGTGCACAAATGCGCCGTTAACATGGCCCCTTGAGGATCTTCCTGCTGTCCCATTTGAAGCACCCTCTTCCTCTTTACGATCCATTTTAAATCGCGGCTCAGGAATTATAGATTATCGATATGGTGATAGGGTTGTGTTTGTGCAGGTAGCACACAAAAATTACTAACCGAAGCAATCATTGACAAATCCAGATACGCCATATGGCCAGCCATAAAGGTCATTTCCTTACGAAGTAGCTGCTCTGTAGAATATGCTATGTCCATTTCCTCGCAGGTGATCCCAACCTGGAAATTGTGGTTTATCACTTCCAGATTTTTGCAGCCTTAAAGGTTGCTTGCTTACTCTTTTTTGACTGATACACTGCTGGCGTGCAAAACAGATTTTCCGCCAGTTGACTAAGAGCTGGTGTGGCTGCAATAACAAAGCCAGTTTTAAGGATTTATCAATGGTGACTTACCAGATTAATTGTTTACCAGCTGACTGACTTGCATTGGCTCGTGTACTAAAAAACCGAGATGACAGAGTGCTTTGACAAAGATGACAATCATGCGACCGGTACGAAAACTGTGTGCCAGGGAGGGCACAGCTATGCAACAACAAATCCATGAAATCACAACGAATATCTCAAAGACAGCTTCCATTAGGTCGATTAACATTTTGACACCGAAAACATCTTGGATCTCGTTAAACAGATCGTACAGCATACCGCTACTGCAGCGTAATTTAAATAGCACCTCTGTGCAAACTTCTGAGCTTCCCTCGAGAATCGCTGCTTCACAACTAACATTTGAATTATTAGTAAGCAAATGGCGACCGCAGTTTCCAAGAATGGAACATGTAAATATAAATAACACCGTTAAGGAAAATTTCACAGTTTCACTTAACAATGTCAAAGTGTATAAATAAATTGTTCTTGCGCCGTTCGTGATGTTGAAAAATGAGTATGGTGAAACACTAAAGAACGTTGCCGAATCCACCGTGGAGGAAATAGCTTCCGTGGTTTCTAATAACGCAAACACTAAGCGAAAAATTTCCAATGTAATCAAGATTCCCAGCATAACCCGGGCTTGGGTGTACTTAGTCAAGCGATCTTTCGAAGAATCAAATTTCGAGATGGTAAGCAGAGCAAAACTAATGCAATGCCCAATTTGGCGAGATCTGACAATAGCGTATATAGATGAAGTAAGAGCAGTCAAGTACGTGATTTGCGTGGACGCATAAGATATCATGACAACAATTACGTTTACCCGCCCGTACGACTCATTGCTTCCTTCCACTGGCAAATCTGCAATGTCCAGGAATAAAACTACAGCCAGAACCGTGATCACTACGTACCCACACGCTCGCAACATTTTCTGCGCACACCGGTTAACGGGGAGACCACTGTCCAAAAACAGTCCCAGGAATGCTTTGTATGGATATTTTTCACCGGCAGAATGCATTTTTGAAACAAGCAAAGCAAAGAACGGATCATAGCAAAGGTAACCAGTAGCAGTAACCAGAAGCGGCAATGTAATCGTTTCTCGGTAATGTTAGCATTTAGCACACGCTCTAATTTGCTGATGCCGCTAAATGTCTAATGTAATTGGTCTGACATATACAGTCAGTGACTCAATGGAATCGAAGGTAAGCACTGCATTTCTTTTCATTTTCATATTATTTATTCCCACAATCAAGTTTCCGTTCATGTTTATCGACGCTCTCCAGTGTCCACACCCGATATGTACAGAGTATATCGCCTTGAAATCGTCTCGTGCACAAAATTAGATGGCTCATAGTCACAAAATACTCGTACAAATAGGAACCAAAACTTGATTTAAATATTCTGCATAATGCTTGTTGTTGTCATTAGGATGTTTAAATTCTTTTTGAGCGTTCAGACCTCGCCATTAAGGGTAGCTGATACGAATACAATTTTGTGGTTTGCATCTCCGGAACCTGTAAAGAAACACCTGTCAAGCATGTTATCCGTTACCGATCACTCGGTCGCACGAAACTTGTGACAACTAGGTTCAGGTGGCATTGCAGTACTTGTAATATCGGTAATTTGACGAAAGTAACAAGAGTGTTAAAAACTGTTACACTTATAGTGCAGACTTACGCATGCACTTGCACAGTTCTCTAGTACGTAAGTACAGAGCTCTGTAATATTTTGCCTCTTGCAGCATTCCTAAGCGGCTTAGTTATGGCAAAGTCCCAAAGTCATTTCCCCGACAGCAAGTTAAGGGCGTTCAAGACGTTTATTATTGTGATCGTCGGCGCTGCCATGATTGTGGACTTCTCGGATATGGATAACTTCTCGCAGTATGTGTCGGTCAATCTGTCCGAAGCAAGTCCTTTAGTGGCATCCATCATCCTAATTCATAGCCAGATTTCGTACAGCCGCCTATTCGCTTTGCTTTTGAGCACATACTTCAAGTCGAATTATTTCAATGCAGCGAAATGCGCTTTTCGGGGCACGCATCGGGAACCGATTAAGATGTTGATCCGGCTAGCCATAATGCTAACATTAGTTATTCTGCGATTGGCGTCATGTTTCGTCATATACAGCCACTTAGCTAGTGAAATGAGCACATACTCTGCTTTCGTTGTTACCGTGCAAAACATCCGATCTTATGCGTCGTCGATCATCGCGGTCAGTTCGCTCTTCGACATTGTGGTTCAATGCTTATTCTGCTGTATGTGCTGCGCTCCATTAGAACTGGCTGAAAATTTTGAAAACCGCGTGACAAAAACCACCGAGGCGATGAAAGAGGCACGGTGGAGTTGGGACGAATTTTCAACCGAGGTCATTGGTATTCGAGATCAGTACGAAACCGTTATCGAAGCTGTAGATAAAATCGGCAACAATTTCGGTTGGCCAATTTTGATCTCCCTGGTGGGCGGTGTTTTCGAAGCACTTAGCGTCATTGCATCCTTAAGCATGTACGCCTTTGCACCACAAGAGAAAATGATTTACCGTTTAATGCGCGACAGCATGACCTTGGGTATTCTCGCTGTCCAGCTGTGGAATGTTATGGATATCCCCATCAGTCTCTATAAAATGGTACTTAAACACACATCACAAACGAACAGCAGTATTTCTTAGACATCCTTTAAATCTTAACTAGCATAGTCCCCATGTTTCAGGAACACGTCTTGGCTGAAAAGATAGAGGTGCTCGTCTTTTGTCGGCAACAGACTAGAGAGACTGTAAGCGGCGGTGCGCCAGTATGCTTCTATTCGCTGTTTTGATTGAAGATCGAGTGTATTGTATGTTGTGCTTTGCTATTGTTGTGCTTTGTATGGCTGCTTTCGCCGTATTCGTCTGGAATTTTGTTAAAGTAACAACTGTTAACGCTCAAAAACTTTTTGTAGGATCCTGGAGTTGGCGAATATAATATTCTGAAATCACTGGCTGAGCGCGGGCATAGTAAGCGTCTGACTGTTTCCGCTGGTGGGATTGTTCACTTCGATCTCAACGCTGTTGTTACGGTATGGAGTCAAAGAAAATCTGCCGACCAGCTCGTGATCTCGCATATGTACTCGTAATTGCTGACCTTTCGTTGCAACAAAAATTGTCTTTGTAGATAATCATGGGAATTCTTGGTTTTGCTGTTTTTGCGGTGGATCGAATGCAGAACGTCCGACCGGTTCTGAACCATAATTCAACGACTGGTTAGGCTGCCAAAATAATATTGTAGTTTTGCTCTGTTGGAGATGATTGCCACAGCAGTTCTTATACTGTATGGTCCAGGGACATGTTTCCTGTTTGTGTGAACAAATGACTTTTTTGCTTCGAGTAGCTATACAGCCTATACTTACCAACACACTTGCATTTAATTCTAGTTACGAATTCATCACCAGCGTGCTGAAAATCTGTGTACGTAATGTTATGCTGAGAGCTGCTTGCAGTGCTGCTGCTTCAACCAATTACGAGTGCTTATACAAAATTAATTGGCTAAATTAGACACACGCGTGGCACATAACATATCGTCGCCGGTCCCGGGCCCATCAGATAAGAAGTTTCCTACTATTACGCTGCAAATTTTAAAGGTTTAGAAAACAGATGAGCAAACAACACACCCACGGACTTTTGGGTAGGCCAAAATACGCCAGAATTTTAAATGTTTTGTCCTCGTACAACTGCCACTGTATTCATACGTTTGACACTGCAAGTGATTTGGCAGCTGCTGTTGGCGTTGACAATAGCTAATATACGGTTGTGATATACTGATAACTAGGTAAAAATTACGCCTGTAAAAATAATCTTAATGGTACAGTGGTTCGGAAAGATTAAATTTTGCTGACAAAATTCCATGCACGAGACAAAGAACTGGAACCAAAATGCAGGATACCGGCTTGTCTTCTCCTTCGGCGCATATCGCGAACTATTACCAACAGCTTCCAGGAGGACAGGTTTTGCGATTCTTCATTGGCACCGATTATGAGATCCATTGCCCCGGAGTGTGTTCAAAGCGTCATGTAACAAAATTCATAAGAAAGCCTCTAATATGCCTTGTAATACTGGTAATGATCACAATTTTCCTATTGGATCTAATGGATATTTTCGTTCACGGTATGACACGGGATCCATCCTACGGAAAGATCAACATCGTAATAACTATGATCGGCTTCTCAGCTAGTCAAGTGTGCTTCTTCCATGTGGCAGCCGCAGCACTGATTTTGGTTATTAGATCATGGCGCATCAAATCTTGCTTGCTGACCATCACTGATGCACAAGAAGAACTGCTGTTTGCACAGCCAAATTGTACAAAGTATCTCAGACGAAAATGTCTCCTTTTATATTGCTTTATTGTGCTAAACAGCGTTATTTACGCAGTGGTCAGTATTCTGGAATATGAACCACGTTATGGACGAGATGGATTGTTCCCGTACGCGTTTTGGCGAATCCCGATAAAAGCACTGCAGTGTTACATATTCTCCGTTGAGGCTGCATTGTTAATAATCAACTTTCCCTTTGTACTGCTGATATTCAACGCTGGTATCACGATTTCGGAATATGCTAGCACAGTCCATAGCGATCTTGTCGGTCTTTTTGATAGAAGCGACAAAAAATCAACCGTGGCGATGCAAGAGCTCACTGTTGTGCGGTACAAATACGAGAAACTTCTTGAACTTTATGCTGCTGCTCAAAAGGCTTTCAGCGAAATTTCGTTAATCCAGTCACTCATTCCTGGCATTCAGTTAATGATCGTTATGTCATGGTTCTGCACGTGGCTATCGGTCCCTGATTCTGGGGAACCTTTGCGCGCCGGCCGGGTGGCGTTGTACGGCATCAATGCAGTGATTACGTTAATCACCACTGCATATGGGCCTATCAAATTAAGCCTGATGGTAATGACGTTTTTGAATCACTTGTTTGCTACACATTGTTGTTGGGACCCCCGTTCATAATGTCCCTCGTTCTTTGCAGCAAAGGAGATTGGTGGAAATAACTGAAAAGATTTCGGAGCGTGAGCAAAAGAAACGTATAGTACGTCAAAGGTTGCATTATTTTTCCATTATTCGGAGCACGCTTCAGCCGCTGTTCTATTATCATTTATGAGTACAACACAAAATTTACTGTGTGATACTTTTTAAGAAGAGAAATTTGTCCCTGTGTAGCAGTACTGAACTTTTACAGAATATAACCATCAAAGAGATGGAATGTATTGATTCTTTCGTGCGGAGGACAAAATCGAACTCATTGACCTTAACAGCTGGTGATGTCCTGCCTTTGAACGTTGGCGCGGCTTTGAAGGTCAGTGGCAAAGTGTTTGTGCAGTTCGCTAAAATATCCTCAAAATAACTTCAGCATGGCCTAATTGATTTGTTATTCGTTGCAGGGCGCATTCTGTTTGCTTGCATTCTTTTGCTACGTTATCGAGCGTATCGAAAATTCCACACCTTTCGATGATCCCGTGTGGCACAACAACGCAAGTACATCATCTTGACGGTTCCCGGGTTATGGTTCGTATGCGTTCGTAACAGTAGCATGCAATGTTACGCATTGCATACTGTAGCATTTTTTTGCGCAGCCTAACATGTACTTACTGTATTCGGTATTCGTAGGGCATTGCTTGCTTAACCTGCAACGCACAGGTAAACTGCGAAAATGCTATCTCACACAAAGGAACAATGCTTCGTGTCCTCTTGGTATAGATCTCGAAAATACGCTTCGTAATAAAACAACCTTGTGTATAGAAGACTATGCATTATCTGGTTCCTGACGCATGTGATTTCTTTAACAACTTCAAGTTTCTATGGAGTGAAATAAAGACGAAAGGGTCTATAAATTTGCACTTGATTTTTTACGTTTCTGCAGTACACAATCTTATGATTATTAATGTGTTTTACTTTTGTACAACGATCCTCTTAGCAGAGAAAAATGAATGTGTCGGTATCGCGTTAGAAACGTTTTTGTTTTGCTGATTCGCTAATTTGTGAGGTGTTTTCTTGTGATAAGAGAGCAGAGATGGTGGAGATATTTAGCGTATTTGGTGCTATTTCTCTGGGGAAATTAAGTAACAGTGTCGATGCTGAATTTTTCCCAAATGTACACTTAACAGAAATGTTTACCGTTGTACAGCGACTAAGCGCACAATAAATATATACATAAAAGCGGCATTTGCACTCGTGGTCAGTTCGTGGATGTTTTGCAAAGTTACGATCCGGTAAGCACGTTACAATGCACCATTAAATTAACAACAATTGTAACAAGGCCATCGGTTTGTATCATGGCAAAGATGTGCAGTTCACATGGGAGAATGGCTTTGGCCACAGTCAATGTGTTTTTACTGATTGTTACCATTATGGAAGTGGGCGACTTGAAGAATTTCGATACATACCTGAAGGATTCATACCTCGGCGCTAGTCCGGTCCTTGCGGTGATGAGTTTAATGTACACCCAAATCGCTCTCGTTCGTGCAACAGCTGTCTGCCTGGCTAATGTATGGCAGTATAATCAAATCAAAAACCTCTTGCTTCCTCTGCACTTAAGACTGAAAGAGTGCTTTCCGAAAGATCAATCCATGTGCAAACTTTTGGCTAAACGGTTTGTTGTCATGATCGTACTGGTCAGCGTGCGATTCATTGCGATGACAATACTGGCCACTCGCCAATCAAAAACGTCTTACGACCGCACCCAGTACTTTGTTCTGAACATCAGCAACATTGGGATTTTATGCTACTGGGCGTTTCTCCTGTTTGTGGCTGGATTGGCCACCATCATTCCAGAAGTCTTGTTCTCTTACTGTTTTGCTGATTTGGTTAACCAAGCCGACGAACTGCTTGTTCATATCGAAAAGGACACCTTTGCTACCATGCAAAACTTATACAACTGCGATGAATTTTACCAAGCTGTCCTGGACATTCAAAGTCATTATGAAAACGTTGCCAAGAACGTGGTTATGCTGCAAAGTTGTGTCAAATGGCAAATTCTGATATCGGTTATGGGGAATTCGTTGGAGTTAATCGTTGCGATTGCGTGGTTCGTTATTTATGCCTACATGTCCAAAATCTTTTCGATAAGACGATTCATTCGATACTGTTTAACGGTGCCGCTTGTGCTGTTTCAACTCTGGTCGATGCTGCATTTCCCGTGTCTGATGTGGAAAAAGGTAAACTATTACTAGGGAAGTGCACCGCTGCAGGCTAGCACTAAAAGACCGAAGCGAAGCCAGAAATTTCCGTAAGATGCTCCATTCTGAACAAAATCTTATCCTGTATTACGAATTTTCGTCCTATTTTAAATTCACATATCTCTAGTCAACATTAAAATGTGCAGCAGATAATTTATCTGCTGCCTGTATTATGCAGTTGGAATGATTTGTCAACAGTCTCAGAATGAAAGTTTACAGTAGAGCATTTTAGGGAAGAATATTGACAAAAATTCCACAGATAAAACAGGTCCACGTATAAAGCATAAGATGATAAAGATTATCAAGTTGTGTTAGTTTAAAAGTGCATTATTGTAATGCAATAATGTCCCCCATGCCGGACACCAATAATTTGGTTTCGGCAATAATATCCAGTCCGTAATTGCTGTCGTTCACTGATTTTTGACTGGTAACGCTGTGGTAACGCTGGTGGCGGTTCTTTAAAGGTCACCGAGTGACCTGATTTTCAGCTTTTCGTTGTAAGTCCCCTGTGTCACCATTCTGGCCAAAGGGTTACCGTTTTGGCGATGGTGGCAGGGGGGACACAGCAAGAATGTCCGGGGGGACACGGGGGACATTTTTGCCGGTCACACACGTTGACAAAATTCAACAAATTTCAAATTTTTACAGTGCCAATTTGTTTTAGTAAATACACAACAGTGAAAAACACACATGCTTTCACATAATATAGGGGGCAAAACCAGTCTACCCGAATCGTCTCCCTGCACTGCTGCCGTCACCCGGCTGGAGTTTTACGTTAAGGGCCTTGTGGCTAAGCATGGTGCTTATGTACCGCGCCCGATTTAACCATATTATGTGTTGCCGTAACGTCTTATTCTAGCCGAGTGACGGCAGCAGCGCCGTGAACCAGCTCTACTAATACTTACCATTCTGTAATAATATTATAGGTTTTCTGCTATTAGTAGTGCGTGAGCAGCGTGACCGACGGACAGATTATTGCGTGACCGACATGACCGACAAAAACTTCTGTTATCTTGAACATAGAGGACCTTCGCTTCGCTTCGGTCGATTACCATTTGCCAGTACGCAAAATGTCTAAGCTCTAAACGCAAACAGAAAAAGTTGTATGGTTTACTCCACAGGAATGCAAAATTACGGAAAAAATTGAGACACTAGTTTACTGGCGACAAAGAAAGCGAATAAAGGTAAATCCGTTTATTTTGGCATCACCTCAACCTCGTTACCAGTTTTAAGCGTAAGGTCGATCTGTACTTTATTTGTTTTAGGGACCTTCACTGGAAGAATATCAGCTGCTGCAGTCCGTAACCAAACGGGGATACTCCAAACGTTTGACCTTTTCTGCTGGGGGAATATTTGACTTGACTCCGTACTCAACAATGACGGTACAGAACTCTTACATCATTATTGCAATTTTTGCTTTGGTACACATATGCCTGCATTTCAGATGGCTTACTGTATCCTGGGTTTCCTAATTTTTGCGGTTGATCGCATGGAAAACACGGACTCGATAATGGATAAAGTTACCGACTTGTCGGGGAGCACAAGGAATTCGAGTTTGCTTAATATCGGTCACAACAAGACAGGATTTACATAACTTTCTTGTATTGACGGATTTAGCTTAGTACCTTGTGTGCGGATCGGATATTTTGCCACGCGCGTATTCATTTTCAAAATGCAAGTACTGAAGTACATTTAGTAATTCTGCTTGTTTGGCAGAGAAAGTCATTAATTTTGACAGTTGGGGAAGAATGGTTGTCACTGTCAGATTCACCTGTGCTGGATCGAATGGCAACTATTGCTAAATGCAAACAGAGCTTGAATTATCTCGAATACGAGTTTCACAAAGAATATTACTAAAGCACTTCCGTAATATTTAGTAAAGATTCATAGAATAAATAGCTTTTCTTTAAAGACTTGGTAACACCTGACTTACAGCTTTTGAGATTTGATGGTGGTTTGTAACGTCAAAACGAAAAAGGTCACATCATGTTTTTAACTGAAGCGATGAAAATGCGATGAATCGATCATAATGCGGAAAGGTTCAGATGTTCTACGGCTGCGTAAAGGACCTCCTTATCCGGGTCGCTTATTTCTGCGCCTTTTTGTATCTCCTTCTTCCGTCCGTGATGAGGAATCACTTTTATCAAAAACATCCCACTTTTCCACGCGATGTACCGGTTATGCCATAACTGCTGTTTTTACGTGGGTTTTCATACTCGACTTCGTCGATCTAGTCCACTTACAAGGTCGCGACAAGGACCCGGCATATGGCCGCATTAATCCGATCATTGTCATAATCGGTTTTGCAGCCAGTCAGACAACTTTTTTCCGCGCTGCCGCATCATGCATCTTCAGCATGCGGCATGGAAAGGAAATGGTAGCGTGTGCGCATTTTGTCTTGAAATGCGCAGATGTTTTTAAGATTCCGGCGAATCGCCGCATCCATCACATTAAAAGAGGGCAGCTTCTTTTTCTCTTTGTGGAAGTATCGTGCATAATTCGATTGGTTGTGGGAATGTTGGAAAATCTGGATAACTTGTACAAGAGGGTGCCGTATGGATTCTTCTACATTTATGTGTGGCAGATCAATGCGTACATTTACATTTGGGTCATTCTGGCTTCGTGGATTAATCTCCCGTTGCTGACAATGTTTTATTATCTATGCGCTATCCTCAACGATTGTGCTGAAGTTTGTGCTGAAGATATTCAGAAGCTGCTTGATGAACCCGCGCCAGCCGCCTTGTCAACGGATGAATTCGCGAATAAGCTGAAGCATATACGGCGACAGCATGAGATGTTATGCGATATGTTCGAGAGGATGCAGAAGACGTTCTCCAGCAAACTGCTGATTGATATCGCAGGGAACCTTTTCGAAGTTTTGGTCGTGATTGCCTGGTTTTGCTCGTGGGTCGCGTTACCGACTTTTGGAAACAAGTATAAAACTGCAAGGATGCTGATGACTTTATTAGGCACAATTCTTCGGCTTATTTACCTTGTGGCACAGCCTCTGAAGTTTAGTTACATGGTACGAACATTCGTGCATATAAAACGAAGACGTTACAAATTTACAATGTACTGCATGGTCTTCGTTACATGAACTGATGATCGTAAAATATTATTGTTAATACGGATACTTTTGTCCTACATTAGCCCGATAAGTTAGCAGAGTTGGTGGATGAGGCCCTGTATCAACGACAAGCTAAAAGAAAAAAGGTGAAAATAATATAACTTCTGCAAAGATTCTAGGTTTGATTTAAATAAATCTGGATAAGTTATGGTGAACCTGAAGTAAACGCTTTCGTAGAACTACGTACGATGTATGCTGCACTGCCGCATCTCTTTTAACCGTATCATCTCTGATCACAACTGGTACTTGCAGTATATCGCATCCGTAACCGAGGTGGATGTCACCCAAACTTTGGACAGAAAAGTAAAATCCAGTGACCTCACGTTTTGTGCCGGACAAATAATTGGCATTGATCGAGCCACGGTCATCTCGGTAAGCAGTGGGTAAAAATACGTAAATACAATAATATGCTGACGTTTAATTACCTAACTTTTCTCTTAGACCATTGTTTCGGTGGCAGGATTCGTTTGCTTCATCATCGAGCGCATCGAAAGCTATTCTGTTATACATTCACAAGACGATAATGACTTGATAAATTGTTAAAAAGTTGCCGCTGCTTTTTAGCCGGACTTTGCGATTGTAAAGTTGAATGAGTGCCGAATGCCGATTAGTGAATTGGTCGGACACTTGGGTTTAAACTTGTACGCATGGAGAATATAGATATGACTAAAGCTGATTTGCTTTTAATTTGTTAACTGCATCTAAAGTTTTTCAACGAAAGATTTCACATAATCTGTAGTTGGAGCGCTACCACAGTGTATTTTTATTTTCTCTCTCTTACGGCATTAAGCGTATCCGCTAGCTGATAAAGCTCCTTTAATTAAACCGCCGTACATGTAAGATATCCGATATGTCGTAGTTCGTACAGTGCAGTTGCAAACTCACAAACTACCACAATGACACCACCGGGATCAGTTTCTCAATAACTAACGAAGTAAACCTTGCCATTTGACGTTCTGCCAAAAATGACGTCTGGTACCGCATTGCGACACCTGTCTCGCAAAATTTGGATGAATGACATTCATCGTCGAGAATTAGCGAAGCATTGAATTTTTCCGTTTCACTTGTCAATAAAGTGTACCAAGCATACAACCAGTGCGCTTTGCAAGCAACTTTGCAAACGTTTTGCAGATACCACCCCCGGAATCTTATGTACATAACCCCAATTTACCACTTTTAATTAATACAGTCATTAATACAGTCATTAAGCTTCTCGATTACATAATGGCCTTTTGCAGTAAAAGAAGCTGTCTTTTCGTTCTCAGTGGATTGTTTTGTGTTGCTACTCTACTGGACTTTGGTGATATTTCTAATTTTGATACGTATCTGCGAAGTCAGTTCGCCGTAGCTAGCCATATTGTAGCAACGGTCAGCCTGATGCACACCCAAATCGCATTCCTCCGTGGTACCGGAATCTGCTTCAGTAGCGCGCTATTTTACGCCGACATCCAACGCTTACCCGATCCGCTGCGGGCCATCCGCAGCCCTTTTATTGGACACGTTGTGGCTGTCCCATCTAGCGCCAGACGAGTGCTGTACCGCTTCCTGGTTCTTGTTCTGTTAGTCACGGCACGCTTTGTGGCCACGCTGGTGTTAATCATTGTAGAACCAGGATTCAACAGTGATCCCAATACATATTTCATTTTTCAAACTACGAACAGTTTTGTCCTTTTATATTCATCCATTGCTTTGTGGTTGGGTACAATGATCAACATCATCAGCGAGACATTCTTTGGCTACGCATGCTGCTTTATTGTCAAAGAAGCTGAAATCTTGTCAGATGATATTGACCGTGCCATTCAGCGGACGCAGAGCAATAAGTGGACGGATGACGATTTCATTGACGAACTTATTAGGCTGCGTGCGGGTTACGAGCATTTGATTAGAAAGGTCAGGGAGGTGCAGAATGCACTGCACTGGCAGATTCTGGTGTCGGTACTGGGGAATGGTTTTGAAATCATGGTGACCTCTGCGTGGTTTGTGATGTTCGCCTTTGTGCCGAGTATGGGATCACCGAGACGTCTGTTGCGATATTGCACAACGACGCTAGTTTTGATTCTACAGCTGTGGTCAGCGGCTAAGCTGCCACTGCAGGTTTACGCTCTGGTACTGAAGTCCACTGACTTTAACGTAATGAATGATAATTAACCATAATTCGTAAATAACTGCAACGATATTTTAGCAAACACAGATCGCTGAAAAACTGGAAAGCCTGGTTTACTGGCGCCAAGAAACCCGCAAAACCGTTAAGTACCGCAAATATCAATTCTCGGCGAAAATTTGACAACACGTATCATGTAGCAGCTAGTGCACTCGTTCGAACGGACAGTAATAATTCTGACAAATTACTTTTGTTTTGGTTTCAGGAACCGACAATAGACGAATACGATATTATGACTTCCCTGGTCGAGCGGGGCCATGCGAAACGATTAACATTGTCCGCCGGTGGCGTTATGGATTTGACACCGCTTTCCTTACTCACAGTAAGGGAACATATAGAAGGAAATTATTAACAATTCATAGCCATACAGAAAAAAATTAATGTAGATGTTGGTATGGCCCGTGTGGGCATGAATGTTTTAGAAATTCCCTTGAGTACACAGGGGAGAAGATGCTTCTTGTATGTATTACTGTACTTACATATTTAGTTCGCCTGCTGTGTTCTCGGCTTCGTCATATTTGCGGTCGATCGCATGGAGAACATCCAGTCAACTGCCCGCATGGTTACCAAGCTGATTGTCGACCACAACGTCACCATTCCGGAAGAACTCAAAGCAAACCTCACCAGTATTTGATTGGAACTAATTTGTGATTAAAAATTTTCACTTATAACGTAAGTATACTCTGTAGCAGTGTTTTTAACAGTAAGATGCACAATGTTGTTAACCATCATGATTTTTACTACGGAGTAGAGCCGGACAATTTTATACGTATCTGTTCTTACGGACGGTAATGTACATAATAAAACTGTACAAAAAAAAACAGAGCAAAAATAAAACAATAAATAATACACATTCCCATGCACCATGTAAACTGTACCGGGACATACATCCTGTAAAAGTACGAGTGTATCATGTCCTATGTATAAGACCGGAAAGGACGTTGGACATCCAGTGTTCAGGATGAATCACATGCAGCGTATTATTTATGTTCGGACCGACGGAAATAATTATTATGACCGTTAACGCCATTATGTCGCTAGTACGATTGCTAGATTGCTTTGCTGCCCCTGCTACTAACCGTACCTGGAATTTGGGCCTTTTTTTGGCAGTTTAAAAAGCTCATCCCTTTCGCATCCTTTCAAGTTTCTACGTCTCTGTAGTGCTACAATCTACCCGGAAAAGTTAATGCGGTGCCGCTTTCGCTGCATCCACCACCACGCACGAAGGTTACGTGACTTCTGCTGTTTTTGAGGTTCACTTTTGAACGTTTCAGACATTCATTTGAATATTTTTCGTTCAGTTTGTTTTTCTTTTTGTTTTCGAAGTTTATGACGCAGAATTCTTTGGTTAGATTATTGTGTTAGGTGTTAACTTACTTTGCATAAAATGTCGGAAAAACCCTTCCCGAACGAAATAATTTTGAGCTTCTTTGACACTCTTATCTATCGACGCGATGTTGATCTACTGGATGGAAAGCACTGGATCAACGACGTGATTATTGGTTTCTATAATGAGTAAGTTCCCGGCTCTTGCTCGAAACTCTAGTTAAGTACTTTTACTCCGATTAGTTTTTTATAATCCTAATTACTTTTTCGGTTTCTGTAGATATTTGGAAAAGTACGTTTATTCTGAAAATCGTGCGGATATATGTTTCGTCCATCCCGATGTGGTCTTCGCCTGTTCAGTCAGCACGGGTACAGAGTACTTTCATTATGAGCTGATTCTGCTGTTCCGTCTAATGACTCTAATAATAATCGTCTAATGCAGGTGAAAACAAAACAGAAAAGGACAATCTTGTCGCTTTGCTAGATTGGTACTAAAATAACTGAAATTATGATTCAGATGCCGCTGCCAGTGATATAACCAAAGATCTCCGTCTTGCTGAGAAATCCTACGTCTTTCTACCGTTGAACAATAACGAGCATGTGGATGCTGCAGGAGGGACCCACTGGTAGGTTAAAGTTTTTATTTTCTTCAGTTTAATTTGTCCAGTGAAATTGTTGTTTTCAGGAGCCTGTTGGTGTATAATCGATTGGAGAATACCTTCTTTTATTTGGACTCCTGGATGGGACACAGTATGAAAACTGCCAAAGAAGTTGCGGCCATTATGGAGAAGGCGCTTGGTATTTTGGAACGGCCGAAATTCCAATATTTGGATGTTCCCCAACAGGCAAATGGTACGGCTTGTACACTAAACTACTTTTTTTAAACAAGCTAAAATAATACCGCTACAATTTCAGATTTTTATACTCGTACAAAATAAATAGAGTTGAAACAAAATTATCTGATTACTGAAATTACTGGATTTTTCGTTTTTACCTGTTCGTTTTGTACTCGTAAATTCAATGAATATTATGCGTGTATCTGTACTATAAGTGTCGACTGGTTGTAGTAGCTGCCCTCTTTTATGTTTGCTGCACTTTTCATTGATTCCGTTAAGTTAAGCGTCGTTGATTATTTGCTTTTCGAACAGCAAGTACATTTTTCGGAGCAAAGCGAAGAAAAGTTGATTCATTTAATAGAAGTATTTATGAGATGAACTGCTTGGTATTTATTCTGGCAATGCGCAGTTAATCGCTTACTCTGTAAACGGTAGATTTAGCTAGAAGCTCAGAAAAAGTAATTTAGCAACTAGCAATATTTTCCCCCTGTAAACCGTGAAATTTTTAATTTTTGCGTGTGTTGTCGTAGGCTTTGATTGCGGAATGTATGTGATTTGCTTCTCCGAGGCGCTGGCGGCCAGTTATATAAAGGGAACGCCGCAACAGTTGGAGCACATAACCCCCTCTTTCGTCGCGGAGAAACGGAAAAAAATCCGCGATCTGATTTGGCATTTGAGAGACATTTTTTAACGATAAGGTACATCTAATAAAAGATTTTTTTATGGGATGTGAGTGACAGTAATAATTTACTGTTGCGGTTCTTCTAATTCCGTCCGGTCTCATGAATTGCGCTCAGTGTGTTTGAGTGTTTGATTATCACAAAATCAATTTCACATAGTAAATCAGTACTGTTGTTCGTTTGAATAGCACATGACTTGCATGGGTCGTGAATCTCTGAAAGTTAATTGCCGAGGTTGTAAGTTTTAAGAAATTTAAACCAATGTGGTGTCTACGATGTATTTTATGGTTAGTTTTATCACAGCTGCTCAACAGATCACGTAATACTAGCACAACAGTTTCCGCCTTTCCGGTATAAAAGTAACGTCGGCGAAATATAATAGGTATTGATTCCACGAACAAATCAAATCCAAGTTGATTGGACATCAACGTTTGGAACCGAACACTTCCTTTTCTAGACGCAACAATGGAATTTCTACAAATACGGCTAAAATGGTCGCCAGTAGATGGGATATGAAGAGCATTGAGAGGTACAAATAGGCAAAATTGATCCCGTTATAGTAGAAGGGATCACGCTGGCTGATCAGAAAGTATTGGACTACCAAGGGATGGAACATGTACACGGCGAATGTCAAGCGACTCAATGGCTTGAAAATATTCCAGCTCAAGATGGACCTGCGCAACAAAATTGTTAAACAAATAAATTCTGGTGAATTTTTCAGTTTGTATAATAGTAAAGCTGCATACTTGATCGGTCCAGAACTTCCGTACCGGCATGCCACTAGCACCCACCCAACCGCCAGAGAATAACCCAGTCGACTCAGTGTTTGATAGGTTTCTCGCTCGGTGTACGTTGCCCCGTTTGGCCAGCTGTAGGACTGATATAGCCCGAACACGGTAAACAGTCCCGTCAAGCACGAGAGGATCCAAACGAAGCTAACCCCGGCGAAACGCAGTTTTGGTCGGACACAGTGCCATTCCGCTTTCTGTGCAAATAAGAATCCGATCAGAATTCCCAGGAGATAGGGTGTGGCACGGGTATATGGTTTCGAGTTGACATAGTCGTGGTTAGGGTCGTACGTTTCATTGTGGTAAATAGGTCTAAATTAAATGAAACAGGTTGCAATGTAGCCTGTGTAGGTATCTGGAGAACTGGGAAGCTAGTGCAGATTACTGTTCATTAACGGTCACCGGCAATCCCCAGTGTCCGGCAATCAGTCCATTCGCCACGACGCAACCAGCAATCAGAATCATCGTGGCTGCCGTACCGATTTTGGGCAAGCTGAAATTTTTACACAGTTCAACACACACCAGCCAAACTTAAAGGATACCTATCACCTACCTCTTACAGCAAGGATACCTATCTCTTACCTATCAGGCTATCACCTATCTCTTACAGCGAAACGCCTAATTTATACAGTGTTATTACAGTGCAAAACTTACTTAAACGTATAGCTGTATATAACGATAAGCTGTATACTGTACTGCAGAGCGTATAATATGTATTTTTACAGAGCTTGTAATGTTATATGTATGATATTAATGACAGGTATGCAATAAGTAAATTAGTTTATACATTACGACTACATAAATGACGCAAGCCAGATTTTTCGTACCGGTAAAGGACGTAAACGATAACTGGCGTGATAAGAAACAACTGCATGTCCACCGCGATAAACCATGTCCAGTCCATGCAGAGGTACAGGGTGTTGGTCGGGATGAAATTGTTGACGTACAAGACATTTGCCCACCAGTTCTGCTTGCAGAAATCAATTGGATTACCACCGGAATCTTGACCCGCTATGATCGGAAACGGTCCTGATACAAGCTGCGGCACAACGAAGATACAGATAACCAACAGGAACACGTAGAGTGGAGTCAACCTGCAGTGTAGAAAACATGTGTCAAGCTTTACCGTTTAAGGTTGATAAGCCAAATTTTGACTTAATGATTGGAAACAGTAAATTAATAAAAAGTTGCCGATGGTACACGACCAAGCTAGACTGACCTCCACCATCGCCGCAAATAAATCCAAATCCAGTTAATTTTCCCGCTGCGGACTTTAAGCTTTGTCATCAGCGTATACGTCAAAACAGTGCCGCTAACGATGAAAAACGTGTCAGCAGCGAAAGAGAAGTTGGTAATTAGTTGACCAAAAATTGTGCCAGCGCTGTCCAAATAATCTAACGGATTTTCTGCAATCAACAAAATGATTTGAGGATAACTGCGAAGATAACGGGATTGAGAATTGAGGATAACTCGTAATACATTATGAAACAGTGTTTAATTTGTACTCAAGCTCTTCTTCGATTTTATTGTGTTAAAAGTGCAGTCACCAAGACAGTAAACTAAGTCTAGTTAAACGTTTTTTAACATACCCTCCATACTTACGATTAAAAGCTGTACCATTTAAAAAGATCAAAAAAGCTGCATTATATATCCCGGTTCTATTCGAAAAAAAAGCGCCCATGTCTTCTTCATCCAAAAGATGTCCTTTGGATGGTTGTTTTTTGAGTTTCAAAAAGCCATAATATAGTTTCGTAGACCATGTATTTTAGACGTGAAAATGTACATAAAAAGGGGCTCCATAAGTATACTGAAACATGCCGTTCTAAAGACGGCGTGTTGTGCTCCGACGATGTCTAAAGCACGTCAAAAAATTGCTTGCCGTAGAACCGGGTATGCGCATATATGCGCATTTCTCTGCACATGCGCAGAAAGTGAACATAAAATTATACAGATACGTAATATAGATATTGGAACGTAAACAAACGGATTGCATTTTAATATTTAGGAAAACGCATCCGGTTTTCACTAGTACGCCGGTCAGTGTATGTACTTGTACTATTAATTACCATATTCTTTTAACTTTGAATGCTCGACTAAGCAATTAGAAATTATGTGTAAAGTGGTCCACTGATAAAGCAGTCATTAATACGAACGTTTGCATATCGTGCTGTCAATTGTTAAATACACTACAATAATGTGACTACATACCGCAATATTTTATGTTATAAGCATTAAAAACCATGTTGCCGAAACATTCTTTTCAGATATTAGCGCGCATTTTTAATCTGCACTGGCCAGCGCGTACTGCATAGAATAACAGCAAACGGCAGAAGTAACATAACCGTTTTTCTCAGGATGGCACATTGGCACTGTATTGTACTTGTGAATTGATGTGGGGAATAGTTCTATAAATAATTATGAATAGTATCCCAGTTTCATGCAACGTACGATATTTTGAAATTCTGTAGGGTGTTGGACATCGGGCAATACGATTATAGGAGGTTTACATTCTGTAAGCCAAAAAAATTCGTAGAAATTAAAAGTACCGAAGTCCTGGTATATTTAAACATATACCAAGTATAGTACTGTACGTGTCTGATTTATAATAATTAAGCTTCGGAATGCATTTGTTACAAGCGTACCCTATGTGATAACCCTCTGAGAGTTAATATAGATATTACATGAGACTGCCAACACAAAACATTTAAATATGCTGCTTTTTATGCAAGGTGCTGTATTAAACCATGAATTCTTGTATTTTCGGCTGTCTGTAGGCGGCACCTGGCGCATAAGTAAGCGCTGGCGGGAACTCACCTGGATATTTTTAAAAGTAAGTCAAAGCTCAAAACCGGTTGTTGGTAATAAAAACTGTAGATTCATACCGGAACGCCCAACGCATTTGTAGAACCTTCGCGAAATCACTTCCGCTTCGTCAGTTGGCATATTACGATATTTGCACAGGCACAGCTTATCACTCACGTGATAAGCATCTGCCAAGGATTCATTGATCGCCCGCCCCGGTCTGCTGACGTATCAGCAACCTGCACACTGTACCTTCTGTACATATTTAAAGCACAGCCGCAGACTGCAGTGCAGCACAAGTGTTTTTACTGTTTTTACTGTTGATCAATTTCTCCTCGCCCACTTGCAGATTAGCTCGATTTTTCGCTGTAATTCGAAATTAATTACTTGAAAATGGCACCCAAATACACCCTGCATTACTTTAACCTGCGTGCCCGCGGCGAAATCTCGCGATGGATCTTCAAGTACGCGGGCCAGGAGTTTGAAGACAAACGCTACGAGTTCTCCGAATGGCCCGCCCAGAAACCCAACGCGCCCGATGGTACGCTGCCCTGGCTGGAAGTCGACGGCAAGAAACTGTCGCAGAGCATGGCCATTGCTCGCTACCTGGCCCGTACCTTCAAGTTGGCCGGCCAGAATGCCTGGGAAGAGGCCGAAGTTGATGCTCTGGTCGACTTCGGAATCGGTAAGAATTATGAAGATAGTGGGCAGTGCGCATTATATTTTGCCGTTCGTACCGAGTCGGTACTACCGACTAAATTGTATAATAATTTGCTGCCAATTATGAATTAGTAATGACAACCCCTGGGCAGATTACAATAATATGTTTAGGCTTTCCGCTTTCAAAAATTACTAGCTCTTTGGCTGTGTTACTAGTGTATTATAATTTATTCTACTATTTCTATGCAGTTTGAAATTTTAGCGAATTTTTCTCTGTTGCAGTGTTGCTGTTTTCGTGTGTTTGCTGCACGGCACATCACGTTATAAAAATTTGGTTATTAACCATTTTAACAGTAAACTTATCCTGAAAGAACTATCGATTATTATGAATACCTAATGCCTTTAGGATTTTTGTAACACGTTTTAAAGTTATTGAAATAATGCATCAGTTTGTAGATTTGTTTTATTAAATTTTAAAAATTAAAAGTTTTTAAATTAAATGAATGTTCTTGGTAAGGATTTTCGGTGGTTCATTTTTTGGAATTCGATTTTATATTTTGATTTGAATCTGCAGACGCTGCCAAGGACTATGGCACCTGGATCAGCGCCTTCCTGGCCAAAGACACGAAGAAAGCCGATGAAATCAAAACCAAGTACTTCGGGGAGGGTCTGCCCAAGTATCTGGACGGATTCCAGCGCAAACTGGCGGCCAACAAGGACGGCCAGGGTTTCTTCGTCGGCGACAAGCCCACCTGGGGCGACTTCGCCATCGTCATCTTGTTCGATGAGCTGAAGCGCTTGAACGCCGATTTCCTGAACGCGTATCCGCTGCTGAAGGCCCACAGCGACCGCGTTCACGAGCTGAAGGGCATCAAGGAGTGGATCGCTGCTCGCCCGGAGACCTCAGTCTGAGCGGTATTATTTGGGTAGCTTGTTAGCCTGGCATTTCGCTGTTCGGACGTCTCTTTATTTTTTTATGTTGCTTATTTTCATGTTCCTACTTGCACGTTTTAATTGTTGCATATGGTCTCGATCCAGTTAGCACACGAACGATTCCTTTCATTTTGGTTTAATATGTTAAATACGTGTTTTTGAAACTTCGTGCATGAGTTAGTGGAGTTTTGACTGTTCAGTGTTACAATGTTTAACAACTTTTAAGTGCTTAGGCAATTAAACTTCAAACACTACGAAATCAACACAACTTAAATTCGATGTTAATATTCGGTCTGATAAATCGACAATAATAGAAGCGTATCAACTGCGTAGCAAAAGTAAATAAATTTAATTGTAAATGCCTAATGGTCCCAAGTATCTGTATTAGAACGTTAGTGATCTAACGAACATGCACAATTTTTGTGATGCTGGTTGTTTATGCAAAATTTTTTGCGATATCCAGTTTAGAATACCGTATGTTATTTGACTGAATTAGCGGATCACGACTCACAAACGATGGTTTTTCTGCGTCTGAAATATTTTCAGCACCTACTCGTAGTAACTGTATAAAGTAAGGGAGCAGACCTGTGCAGTTATGGAAAATTGACCCAGAGTTAGAGTTACGAGTTACACAGAGCGTGCGAGTTGCGCTACGAGTTACGCTACTGCTGCAAGAAAATCGAGTTTTGAGTTATACCGCGAGTTACGCTACCATTGACAATACATAGAATTTTCAGGAGAGTTACGTTAGAGTTAAGTTTTTGGGGAAGCGAGTTACGCTTCCGAGTTACGCTATAACTCGATAACTCGAAAATAACTCGCGTTAAGTTAAATAGTTAAAAATAACTGCACAGGTCTGGTAAGTACTACTACTAGCTGTATTTGTATGAACTATTCTATGTATAGATAATAAAAAATAGTTCTGCATCTATGTGATACTTACTTCCGGTGTTCCACTGTGAACGCGTATACGTACCTACTGTCTACAGTAAATAAATAGACCCTGCGTCTCTTTTAACAGTTAGCGCTTAGCCTCTTACCATATGCAATTTCGCCCAGATTGCCAAATTCAGCCAGCACCACCCAGCAAATGGACAGCACACGGATACCGTTCAGGAAGCTTAACTCATCCTCCCGATCTGCAGTTAAATATCGCCATGACCTCGCCACGGAGAAGCACAAGATGGCTCGGATTCTGGCCGGTAACGGATTGACCTCGATCCCATCCGCAGTCGCATCCTGCAGCAGTGGTTCGTCCTCTTCGCCGCTCTCGGTGAAGGAACTCTTCCGGCTTAATTCGGCCGCGTGCAGTCGGGGTAGCACGTAGCCGTCCACCAGAGTGCCGAAGATATTCAGAATAACCAGAACCGCGATAATCACGAAGAATAAGTAGAATCCCCACTCGACGGGCAAATCGGGTTCGCAGGTCGTATCGCGCGCCGACAGGGCATCCAGTTCGGGCACTGGTTGGGGAAGGAGCTTTTTAATGTAGCCGATCAGGTCGTCGACGATGGCGGTGATGTCAGCGGGACCGCATTGTCGAGGTAAACAGGTCGCCAGTGCTGGGCTTTGTTGAATGCTGGCCTAATAAATTGCAGACGTTTTTGGCATATTACGAGTAAAGTGCAACCGTGAAAGTCTCTAAATTTTTATTATCTGACTAATGTATAGATATATTGTATATGTATATATATGCGTTACCATTCCTCGTCACGGAAAGGTTACACGTATACGTAGTGAATAAAAAGAGCAATATTAATTAATTAATAATTAAGCTTTACAGACCTGTTGCACAGTCAACACAAAGCTGCGATAATCGAGTACGGCAAAGTCGTTTAGAAAAAATGCTACCTGCATTTTCTCCCGAATTTTTCACGCGATACTTACCAGAGCGTCAGAAGTGCTGAGCTTTGTGATGCAGTAATTTGCCGAGTTATTAGCTATATTCGCGCATTCATCATAAGATCCAATCCACTGCAGGTGTCCTCGTAAAATATTTCCGGGAATTTTTCCGAATGCATCCACCACTATCAACACGTTAAGAGCGTAAATTAATATGTATCTGAGAGGTGCACATCGAAGGAAATGAAAAACACTTGTGGCAGGCGGTTAGATACTGTAATTATGTTAATTCTTTAACATAATCACTATATAATTATGTGCTTGGCCAACCGCAATATATCTATATTTATAAATATCGTACATATTGTACAGCGCATATCATGGCACTACTAAATAGATCTAAATCTTTAGTACCGCCATGCGCATATCAATATTACATATCTATACTTCTATAGATATAGTGGCATAGGTACTCATACGTATACGTAGAAAAAGTTCAGTATCCGTAAGATGCATCACATTGTAAATTTTATGACAGAAGCGTGTCAAGGTAAAGTGAAATTTTGTACGGCTTGTTTCAGTTATTGAACCCTAGTCCTTACTTTGAATAGCTGACATCTTCCTGGATTCCAGATCTTCCATAAAATCCACTAGATATAACTTGCAAGGTTCACTGACTGATTTGGGAATGTTTCCCGTAACAAAATAAGACCTGAAAAAATTATTTTGCGCCATAACTGAGACTAGAGCATTTGCTTGTGGCTTGAACTCCAGCTTCCGGGCCATTCCACTGATAATGGCCAGGCGCAGGAACAATACCCATTTGATCCACATAATGGATGTGAGTTAAACAGAAAACTCTTAAGAATCCAAAATCCGGATAGCTAGCTACGAGTATCTCGTAAAAGAGTGCACATCTACAGAGCATCCACAGAAAAAAAAATACCAAGTGGAAATGAAAACTACCAAGTAAATATCCTTAGAACAGATCATGCATTAATGGCATGCACAACAAAGAGCGATCTTTGTTGCAACGTTAGCCTACTAAATTTAAACAGCATATTTCCCTAACATTGTCAGGTCAATTCACTACCAACGATTTCTTGTCAAAATAAGATAAGATAATAAATTAAAGCTGTGTGAAATTAAGCTGTACCCGTGGAACGAAATCATTTGTAGGTTATACATACTTACTGTATATGACCACTGCAGACCACAAACTGAAGTACTCGTGCTGTACGGCAAATGTGCATTTTATAACAATCAACACTCATAATTATGCATTAAGTTGCCTTTTATAAAATGAATGTTTGAGGTTTCACATGCAGTGAACGCATAGATACATATCGATACAACCAGGCATGACCGATAAATTTTATTTGTCAGATGATGATAACAAAATTAACTTTTTTGAATATTTAAACAGTCCATCGGTGCGACTTTATAAAATACTTTTACCGGCGTACAACAGTTTTACGATATGTTTAACGTGCTTCTATTTTCGGCCAGTTAAATCGCATTTCGAGTGAAATTTATTCATCAGACACCGGAATTGCAAATATGGTACAGATACGTAAATGCACTGGGAGAATATGCGCGCGTACCGTATTACACTCGATAGATTTACTGTTAAAACGGGGTTTCAAAAATTTTGCATCGTATTATGCAGTGTGCAGATAAAAATGTGGACCAAAAATTAAAGGAAGCGTTGCTGGTGTTTATATAGGTTGCTTTGTGCATTAAGGCTTACGCCTCTCGTGCTCAAAATTTAATAGGTTGCAATCGGTGAATGGTCAGGTTCTCACTCAAGTACTGTAACTGAAGTACTTGTACAATTCCAGTTAGGCGTGCATTTTCTGTACAAAACCAAGACGGAATATATTTGTATTAATACAACACTTTAGAAAACTACAAATTACTCGAATGTAGATCACAGAGCAACTGGGAATATCGCCGCTCGCGATAATGCTATGATTCGAAGCCTTGGTTATCAAAATACTTAGGAGTTTGCTTTTCCGACAGAGGTATTTCATTATGCAAAACGACCGGGTTACTTTGCATAATTTCGCGCGGCCACATGGCTTCGTGTAGTTTCTGCAATAATGCAAATTTGACAATGTAAATTATGGATGATGAAACAACCGTTACAGTAATATGTATGTGTAGACTAATAGCGTATTTTGCATACCTCGCCGAACGTTCTACCCGGCGTTTGCCATACTACAATGACTGCAAAGACGGGAATCTGGATAATAGATGCCAGAGCGAGTCCCCATCCAATTAAATCCGCCCATGCTGGCAGCGTTTCACCGTGATTAAGTGGCGAGTAGAAGACAAACGAAATAACCAAAATAAACTGTAAACCGGATCAAAATTATTTCGCTAATCTTTCCGACTCTCCATGGTAGCAGATACTATATACATAAATGATTTCATACATAAATGAATTAGAACTTACAAATAGGGTCAACGGCGCCAGAAAACCCCAAGTTGTTCTGCAAACAGATGCGGCATAAGTTATTACGGGGAGTGTACTTGTAGTTGCTAATAGGAAGACCTACCCTACAATTTTACATCGAACATGCAAAAAAATCAGAAATACCTATATAGCTACTCGTAGTGTAAGAAGACGAATACCTCAATATATTACAATTAAATACATCAGTATTACATGTAATATTAACGGGCTTAAGTTTGCTTTTTTGAATATAATTATTATCCTTAGAAACTTGTAAAATAATACGAGGTATAATCTTTTTTACCTCCAATAGTATCCAACATCTCCTCGTTTGCCAAGCATATCCTTGAGGTCATCAATGAACCGATCGAGCCCATACACCCACATGACAATTACAATCTCGAAGAATGCCGGGAACAGCACGCTGAATCCACCGGCATAGGAGTCGAAGATGTCGAAAAGGTCAATACCTCCCTATCATATACAAAATATACTATAGTTAATTGAAAAAACCGTTAATTTAACCACTCAGCAGAGACGTCAGCACTCAGTTACTTAACGTTATCCAGCAACTAGAGCACGATTAACATAATAAATCATTATCGGATCTACGAAGCCACATGGCCGTGGGATCTAACAACCGCAAGCGCAGACCGCTATGCAAATAAGTATCTAATCACATAGAGTTTCGTAAATCCATCTGTGTTACATAGATGACATTCTTGGTTATGTCGAATAGTGGTTATACCACCATGCGGACCTACCCGAGTAGTGGTGGTCGGCTGATAGCGTTCCTTATGTACTCGCATTACTGACCTGCAACATGAAAGGGAATCCCAAGATGAAGCATCCAAAACAAAATATCCCGCACATCAGTGGCTTTTTTGTTCGCAGTGATGGCCACCGATCGTAAAGTACAGTCAGCACAGTCTCCAGAGTACCAATCTGAGAACCTGCAACCAAATAAAAACAGTTTTCGCTAGCAAACACACGGAGAAATGCTTCAAATTTTCCATGTCCAGTTGTGTACACGTAATCAGAATTCGAAAACAGTAGAATATGGGATGTAACTGCTTTAAGACGGCATTAAAACATACCTAAGCCGAGAGTGAACAACCTGCAAACACATACTCAGGTGATGAATAAAGCATTTTGCGATGTTTAAGAATTGCATTAAGCGTACTGTAGAACGACATCCTGGATAGATGCTTCGACTTCGCACTTAAAAAAGTGCAGTTACTTACATAACGAAGAAGAGTATTGCCCAGAAATGAGATCCCCACATCAAACTGGCCGCTTCGGGAAAGGTCACGAACGCAAGTCCAGGCCCGGAAACTGCTACAGATTCAATAGGGGAATCTGTCGCTCCGGCCAGATAACCCAAAATGGCGAAGAGGCTGAGGCCGGCTGTGACACTGGTCAAGGTATCAGCAATGGACACGATCATAGCATCCCTGTTCACCAAAACCAATGACGGTATTAATTTGTTCATTTCGAGTAAGTTGTTAGTACTTGTTACCGCTACCACATCCATTAGATTTAATATTCCATTATGAACTTTATAAACAGTTCTTACTGGTAGCAGTTGTTGTTCCTCTGATTGTACGATCCTGAAACATCGCACAGAGTAGATTTACTAATCGTATCCTTTAAGTACGCAATTTATATTCTTACCCAACATTACCAACGATCCAAAGGCAACGGACAGCGAGTAGAACATTTGTTCAGCAGCATTTCGCCAGGTCTATGAAAAGTAAGGTTGATATTTGTATGAAAACACCGTAATCAATGAAAATCAAAATTTACATTAATTTCCAACAATTTGCTGAACTTAGGAGTGATGAAATAAAGTATTCCTTCGACAGCGTTGTCCTGTGCAGCTCCTGTGAGATTAGATTTATTAAGGATACATCATACCTTGCAGACGGGAATCAGCGTGATTAGTAATGATACAGGTTGCGTACACCACAATCATTTTAGGATTGCAAGCCGAATATGAAGTATGGTTAGTCAACGTAGCTACGAATTATAAATTGGGAACAATCCATCGAAATATTATACATTTCCAACTACCTATTCCGAGAAGAATGATGAGCACGATGAATGGCAGAGTTGAGGTGACATACACAACCTAGATAAACGAACCAACGTTGCAACCCAAACGGCAACGTACAGAAACTATTTTATAAGGATTACCTTTCCGGCTGATTTAATGCCCTGAAAAAGCAATACAGTGTAATTTATTTATTTCGTTATTTCGTTATTTCTAAAACATCAGTTTTTTTATTCCCATTTCTGTGGCTTACCTTCACCAATGACAGAAACACCAGTACCCAGCAACCAGCGAGATTTGCCGTTAGAATCCAGTTTACGCTACCCATGGTACTTTTGAGTCCATATTTTGTGCTTTCGTCTCCTCCTTGGTCATAACGCATAAGGATAACCCGATCGAAATACTGTTGTGCCGATGAATACCGTTTGAAGTCATGCGCCTCATTAGTGTCAAAAGTGACAACTTCAATTTCACTGGCGTTGAGCTTTTCCGCTTCCTTTAAAACTAGGCAGGTATCTCGATGAGCCCAGTCTGTGGTGCAAAAATCACCACTCCACGGTACTGGTTGCCCTTGGCAAGCGGCGATTAATGTCGTCCTAATTTTAAGAAAATCGTAATTACGAAACAAGAAAGTGCTGCAGGAATGAAAACGCAGCTGTCAGTGAGCTGACAATACCTCCTAAATATGCTTACCAGAAGTAGTACATTGTCCACGCCATGATGACAACTGAAAAGCATCATACCATACAATCTTCAGATTCTGCATTTTGCCCCAAATCCGCAACAGTGTATATACGGTTTGTCGACTGCTTACTGTAATACATGGCCGTCATAAACTGAATGACCACTTGCGCAATACCGATGCCCTTTCCGATGGGTGACACTCGCTTCCATATTGTCACCGGTCCCTCTTGATGGTACTGACCAAAGGCCACTTCCATGAAATACATCGGTTTGCCGCAAAGGAGCAAGACGATTAAATATGGCAACAAGAAGGCTCCTCCTCCGTTGGCGTACGCTGAAACAAGCGTAGACAGTGAAATTAAGGCAGGTGTGCGACACTCCGGCAAAAGGAGCGGACCAATAGCAAAGCTCCGTACCGATGTAAGGGAAGCGCCAGACATTTCCAAGACCAACCGACAGACTGAGACAGGCAAGCACGAATTCCGCTTTGTGGCCCCATCGTGTGCGATCCGGCACACTGCCATCCTGGCTGGTGTTTTCAGCCGTTAACCCGCCAGGACGGCGGGATACGCCGGCTTCTGTCGCTTTCCAGTCGCCATGCTGGAGATCGAATCCACCTTTTGTCTAAAAAAACCGATTAAACGTTAGACACAAACGCTTTCGTATACTTCTATCAATTTTTATGTTTATCGATGATGTTATACAACCAGCGATACAAAAAATGCATAGCTGGTTAGCACTTTTGTAGCGCAGCAGCCACATATTGCTAAGTTAAATTCAAACCACAATTTCAAACATGTCCCAATAACGTCTCCGCTTGTGTATATATAATGTGTAAGCAAGAAAACCGGAACGACTGTTCGGCACAGAAACTTTACTTCTTATGGGCGTAGCGAACACCGAAGACACAACATTCTGGCTAAACATACGGTCGTCACAACAAACAACAGGAAACACGAACAAACCGCTCAAGGAGAGGCGGACAAACAAGCAGCTCAACACAGTGAGCCCCCTCCACCGAAACAAAGGGAAGCGGCGGGCGGGAGAAAACGAAAGTGAACTAACTGTACTCTGTACTTACATTTCTGATCCGCAAGTGCTTATATACTAACCGCACAACTTGTCTCTTCCGCATACAAAGACACCGCACTCGTCCAAAACAAGTCATTAGCAGTTAGCATGCAATTATTACAGCTACTTATTAAACGAAAGCTACTTATTAAACGAAAGTATTTCTAACGCTAACGCTTTTCCATCGCTCCTGACTTGGTAAAAGTTTTAACAGTTATTTCTTTCCGACAAAAATAAGCATAAAATTATTTCGATTTAAGCTAAGTTTTGCTATAAAGCAGTTAACCATTTAAACTGTACTGATACTGTAGAATGTTATTTTATTGTTTGAACTTGTCCATCATATCGCTGGATCTTCTACTATATACAAATAATTCTGTACAACACTAACGTGCCTTCTATAGTAGTTCTAACTCACCATTGTCGAGCAACAGGAAATGTGTGGCGGGTACAAATCCTTCAGTGTCTGTCAACGATGGTGAAAAGCAGTCGGCACACAAGAGCTTATCCAAAATTTTCAAGAGTTTCTGCCACTTTAGACTCGCTACCACTTGTGCACATCGTGCTGGAGAGCACGAGTATTGTATGTATCGTACCGTACCTGTCATCTGTGTGCTAGTTGTACCAGTTTGTGCAAATCACATGCGCATGAAACCATTGGAAATAATCTCGGAGAATGCGTAACAATGGTGCTGTGCTTATCGCACTTACAATGGTAATAAATGGTTATCGGCAAAATGCCGTGATACGCCTATTGTGACTATTACAACGAGGAAGTAAGTACAAAATAAAAACAAATGATTCAATTCCAAAAGGATTGATCGTATAGCCCATTTTACGTTAATGGCACAGTTAAAGAGATAACGTACTGGCGAGTCATTACGACATTTACATCAAGGTGAATTACTAATGCCCATGATTGCCGCACGCAGTTGCATTTCCCGTATCGTTTCACCTACACCTGTGCATAAGTATAGACGGTACATACTTTCTGCACAGTACAGGACAGCCTAAATCGCGTGGTATACTTACTCTAAGCGATATAATCCATATAATTAACACAGTACTAGTGACGCCATTTAATGCTTGTTTTCCGCTCTTGCATTTAAAGCGTGCCGTCCTTGTCCTAGGCACTACTTCTTAGGTTGCAGAAAGTTTGATAAATTTTGTAAAAAATATGTCAGCCTTAAGTATGTGTACTATTTTTCTCCTCTTTTTTCTTTTCTACTCCTTTTTGTCTACCTTTCAGCGTTCTGCAAACAATTCCGTTTCCAGCTAATCTAAACTTCAGAACTGCTGCTTGTACAAAAATTACCTAAAAGTAAAGATTGATTACTCAATCGCATGACCTTGTACAGCGAGCTCCATGACTTCGAGAGCTCTTGCCTCAAGTATGATGGCTGAGGAATTAACAGAGACACTACGGTTCACACGCAGGTACAGCACTAGTGCCGCTGGCTGGTTAGTCGAACGTCGTTAAAAATTCCACCTTGCAGTTTTGCAGTCATCGTTTAGAGAAAATATTGCATCACTAGTGTTTATAAATTATAATCAGTAGATAAGTCTGGATGAATCGATTGCGGAAATTCGTTCATATTGTCTGCTACCTTTGGAAAATATTCAAGGTTGACCTTTTGCAGCCAGATCTGCATGATTTCCCACTAAGCCCATATTTTCACATTATTACTGGAGGTGTACCCAACCGTTTGTCTAACAATCGCCGCTGGTGCGTCAAAAACGTCAAACAAATTTTGTTGTACTGTTTGCGGTACACTCTACTCAGCTATTTAAGCTTCTTGTTCTTCATCGATTTCACTGATTGGCTAATGCACAGCGAATCTCTCGCCGGCGTCGGATTAGCGGATGTACGAGAGGGCCGTCAAAGTCCGATCATAACCAAATTAGCTTTCTTGCGCAGTCAATTTACGGGGCTCTTGACGATTTTGGCACAAGTCACAATCATTACAAAATCAAGAAAGATAAGCCAGTTTATGAGGAAATGCTCACTCTTTCTTAAAGACTTTCCGTTTGGATCTGGAACGTTTACCTGGAGAAATCGCCTGGCATTCTTTGGAATTTTATACATCATGTGCATGATTGTTTTTCGCTTTGCTTACTACCTTTACAGCGCTCTTGACGCTACCGAGAGTTATTGGGAGAAGACCACGTATTTCGTTTTTACACTGGGCATGGGTCAAATTTCAGCATGGGTACAGTTTTCTATGATTGTAAGCGAAGCCGCCATGCTGCCGTTGTACTGTTCGATTGTGCATTACTGCACTTTAATTAGTGAGTACTGGTCAGTGTTCTGTTCAAATATACAGAAAGAAATGTCCTTTTTATCGTCCAAATGCCGGTTTACTCGGTCATTCGACGAAATACTGCGCAATTTAGTAATACAGAATGAGAAACTCTCGTCTCTGTTGGAGGATATGGACAAATCATTATCGAACTTATTGGCTGTAATGTTGTGTGGCAATGTGGTTATTTTGGCATCTGTCATCGCCAACGGTTTTGTCTCGGCCAATCTGGTCAATGTCGTCGATGTGAGCCTATTCGTTGCCAGTGTCACAGGTCCCATTATCGCGCTGATCGTTGTCATTTCCCAAGCAGCGTTAGTCCACAGCTCGGTACAAGAATGCACATTTACCAAAAATCCGATTCATTCAAATCTGCTGTTCCTGTGCTTTAGGCGGTTATTTCCAAAACGGTTTGGAGTGACTTTGTCCGTAATCGACAAAAGTACCGCGGAAACGCTTCGACAGTAAGGAATTCACTATTTTATGCATTCGGTCTCAAAATAATTTGATTGTGGTATCATCACAGCTAATTTCTGAAGCGCATTATGCTGTGCAAAAGTAACTGAGTGACCACTAGCCTGGCACATGTGTGGATAGTAATAGTAACAGCACTTTTGATAAAGAGGATGAATATTTTACGTAGGCGCTGCACGGTTGAAACGGGCAAGCCTAATATAACATATGGCAGACGAAGTCTGTCTATATATTATATTAGTATAGGATCCAACGTGTAACTGAAAGGTTACTGAAAGGTCAGGATGATTCTGTCTGTTCTGAGCTTTTGCGTCTGTCTATCCTCTAACGGGGAAAAGATGGAAAGTAAAGGACACTAAAGGTTAGCCTCAATCCTGTCTGTTCAGTTGCCGATTCTCTGTCGGATTCCCGTTCGAACAGCGAACGGATGCTGTACATGTATCGCAAAGCTAGACGGTCGGTATTCAAAAAGCAATCATACAATCGTTGGGCAGCAGCCTTGCATTCCTATTGTCCTACGACAGTATCAGTGGATGACTCACCTTACTCTCCATACTATCTGCGCTCAGAAAAAATTTATTGAACTGGAACACTTAATTGCTCGTTTCCCAGGACAAGAATGTTGTGTCCAAGATGAACAATGCATGTCAAAATAACGTATTGCTGCACATCAGAATAGTTCAGGCATTCCAAAATTCTAGAAAATCTACGTTAGAACTAGACAACTCGTACGCAGATGAACACATGGTTCCGATTTAATTGGCATCAGTGAAACGCGTATTTTCACTATCAGTATCCAGTATCCACACCGAATTTCTTTTGCACGACTGCAGTGTTTTACAAAGGAATCCTAAATACATAGATCAGAAAGCTGCACCCAAGGTCCCAAATCACCGGTGTAGCCATAATGAAAGGGAACACCGGAAGCGATGGTCCGCTGGTATGGGTGCAGTTTTTCAATCCGTGAAGGTTTCCTTCGCAAACACTGCAGTCGTGCAAAAGAAATTCGGTGAGACGGTAAAATTTAACTTTTTTTCAAATTTTTCACTGCATATTTGTATTATGTATTAATGATATAACCACCGCCTACGTATTCAATTCCTCTACGGGGGAATTGTCACGAATGTGTTTTCAAGGCTACGTCCTCCGGGGAATGTGAAAAGCTTTTGGCGATTCTTCATGTGACTGCACATCGATCATATTCGCTCACTGCCATGGGAGTTGTGCACATTTTCTCCTCAACTGGAATTACTGTAAGGGCAAATTCTGTAAATAAGAAGTAAATATTCGCACATTAATTTTGTGCTTCCGCACACTCTGCAGTGTTTAATCGGAACTGAGCAAGGATTTGTGTATTTGTTTGTACGAAATATACACATACGTCTCCCGTTACCTTAACAGCTAAAGTGCTTATCCGCACGTGCTGTAGCAAAGCAGTGGCATTTGTGGTTCTTTACGTTTGGGATACTTCTAGCATAATTTTGTGCCATATATGGCTAGCCATAAAAACAGATCTGCTCGGTACTAGATCTGTATTTGTACTAGATCTGTATTTGTGGACCCTTCGTACGTCAAAACATTCACCTTAATTAAGCACATCGTTAGGATTTTAGATTAAATAAACTGCTCAATTAACCGATTAAACGATTAACCACCGGTTTTTTTCCAAGCCGTGTATAAGGGGTAACCATACACCTTGCCGTCACTATTTGCCATTAAAACTGCATTTCCAGATCATTATGGGGTTCATCGGCTTCTTGTGTTTCCTGATTGAGCGCTCGGAACAATACTCATCTAACGTTCACCTTCAAGAGTCACTCAAAATTATGAGGAGAAATTGTACATGGATCGCTCCATCTCAGCGCCACTGACTCCTTGACGGTTTAATTTTTGTCACGTTAGCGCATACGGTAATTGGCTGTTCGTTTGTTTTCCAGTCAGCAGTTCAGTAAAGATAACTACATACCCCTTAGACCATTCATGAATTTACAAACTCACATTCCAGTTTACCACAATGAAAGGCCAAAACAAAACTGGATAAATAAAATTGGTAATGCTATTTACAGTATTTGTGCTTATGCATATTGAATTTAACGGTGAGTTTCATAGCCTTCCTTGTTGGGAGATGGAGAACACGAAATTGTTGGTTTACATAAATTACTCATATAAGGCTTCTCGTTTCGAAACGAAGCTGCTGTTTTTTTATCTATATTCGTACTATAGGAATTTCGTATAAGGTAAACTCCTTATTATAAGAAGATTGCAGAGACGATCTGTTTACCGCATGATCCACTAATACAAATTAATTTGCCCGCTGTTTTCTCTATACATACCAGATCCAGTTGATTATACCTGTATACGTAAGTTTTTGTTGACCTCTGTGCGCTGCAGTTATTGTAAGTTGTTTAATGTGAATCCCCATGATACTCTGCACAGCAAAATTTGCTTCGGTTATTATTGAGCTTGGTCAGATATTGTTGCAGTACTTCTCAGCTTTCGTACAACCTGATACAGTAGTACAATAGTGTATGCAAATCGAAAATCTTTAACCAAACCAAGATCATGATCGCAAGTTTGTAAATCTATAGTGTCCAGTCTCTCGAGTATCCAGTCTTTTTAGTATCCAAATAATATCTGTAAATTAATATTGAAAATCCATTGGATGTTTTAATTTGTTATTCCGTTGCACGCAGTATAAATAATGGAGAACAAGTTACTCACGTTCTGCTCCACAATTTCTCTTCCTGAATCCTGTTTACGGTTTTTCGGAATCGTACCACCCGTGCGCCACTGTAGCACTGTGCGAAAGTTGATGATCTGGGTGTTGTTGGCTGGAACACTGTTTTGTGGTTGTGTCAACATTGCCAGCACACTTTGGCCGTTCTTTGATTCCACGTCCTCCATGGGAGATCTCAAGAGCTCAAAAAGCCCCATCGTTGTGGGCCTGATGACCCTTCCAACTGTTTCGGTAAACTGGAGAGCCATCTTAACATTATCTGCGATCTGGCATAAGCGCGCCCTATGGTGTACCATCAAACAAAAAGCCGATGACCTTTTCGCTACTTTGGTTTCTGACGGAAAGACGCAGTATTTGCGACGCTTAACAATTATTACGAAATGTTTATTTGTAGTGGCAGTAGTGACCTGCATTGTTTCTTTATCTCTATCGTTTGTCAGTTTTGAGGCTATAATGCCGGGATATTATGACGTGAGAAACGTGTCCCTGGAAGGCTTCAGTCCCCTGCCGATTAAGGTCCCCTCTCCGGCTAGTGTTGCGTTATTTGGTGTTTGTGTCGCAGTGCCTTTACTGCTATCCCAGTTCGCTTACGTAACAGTAATCATTTACGCTTTATTGCTGCGAAAATGCATTCGCAACTTTCACGATTCACTATGGTACGAAATGCAGTATATAAAGAAACTTCCCTTAGTGGATCAGAAAGTAGATCAAAAAGAAATTCTGTTGTTCGCTAAAAAAGTCGAGCAGTTGCGGAGACGCTACCTGGACATGGTTGTTTTCTGCGAGAGTTTGAATGATTATTACGGTAGAATGCTCGGCTTTGCGTACGCGTTGGATATGCTATGCACAGCGGGGTACGTGGCGGGCATCGTTGACAACAGCATTAAGCATCCGCTAATGTATGCTATGAATTATGGGAATATCGCTCTGGTCGGCGGTGTGTGGATTATCGGATTCCTGGCGCCTCTTACGACAGTTTACGAAACGGTAAGATTCTAAACCGTTATAATCATCTAAAACTTAAAACACAGTATGAGTTATTTGGTAATTGGTATACTAAAAATAATAGCGCTCCGACGTTTCTAGCTATACTTTTAACTCGAATACAGTGTTGTTTAAATTCAGAGCCGTGAAATTAGTCTGTCATTACATTGCCTGTCCGATGCGGCGATGCAAACACTAATCAGTTCGTCTCCGTCACCCACGGTAAGTCTCCTAGATTACAATACTGCTTTCCATTTTAGATTATGGAATATTCGTTGGTCCGCGCACGACCAAAAGCTTTTGTGTACAGACTACAGAATACCACATGTTATACACTAATGCCAAACGTCAATGCTACACTAGGTGCATAAATCATATGATTCTTCTTCGTAGTTGTTTTATTTCGGTGCACTTCAGTCATACTTCCTAGCTAGTTTGAATCTGTGAATTCTGCCCTTAATGGTTTAATACTAGTGTAATAATTATTAAAAAGAGCTTTCATCGGTAAACGATGATCAATGGTGCTACCAATTTTTTCTGAAGTTGCAACAGACTGCATTGCAACTCACCTTGGCATCGCTGGTTACGATGGTATCGAACCAAGCCATTCAACTGGAAGGAACTGAAATGATGCCGATTAAACGAGAATTGTTGGTGGGGGTACGTTGACTCACTTGACACCGGCTGCCGTATCAATTAATAAACCTCCAACCGCATAAAAATTACAATATACAGAAACATAATTACCGGTACCAGCACCAGTGCTGTAATTACATCTACTCTATGTGTGTAAACTGCTATTCGCACAGCTAGTAATAATTAGTACCGCAAGACAAAGGCAGCCGTTTTAATTTAGCAAAATGTCAACCGCATAAAATTACACATTCCGTAGAAACATAATTACTAACATCAATATGCACATTGTGGATCATGCCGTCAACTACTAAGTAATAATCAACGTTAACTACATCAGTTGTCTGACGCATTGCAGACCTGCACGCTGCTGGCTTCCGCTGGGATACTAATGAGAGAATTTCTGCAACAATGAGGATTTGGATTCAATGCCCTAGAATAGAGAAAGAAATGGTTTTTCGCGGAGATTTTGTTTTTCGTTTAACCTATGCAGCTCTTCATAAAAATGACTTGTTTGCTGAACTATATATACTTCTTTTAGTACTCTTAAGTGCTATCTTTACGACAGTAATTAATTGTGTTGAATAATTTTTCGGGAACGCCGTGGGACGGTAAGATGAAAAACTTCTGTCTTATTTTCCTGCTTTGCCGTGCGGTGCTGTACCGTTTACTAAAATTATAAGAAAGCCTGGGAAAATGTTACCGGAAATGCAAATTCGAAGGTAACCTGATGGTTTAGCACATTTACTTGCGGTTTGTCGGCATTCTGTCAGCACTTTCCAGATGGATTAACGAAACGACCAAAGCTGTATTAACGCGTATAGTTAACGAAACATTCAAGACCATAACATCCCGACCTGAATGGAAATTCCTAGACGACCTGCGGATCGCCGCGTTAGTCGCTAGGGTCATGAATAGACCCGCTCCAGCAGGCGTAGGCGAATGGCATTCAGATTGACGTATGTCGCTACTGCTTTGATTTACACAGAATCTATGAGTTCTGGTAGAAAAGGTGTTGGCGTCTGCGGACTGTTATTTTACAGTTCTGATCAATCCCATTATATGTATAATCTAGAGTGCTGTATCGTTTGCTTGTTGACACTAAAAGACAGCTCACAATTTCTGGATTCGACGTGGCGAATAAATCCAGTTATAAGGATCGCACAGAAATAGCTACTGTACTGTACAGGAAATGTGGACTAATGATTATACATCGGCCTGTGTATTTATTTGAATCATCCATAGCGATCCTGGCGTTAATGGGAAAAGTATTTTTTGCTCTAATTTAGAGGATGTATATAACCGGATACCTCATCTTTAGTTACCAATTATCGTTCAAGATATTAATAAAAATCTGATGACAACTTCCACGGTACATCTTGAAAATGGCGGGATATGATTCGTTCGTCAAATGTTATGTTTAATTATGTCCTGTTCAGCGAAAGTCTGAATAATATATTTTCAAAGACGCGATCGGATTTATGTTACAGGATAATATGGTGTTTGTTGCAGGAGTTTATATAAAGCTGTTACCTCATTGCCTTTAAAATCAAACTTTGCTTCACAGATCCGAAGTATCTATAATTATAATGAATCAAAGTCTGAGTAGCGCAACAGACAACACGGCCACCAACACTTCGGCAAAGTTTCGCTACCAATGGAGTTTCATACCGGCGCTGGAGGCCATCAGTTTCCCTTGCGTAGTCCTTCTCAACGGCGGAATACTGGCGTTGTTTATCATCAACAAACGCTTCAACATCCCCTTCAACATTTACCTGTCCAGCGTCCTCGTGTCCAATATCTTCTTCGCCGTTCTCGATAATCCCTTGGACATCCTGAATTTTATCTCGCCGTACTGGTGGCTGGGCGACCCTCTTTGCTCACTATACTTATACGCTCTCAACATCCCCAGCGGCATTGTTATGTACTCCCACGTCCTGATCACCATCAATCGTATCTGGGCGGTGACCTTTCCGCATGCTTACCGTCGACATCATTCGGTGCAGATTGCGGTGTGCATGGTGGCGGCGGTGTGGATGTATGTGCATATTGTGTACCTTCCCGGTGTCGTGATGGATGCGGTCTGGTACCGGCTTCCCATTGAAACCAGCGGCTGTTTACTGAACATCGATAAAATGGCGGCGTGGAATACGACGGCTCAGTTTATGACCTTTGCACTGCCCAATGTGGTGATCATCGGAGCGTATCCGTATTTGTTATATATGCGGCGAGAGTATCGCAGGGTGAAAATTCTCAATCGTGCATTGTCGCTTCGCAGTAGCGGACATCGCGTGACATCCTCAACCGGCCAACGGGCAAAGCTGACCCGGCCCGGTGAGAGCGGCAATAATTCCTTTACCGTGGTAACGGTGCTGACATTGAGCATTATTTTATGCTGGACGCCGTTAGTGGTATTCTATACAGTGTGGTGTTTTGTGGATTTATCGTCCTATACCGTAACACTGGAGTTCTGTCAAGGTGTGTTCGTTTTGCAACCCGCGTTGGATCCTGTCTTTTTTGCCGGTATCATGCCGGGAATACGATCTGATATTATGGCTTTCTTGAGAAAATTCCAACTGCTGTTTTGCACATGTTAAATTACGGAGAATAAATATTATCATCGGAAGTGTCAAATAGAACGAACGTGTGATAACATGCCACTGCATTTATACCTAAGACTTAGTTGAAAATATGAACATTAATTCCGATGCATTAACTTCAGATTTGATGAATTAATAAAATAGCCCACACACCCAATTTGCTGCTTATTGGTGTTCCCAAATAGCTAAAACATAGCAGAGAATTCGATTATAGCATTACTGCATGAACTTTCAGTTCGATAAAAGTTTTAATATTTTCGCTGGTTTTTCGAGCAGAAGGTAAAGATTGTGCATGAACATGTCTCTATCAGCAGACTAGTTAAGCTTTTCTTAGCGGTCGCTTCCGGTGGGAGCAGAACAAGGATGTTTAAAAATAATAGAAGATTATTTCCGTTTAATTCACATGACCTCATGAGCCGTATAAGCCGACGCGAGCTTATCGAGACATGTCGGTGTATGATACTTCCGGAAAAGTCGGTAAGCGAGTCAACCAACACACAGATTTCTGTTTATTGGTGTTGGAAAGACTCCCGAGGAGAGCCAGGATCGAGACCACTGGAAAGTAATTTGGCAAAACTTTACACGTTTTACATATTTGGACGACTGGGCTAAACACACGAAAATTAATTATAACTGTATAATCCCGCACGAAGTTACTTGCATGTTCTTTCTTTGCCAAATTCAGTATAAGCTGCATACAGCGATATAAACTTGGTACCAAAATAACTGCGCTCTATGTTTACGTGAAAAAAAAAATCACAGAATCAATGACGTACAACGACTCTGCAAAGTACAAAGTCATTCAATCGAAAAACAGATTTCATTGCTAAGAAATATTGCAACAATAACTTCAAAATACAAAAGAATCACAGTAACAGGAGGTCCCAGTCACATGCACAGACTCACCGTCCAATTCAATCACAATCTCGTCACAGTCACCGTCGCATGCCAGCCCGATCTGACAGCAAAACACGCATAGAAAGCATGTCCCGTGGCAACAAATGCAAAGGAAGTAATAACCAGGAAGCCAAATGTCTGGGGATTCGGCAGACCGATGACCAACACAAACTTCAGCATATCCATGAACCGGTTAAAGGAGCTCTGTACACCGCCAATCAGTCCTCGCTCGGTCTCGGCAACATTTTCCTGCAGGAGCTGCGTGATCGTCAGATCAGCCATCCACAAACTAAAATACAACGTACACTTTCAGACTTTAGCTCAACAGCATTTTACTGAATGAGTTTTGTACCCGAAACGTGCCGCAATCATTCCGAAGAGGAACACAACAACCGATGGGAGTTCCTCAACTGGTTTCGTGATCCATTGATTCTCATCGATGTCGGCAGCGTTAGGAGTAATTTCCGTTCGGTTACTTTTCGAACAGAAGTACGGATCAAATGGGCTTCCGGGTAGCCACACAGACACAACACAAAACGTTAGGCACACCAGTTGCGCACTGAGCGCAATCAACCCCGTTCGCTCCAGCCCGAACTTGGCGCGCACCGTGCGAAACGCAAACGTCCCGGCAATCCCGACCGCGGCCCCCAATGCCATCATCACGGAGATCACCGATTCCGATAAGCCCTGCGTCCGAATATACGTGTTGGTCACTCCGTCGAAGGATAACGCCGTCATGTAGAGGAACGCTAAACCGACTCCAGCCGGCCACACTCGCGTACGGAAGTACGCCTTCCATCCGTCGTGAATTGCAAAGCACGATTTAAATATTTTTCGCGATAGTGGCTTGATCAGTTTTTCGCTTGGAGAGGGTAGGGGCTTGCACGATAGACGAGGCACTCTTCGGTAAATTTTCATCAATATCACGTATTCGATCATCATGGAACACACATTCCAAACCGATACGGCAATCGTGCCGACGTAATGCTCGCTAAATGTCATGATTTGGGCGATAATAATGGGGGAGAGAATCTGGCAGGTCAAGTCAATCCGACGAATTGCTGAATTCAAATCTAAAAAAAGGCGGATTCAATTTTTCAGAAAGGAAGATGAATTCATCCGAAAATTCAGTACCAACTCATGACACACACATCAGCACAATTTCTTTACTTGCCAGGCCTTTCTTGTTGCCATTTGCGATAACCACTACCCAGTCTTTTTCGATAATAATGTTCATTCCCTACAGCAGAATAACAACGTGAATCAGGTTATAAATCACGAATTCGATTAGAGGATCATCATGAACGAAATCCTTGCATTCATTTCAACGTACCACACTAGCACAATCGGCAATCACAGCAAATACCAGAAAGCCAACCACGCAGAATATTCGCCCATCACTGTTCATCTCCGCACGGTACACGAAGGCAAACGTCAGTATCAACGATCCACAAGCCACACATGTGTTCTGGATAAACAGAGCAGTTCGCATGGCTAAAAAAGATTCAAATGGTAAGTTTTTCTACAAACGGAATATAGTCGAACGACTAAAAGCATCTATACCCAGTCAGCTATCCAAAAAAAAAGTTAAACAATTTGCAAACAAAAAATACTACAGTACATGGTTGTGGGATTTCCGTTAAGGTTAGAAAACACTATAATTTACCAATTATTTAAGGCTTCGTATTTTACTCAGTACAAATAAAATTTCCCTCGAATACTGTTAATGACAAAATGCACCTTTTAACCGAGAGGTCGCATCTACCCATTCTCCAATGGACCAGCCAAATAATATAACACACGAGCCTGTGACTAATCCGTGGATTGCCGGAAGAAGCAGAGATCCGGGAAACAGTTCCAGCAGAAACAGCGCCGCCGTGAAACTCCACATCCGATCACCCTAGAAGCATACCGCCAAACGTTAAATCCTAATGCGGATTTTCTATAAACGTGCATTCGAAGTTTTCAAAATGTACTTCATTATCCCTTCTAGAACATTTACTGTGCATGGAGTTTTCAAACGGAAACAGATTGTGGAGACGCCGGTTGTAGATCTAAATATACTACATACACCGCAAACTAAGCATGCTGATGTGTCGCAAATAATAAAAAATCAAAATCAACAAGAATTACATTTCCAAATCCCAGTTTTTAAAAGTCGATATGAATTATTGACGCACTTTCTCACCCAGCGACCGAAAACCTCCGCCAGATAAATCCACCATCTCACCAAGTGGATACTGTTGGTCGCTCTGGCACTTTCTACGAAAACAACCCAACCAACATTGACACATCTCTGACACACCGCAGAGACGAGCTCTTACCGGTGGAAACAACGATATCAGGCAACGGCGTTCCATCGCGATCGAGAATCACTCGTTCTTCCAGATCCCGCATATCTTCCAGGAATCTTCGAGGCATGGGTGATGGGGATGTGGATACAGAATCGTCTGCACTGAGCATTTTTTCTACTGCTGTCTGCACCGGGAAGGAGGCATCCACACCCGCACGCTCTTCCGCAGACACTTGTTGCAGATTATGCACAGCAACACGGCACATCGCATCCACATTTTCCACATCTACCGGCTCTGCGTAAGGATCGGCAGTGTCAAATGGCTCACATTTCTCGGTTTCTATAAATTCTCGTACGGCTTCTTCGTTTTCATTGGTAGCTACGAGGTCCTGGATGGGAACAACAACGGGATCGCGAGGATTTGCAGTAGATGCTGGAACGACGTTTATGCTCGCGATACGAGTAGGAACTTCGGGGTCCATTTCGGGATTTATATTGACAGTTCCATTTTCAGTGGATGTTATCACGCCACGCAAAGCTCTGACTGAAGCGCAACAGTTTCCAACATGCCAATTATGCTCATTGTAATGGCGAAACAATCATTTTATTATTGTGCAAAACAAGGCAAAATTGCAAAATGAAGAAAGTCAACAAACAGATCCTCCTTTCGTTATGAGCTGACGCAGGCTTCCTCCCACGAGAGACGATTTCGCTACACTTCACCACTTTGCAACAGCTGATTTTTTCCTGAATGAAAATCTAATGCAGAATGCAGTTAAGTAATGAATTCCACGCTTTTGGCAGCTGCCAGTGTTTGGAGTATTCACTTCCGAATTCCATTTGTATTTTGAGAAAGTATTTTTCTTCGACGGTTCGACCCACAGTTTTTTCGGCGTGTTTGAAACATTCAATAAGTCCGAACATTTTCCCTGATCTCTAGCATCCTTCGAAGAGCGCACCGTATCCATTATTCATACCATGTCGTCTCTTAGTACACTGCACGCCAAAATTGGTCCTTCCATCCTGAACGCTGATCTGGCTAAACTGGGTTCCGAATGCAGCCGGCTGATCGATGCTGGCGCGGACTACCTGCATTTGGATGTGATGGATGGGCATTTCGTGCCGCCGATCACGTTCGGGCACCAGATGGTGGAGTCCCTGCGCAAGACCATCCCGAAGAATCGCTGCTGGTTCGACATGCACATGATGGTGGAGAATCCCGATAAATTCGTCAAGGACATGAGCGATGCGGGCGCTGATCAGTTTGTCTTCCATTACGAGGCCACCAAAGATCCGCAGACGACGATTCGCAAAATCCGCGAAGCTGGCATGAAGGTGTGTACCGTCTCGAGCAAAGCAACCGCGCATTCGGGTAGTAAAACTAAAACCGTCATGCTGCACTACAGATAGTACCAGGCTACTACCAGCAATACACTGCAGTTTATATTTCAGTTATTAATTTCAGTGATTGGCGTTCAGTATTTCAGTACTGCACAAAACTTGACTAGTGCAGTGCTTTAGCATTGCCGGCATTGCAGTAAAAAAAAGTTTTGAATGTTTTTACAGTATAATTTACTCGTGCATTTCTTAGTTTTATAATTTATTTGCGTTACGTATGTTAGGATTTTTTTGCAGATATACAAAGTTCTTGCGTTTTCGATTTTATTTCTGCTTTTCTTCGATTTTATCATTTTTATGTACACACTTTTGCATTGAGAAGATTTTTCTTACTTCGTGTGAAATTTAATCATTAATTGTTCGTACAGACATACTACTTGCTTGCGCCGTACGCTAGTTTTTCGTAATCCGTCGTTAATTTTGATGGTTAATTTGTTGTGTTTCAGGATTTATTTTTACCGAGTAAAGTTCATATTTTGACGCTGATTAAATAAACCACCGAAATACTGAAATATACTATTCGGGTCATTGCAGGTGGGCATTGCGGTGAAGCCGAAGACGGCGGTTGATGTTGTCTTTCCGTACATTGAAGAGGTGGATTTGGTGTTGGTGATGACGGTGGAGCCGGGTGCCGGCGGCCAGAAGTTCATGCAGGACATGATGCCCAAAGTGCAGACGCTGCGGAGGAAATTCAAGGAACTGGATATCGAAGTGGATGGCGGAGTCAGTCCGGATACCATTCATCACTGCGCAGAGGTACATTTCTGCTATTCTCTGATTTATTTGCTTAACAAACCCGAAATCATTTTATTAAAAATTTAATTTTTCGGAAACGGGCATTGCATTTTTTGGGACAAACTAAATAGAGAGCATTTGTGTAGGTCAGTGTTGTTTTTTGTTCACCGAAAGTCAAACAACTTGATGACTTTTTCATTTGAATGTGAAAATTTATCTGTATTTTCGCAAGATTTAAGTTGCACTGGGAATTATGCAGAAATCCTGTTAATGCGTTTTTGTAGGCTGGCGCGAACCTCATTGTTTCCGGTACAGCTGTGGTTAAAAGTCCGGATCCCAAGTCCGTAATGGATCAGCTGCGACAATCCGTTAGTTCGAAAATTCCAATATGGCAGAATTTATAAATTAACATTGACATGGTCAAACGTTGGACGCTTTTTTTTCGATTGTGATTTTCTTGAAGTTGTTTGGAAAAATGTTTCGGACACTCCTATATTATAGCTTGCTTGTTTATCAGCTGTTTTATTTATTGTTTAGGTCGGTTCTAATCGCAATGCAGAAGGTTTAGTGATTGCTCTTGTATAAGCGAAAGACCACCAAGACTAATAACTGTGAGGCCAGCATTTATTTATCAAGACTGTTTTTTGTCATAGTGCAGCCGCATATGAATTTAGAAAGAATAATTAACCTAAGCAAAAAAAAGCTACTGCATAGAAAAATCCTAGCAATTCAGTTTAGAAAAATCACAAAATCAGTTTATATGTTGCATCAGTCGTGCCACGGAAATTATTCATTAGCCTTTGGGGACATCGCTGACTTCGCATTTTCCAGAATGTACGATTTCGATTCCTGGAAGCACCAGATTTGTATTTACATGTAGTTTGCCGACTAGGCGATTACGATTTATTATGAACTTAGTAACTGTAATGCGTTTCAAGTAACTTGTTTCAGAATGGCAGTAATATGTTACAGCTAATTACTAAACAAAGCGGTAGCGCGATTTTCACCTATAATAATTTTTACCGTACCATTGCATTCGGCCATGCAAGTGTTAGCATAGTTCCTCCCGTCCTTGCCGCAAACCGGATCGCGTTCATGTGTGCAAGGGCATGCTTTACTGGTATCAGCTAGACTTTCCTGAACTACAGAATATCAGCAACAAAGTAACCGCGAAAAAACGTCAGCACCCGTATTTTACTCAGCATTTCCAGTTCGATACGTTAACAGTTTACACTTTACCGAGAAAAATTGTTACCACTACAGACTGTACGAAACTATCTGTACATCACAACGTGTATAAAATTATTTATCTAGAACGCCTGTAATTACATACAATATAACGTCTGTATAATGACTTTTGAAACAGTACTTTACCGCTAGCAATGATCAGCAGGCATGTGATTGTAATGGATAACGTCCTCATATCCGGCATATCATGCGGGTCGTGATGCACGTATATTAATTTACAGAATCCGTAAATTCAGAATTAAGAGAATGCGGTAAAATTGGATACTTCCGTAATTTCAAACCGTGCAGTTCCCTGGGATGGGCTGGCAGCAATTATTCAAACAGGTACTGAGTAGATGATAATCGCTTAATTATATCTGCTAGCAAATGCAACGGATGCAGTGCTTGTATTGATTTACCTGAAAGCGGAAATACCTATAAGGTTTGTGATAGTTCTCTTTCAGGGTCAGCAGCACGTTCGAACTTCACGTGGAACAGGTATAAGTGCAACAAACATTTGTGTAATACAAAAATGAATTACATCACCGGCGTCAGAAATTGCCACCTATGCAATATAATTAAATATCCTAACAGTGTCCGGCATAATACTCGTATACTTCTATTGTTATAGGTGTAATATACATGCCTGCCTTGTTTTTATTATGGTTCATAATCATGTTTCTGTAGTTCCGGCAGCTTTTTATATTACACTCATTTAGGAATAATTATGTAGCAGTAACCAAAAAGTTAAATTTATTGAGAACGTGCAAATACATTACAATGCGGCACTTTTTGGAACAATTTCAACTCGCATATTAATTAACGTAAATCATCACTTCCGGCAAAAAGATGTAAATTTTTGTGTAATGTGCTACTGCACATTCCTCGCGTAGTCAGCGGTCACTGAAGATCAATAAAATGTGCAAAATTTCTTGAAATACGACTTCATCAGTCGGTGTTCGGTCCAATTTTTTCTCATCTTTACACGGTATAATAGTTAAAATTTGCCTTGACATTGTCCTTCATGGGCCACGTTAACTTCTGTAAATGATATAAACAGCAATTACTCAAAAGTATACGAATAATAAATCAATATCTTTTCCAAAAGTAAACATCCTAACCACCCTTTTAAATATGTTACCTACTTAGGTACTAGTAATATTTCTACTACGCAGTACCAGAGTAAAATACTGTATTTAAATAGACGCAGGAAGTCTGAAATTGCATGCAGTAGAGCTTACTTTTGCAGTCGGCTTCACATCGGTTTCTATATGTGACAAGATTTTTCCCGCACACCGGTCTGTTGCCGGCATATTGGCAGAAACACGCGCCCGATTGCATCCCTTTGTGCGGATGGCCGCTCGTTCCCGGCTTCGGTGCTTCCGTTCCGATGAACAAACCTAACCGTAGCAGCACACCTTCCATTCGACCACGCGCAAGTTTTGGTATGAAATAATTTATCAGAGACTTACCGAAACACAGAATAATTATGCACCATAATGTATAGAATGCCCGTGGTTTCATATTGCCGAATAAACTTTTCAAGGACAAATGAATAAGTGACATAAAACGCGATATGAATGTTTCGAGGATAATTTCGAATTGCAGTCACAGTATGCCGTTATGTTGTCAAAGTGTTAGCTCAAAGCCTCAAACCAAAACGTTTCACTGCATGCTGCACACTAAATGCGTGTGTCCACGTGCTTTTCTGGTTGGAAGAATTTTCAAATTCCACCTCGTCGTAATGTCGCGAAATTGCCGGGAGTAATATACATCAGCTTGCAGGAAGTGGATTACAGGTTTTTTATTATTATGTATAGTGTTTTCCGACCGTAATGTTGCACTACTCTAATAATTTCTAACCCGAACCATGCATGGGGTACATGTACTTGTACAACACATTTGGTCTCCAGTCAAAGTAGTCTTACTGCATAAGTGACTATCATCACAGTAAGCAGTAAGTACAATAAATTTATTTTTTCTGTTACCAAACAAAAGTGAGATAAACTTGTATAAAGAATTCTGAGCAATTACATACATGCTTCCCATCGCCTTATTCAGGTCAGCCATTTTGCAATAAGAATTTACTACAAGAAAATGCATCCTTTTACATATTGTATGAATATACAGTAAAGGTAAGCATATATGCTTACGTTATATATACTGTAGTTATTACCATATCACGTGATTAATTAATTACCCTTTGTCAATTTTTAAAAACTTCGAAAAATGTCTAGCGCGCGTCGAATTACTATACGCTTGAGCTTAATTATAAACTGACGCGATCGTGCTCACATGTCAGTTTGATCTCAAAATGGCCCGTGTCACAAAAATTGAGAAGCTAATTTACGTTCTAAGTAGAAAGCATCAATGAAACTCGCTTAACGCGAAGTGGCTAGCAGTTCAGCCCTTTTGCGAAAACGGGCATACCGCCGACGCATTACACTTTTAGACTACACCATAGCATATAGCACATGACGAAATGATTTTTGTACTTTAAAATGGGATCAATGATGGTAACGCATTCGTTGTTAATGAGATATTAGCTTTTAAAGTGAAAAATTTGAAGTCGATTTTTACAGAGTACAGACTTGAAAAAAAATATTCTGAAACGGCCACTTTAAAGATTCAAGTGTTAGAAGCTTATTATACGGACAGATTTTTGATTGATAAAAAACAGAAAAAGAAAAAAAATCGGGGGTGCCAAAGAAGTGTTTGGGGCACTCTACCCCTGGATATTTCTGACGATATCTGCCGAACAAAACCTTAAGCAGAGATTCTGTCCGTACAATAAGCTCAGGGTGCGATATTTTATTTAATGCGATTTTATTCGTATTTTTTGGCAACCAGATGTATCTGCAGCTGATTTTCAAAGTTTTTTTACGTTTTGTTCGCTGTTAGCTTGCAAAAATACACCTCTTTCACGGCTTTGGTGCCGGTACCGAGAGGTGCTGGCTGCCGCACACAAAAGCACATGCACATGTGGAGCGACGCAGAACAGGCAGGCAGCCATATAACATTCATGCAGACTGATGCAGTCATAGACGCTAAAACAAAAGACTGCAATCAGACGGCAGATTTGCGTTTATGGCGTCTTTTGTTTCTGTTTCTTGTCAACAAGCTCAACAAAACTGGATCGGGCAGTGGCAGATTCTGATCGCACCTGATTGCGATTACTTCAATGCCAACCACTGATGTCGGTGGCGATTGAAGGAATATGGCATTACTCACAATAAGTGCGGCGCAACCAATTATTGTGCTGTTCACCTTACGTGCCCCCCTCTACCAGCTGTACAACTTTAATTTTTTGCGTGTTAACGAAAAAAGATATACTCAATACAATTATCGTGTTATGTAGTATAAAAAACGCTGTGTAAGATGAGCCATGGTTATTTTTGGGAATTATTTTGAAAATTCGCTAGCCACTTCGCGTTAAGTCATAAAACAGGCCATCAAGTAGAAAAAAAACATCCTAAACCGAAAATAAACGAGTACAGTGTATAGAAAAAAATTTATATAAATATAATAACATGCAGTTGGCAATTTCATGCATTATTTATAAGCTCCATAGGGCAAATACAACACGTAGCAGGAAATTCCCGAAACGAATGTTTACACTACTTTTAAGAATAAGGTTTTGCTGTCGTTGAGCATGATCCTTGAAATGCAACAGCAACATCTGAAAAAACAATAATATTAATGCAGCAGAACCAACGGCAACCTGTCACCGACTTTGTTTCTGTTTAACTAATCGGCCTACTTTTACACCCAGCTTCGCAGGAGTTTCCGTAAGTGTTCCCGTCTACGCCACAAACCGGTTGGAAAATTGCCGGACACACGCACCCAACGTTGGGAGTTGTCGTGGAAGGGCATTCGCCTTGGGATACAACTGCCACATCTGTAAAACAGTGGCAATTATGATATGCGAAGTAATTACGTACAGCATTATTCTGAGAACTGCCACGTATTCTGTTAATTCAGTATGTATAGATATGTAAGTACTATGTACATACAGATACACGCATACGCGTTGAGTGTCGCACTACTAAAAAATAGTGCAAAAGTGACAATACAAGTAATATAAAAATATGTGATTGGGTAAGTTATGTACAATATCATCGTACTACCCAATATTACATACTTTTACAGCCTGCTTCGCAGGCGTTGCCATAAGTTTTCCCGTCGGCACCACAAACTGGTTGGAAAATTTCAGCGCAAACACATCCGGTATTTGGTGTGGTTGTGGTCGGACATTCGCCTTGTGACGCTACTGCCACTTCTACAGCACATCAAAAACATTAGTTTTGTTTTCCAGAATTCTAGAATAATATGGTGCACATGGTTAAGCACCTCATAGAGAATGGTTTATACATTTCGCGGGGAGAAATCTAACGCGTCGGTTTTACAGTTTTGGATTAATGTCGTCGATAGTAAACTTACTGGAACAATTTGCTACACAAGCGCTGGCGTAGGTCTTCCCATCAACACCACAAACGGGTGCAAATATTGCCGTACAAACGCAACCTGGATTTGCGGTCGTCGTACCACATTCGCCTTGTGACGCCACGGCAACCTCTGAAAGGTTTAGGACAATAACGCTGGAAATACTGTAGCCGCGCGATGACTTTGCACCACTTTTAGATCCGGGCGCTGCCTGCCCCCGATCGGACAGCGGACACGTTACGTAGAACGTGCTGCAGCGTGTATGACGATTTCCGTATACCAGACTCTGTGGTGCAAACTTATCGCGCGGCTACAGTACATTGGAAATAGTTGTTATTATTATTATTACAACATTATTATTATTTATCCTTTTTGTTTACAAAACACCCCAAACATAAAAATAACAGTAAATATAATCTGCAAGTGTCCATATATAAAATTTCATATCCGTTAAATGGTTATCTGAACAACCAATAGCGTATTAATAATACGCCTGTACGTGTTTAATCAACCGAATGCCGATTAAAAACTTTATGGAAGCCGCAAGATTAATTTTTAAATTAACTCTTCATCGCCGCATTTTTAGAGTAATCTGTTACCTTGCTGCACAGGCAAAAAACTGTTCTTCGCTTTGGTGCGCACTTATTTTGGGATTTACATTGAGAGAAAAATTTTTTTAGGTCTGCTTGCTTACTTGCACAAGCCGCAACGCAGCTGCTTGAGTATGTTTTTCCATCAACACCGCAAACAGGAGCGAAAATTGCCGGACAAATGCATCCAGGGTTGGCAGTAGTCGTTGACGATCCCGGGCATTCACCTTGCGAAGCTACTGCAACGTCTGTAAAAAAATACGAGTAATAACAAGTATTTGGCGAGGATGCCGGCAGTTTAAAACTATATAATCGCAGATTCCGGGAAAGGAAAATAAGCTCCCATAATAAAACTCCTGCACAACGTGTCCCAGATTGCTGCAAACAGTCGTGTTATATTTCGCAAGGTCATCTTACTTGCACAACGCGCGCCGCAGGCATTGGAGTACGTCTTCCCGTCCACTCCGCACACCGGGTTATATTCCAGCGTGCAAATGCAGACAGCAGTCGTATTTACCGGTGGCTGCACAGTAGTGGCGTAATTTTGCTGTGCATGGGTACTCCAAACAACTGTACAGATCAAGCATGAAAGTATTGATTACTTTGAATTGAATTAAAAAGGAATTACGTAGAAAATACTTACACAACGTCAGGGTAACATATGTTAAGAAAAGCATCCTGAATATGTATAATTATGTACAGTCCTTTAACTAAAACACCGACAACATAAGCATTAACGCCTTAGGATTTTGTATCGAAATATTTTTCGCCGAAAAATGCAGCTGATAGGTTTCTTGACCTTGAAAACATACATTTTGCGTTGAGCATCACTCATGCAGTTTTATATGCCACCCGCCGACTGAGAAACATTAATATATTATGGTCAAATGGACACACCTTCTTGCGGTACCCACAGTTCTCAGCTGGCGTCAATCAGTATGTTTTTGCGGAAGTTGTCAAGAGTTCGTTAATACCTAGGTGTCAAATCCGTGTATCTGCTTATACTAACACGTCCACTTCAAATATTCCCTAGTTCTTCATGCTGATTTGCAAAGCTTTTACTTTATGGTTTTATCCCCGTGTTTTGAAATTTGATAGGAAGCTCATTTGAAATGTTGTGCTAGTCAGCAATAAGTAGGCGCCAATAACTTATGCACACACTTATTCATGTCTTTGCAAACAAATAATAATGCGCACGCTTTGCATGAATAACACAAACAGATGTATTATTAAGAGTAAATGTGGGTTTTGTTGATGTAAGTCCAGTGTAATTATATTTTTGCCACTTTTTAATACCTAAAACCGTATTATTAACCTTTAATCGTAAGTCATGAGCGAAATAATAATACATTGAATGTGCCAGTACGGCACTACTTATGCTCGTATAAAATACTGTCGCTTTGCGTATTGCGTACGTATACATAAATAATACATTACATATCTATATTCGAAACCTGGTGAAAGCAATGAACCGGATACTTCAGGTTGATTTGGCATGCCATACTGCATGCAAAAATATTTCGTAAATAATTCTTGGGTTTTGAATGACCGCTAATAATTAATAATGACAATAAGTTAGGAATCCAGTTGAAAAACACCGATTACTAATCCATGTACAGCCGTCTGTGAGGTGTGTTAATGGCTAATTTGGCTTTCAACGGAATCTGTTCCGATAAAGGTGTATAATTGTTTATGCACAGACATAATTATTATAAATTAAATTAAATTAAATAAATAATCGGAAATTAGATAGGTATTTCGGCATCTGCGAAAAGCAGGTTACGCAGCGGTAGGATGACAGAAAAAATCGGGTCTGAATCCGCCACCGGTTTTGCTGTTCCCATTATACAGAGTATATATGTTCTTGCGTTTCCTCGTTTCAGTGCTAATCCGTTGTATCCACCGTCTCCAGTTTCCCATGTACTTTCCTTGCAAGTTCGGGTATCACCGTATCAGTAAGTGGCTCCGATCTCCCCGGTCCCAGAGTTTTTAAACCCAGCGGGTACAACAGATTGTCCTAAGTGGTGTTTCGGTATTTCGTGTTTTTGTCTCGCTGTAATTACACAGCCGCTTCTTCGGCCTGCAGTGGCCCTGCACTGATGCCGGTACAGTTATGATATAAGGGCCACCGTAGATCGTAGCATTCCAGGTCGGCTCCTTTCTTCGTTCCCAAGGAGTCAAAATTACGCCGTACAATATTGTTTACTACATGCAATTCTTCATGCATTTGCATTTACGTTGATATTAACATGTACAGAAATCGTTTATGACGTTTTTCTATATTGCTATGCGTGGTGCAGTAATGTCTGCGATTTAGTCGACCATCGTGACCTGTGAGATCCCTGCTTTAATATACAGACTTCAACGTAATTGACATTTTAAATTTACAAACCGATATTATATACAGTATTGCATGCATACATAGGACAAATCCATGCGGTTGTATTTTTTCTTAACAATATTACGCATTCATTATTTTTAGTAAGGCACCGTCAATCTGGGGATTATTTCATCTTCAATAGTTTCATCATCTTTGCGCAATTAAAAAGGGGCAATCGCTTACTGAAGTGAAAAATTGAAAAACGAGAACCCTATAAACAACTCGCATTTACAGATAGCTATTGGCCCAAAAAGTACAGCTTCAAAAGTGAACCACAATATCCACCCATGGTCGTTCGTGTACACATCTTGAGACAGATGCATCCATATTTTTTCGTGAATCTTTGAAATCCATGAAAAAGGGATAAAACTCCTATGTATATGTTGATACTGTGGGCGATGATGTTGGCGTTGATGTGGTTGTCGTAGTCGGACAGGAAGAGGACGTCGGATCGCAGCATCCCCAATGAGCAATGGTTGCACCCGCGTCTAACAACATGGCTAGTTCAAACCTTTTAAGTCAGGTACAGTATGTATTTATATTAATATGTATATAACACTCTACCGTAGTTAATACACATTCTTCCAACACGTAATTAAATTGGCAATACAAGGTGAAAGCTTTATATTAACGGGAGTTTTGTTTGTTGCATCTAAGTTTAAATTAAATGAACTCATTAAAATTTTTTGTCAAAATACGGCACTATTTTTACGTATATGTTTCTTACGACTGCAAAGCGCCAGGCAAGAGTTGATGTATGTCTGTCCACTTGAACTACAAACGGGGTCAATAATCATGTCGGAACACGAGCAGAACATAACGGTTTGGGATGTCGTTGTTGATGCCATTGTCGTGGTCGTCGTTGTTGATGTCATTGTGGGGCATTCGCCTTGCGAAGCTATTGCGATATCTGCAAAACATTTAAGTCTTACAGAAATGAAAGGTTTTAAATGCTAATTACCAGCTCCTGCATCAACATTTATTCATTTTATATATACTGTATACTGAAAATCATACTGCACTCACGGGCGCACCCCGCAACGCATGCGCTGGCATAAGTCTGTCCATCAACACCGCAAACCGGCGCAAAAATGGCTGTGCAAATGCATCCTGGATTAGAGGTGGTTGTGATTCCGCATTCCCCTTGCGTAGCTACCGCAACATCTATAAAAGATAAAAAGGAAACTGATCTATAGCGAAATGAAATTATAAACGTTTGCCGCCGTTAAGGTCACCACCACCAAATTCATGATAGTTAGGCTATTTCATTTATAGAGGTTGTTGCCGCACACGTGCACCGTTATAATACAAGTATTAATACAAGTATGATCAGTTTATGCGTTTGTTACAAAAATGCATGTTACAAAAATAACTTTTCATAAGTTTAGTTCCACTGAGCTTTTTTGAGTTTAGTTTCCCTTTGCCTTACTTGCACAGCGTGCAGAACAAGCGTTAGGATACGTTTTTCCATCAACTCCGCAAACAGGATTATATTCCAGAGTACAAATACATGCGGTCGTTGTGTTTGAAGAGGACGGTACAGTGGTAGTGTACTGTTGCGCCGTTAAATTTGCAACTAAAAAAACAGCAACAAATTGTCATAACCTCCGTGCCCATGTGCGCAGCTTACAGTGTAAACTAAAATCACTCGTGTTAGGGTCTTAGGGATAAAGCACAGTATAGCTAATCCAGTGCCGCTCTACAGTAGTATAGGCTGCTGGCCCCAGTAGCCTATACTACTGTAGAGCGGCACTGGCTAATCAATAAAACATGCCAATACAACTGGAAAAGAATACAACAGCCTATCCGCTCTTTGCAGGCACTGCATAACCGCAAAAAGGTCACGAATTGGCGCGTACCTAGACTTAGAAAAAGTAGGCCGGCAATGAAAAACATAGTCGAAGTTTATAGTTCCGTTGAAATTCCCTCGACCAGCACAGCTGTGCTCGTAAATGTGATTCTAAGACGTGTTTGACAAAATCTTTTAATCTGCTAAAAATTACAATCAACTGACATACTGCCCAGCTTGGAAGCAAGTTTACGTCTAGACTAGCGAGCGGCTCAATGTTTGATCCAGTGCACAGTGAATTTTTTTCAGAATTGGTCAACGCTTTAAATACTCTTTGTACTTGCAGACGGTAGACTTCGGTTTTTTTTATTTGCCTTATACGCACGCGGCACGATCTATACTTCTACTGAACCAATCTCCGAGAATTTTATTCAAGCGGAAGTTGATTAGCGGATGTGATGCATAATCAGATCCGAATGGCAATGGCGCTATTAGATAGCGATGTATAAAAGCAGTCTACCAATCGCATGTGTAATTCAAAATTGGATCCGTTTATCTTTCAATTGATTCACAAATTAATTATGGTATGTACACCTTCTTTGACAAGCAAAGCATGAGACGCAAATACAGTAATAGTATAATGCTTATAAATTTTGGCGCTAAAAGTAAATTGTTTGCTGCAGTTGTTCCTCCCCGGCTGTTAAAGCGGCGGCCGGCATCTGCCCGCATACAGCACAAACAAAAAACTTTATGTTGTTTTCATTTGAATGGCTGCACCTTATGTTAATTGCAGTGCAAGAACTGTCGAGAAACAATTTCTTTATTACAGTATATGACTCATTTATAATCTGCTGCAGCTACGTACGAGTATATTGTCATAATGATGTTGGCAAACTCGCAATTTTTCTTCTCCATACTCGTGCAGAATTTTATTGATTAATGGAAGAACACCTTTTTGTTAGGTGGATGCAAATTTATAATGTATCACTAATAACCAGTTGCTATAAATTTATGCTGCGTTACCGGTACCAGTTTAATCTTTTCATAGTCTGTAAATACTCTTGTGTACACTGACGGTGACGTTTTATTAATCGTAAGTAGTATATTTCCAGATAAACGAGAGCAATTTTTGCAGATACACTGAGTAAATGGTAGCTAAAGGGCCTACCAATCCCGTATTATGTATTTCGGTAGTTTTTATTTGCCTGTGGCACTGGAAAAGCATACAAAACAGAACTATTACGCGCATCTGTAATATTTTGCAGCGGTTCTCACTTTTCTTGTTCTGTAATACTGTAATACAAAGTCAAAAATAATGTTGCCTTGCCACTGAATGCTTGCCACTGAGTGATTGCTTGCACACCTTCAGTCACTCCGTTTGAGTAAAATTTGAAAATTGGTAGAATCCAGTATACCGCAAATATGGGAAGACTGCATACATTTTTATTTTTTGTCTTTGCTGTTGTTACAACTTACGCTTCGGCAACATTAGATATTGCTTTGATAGAATTTTTTCTGTCGACTGGAAATAAGTTGACAGCAGCTCAAAGCGCACCTGCTGTCTTTGACAAAGGAGAAGAGCTCTTGCGGACGAATTACGGTTCGTTCATGAATGTGACAGGATCACGGTTTTATCGCGAAGATGTGACAAATTGTATCGACATGGCCCCAAAAGCACTTAACTGGGCTGCTCGATATTATTACACACAAACCACCGGCAATCCTGTTTTGGCCATGCTTGGTCCAGGTACTTACAAAATACATCTTTAAATGCTGTAGATACAACAGGTGCGACTTTGTATCTAATTACGTCTCATTTTCCAAACGCTTTTAGAGTGTGCAGTGGCAGCAACATCCTTGGCCAGTTTGGCAACAGGTACGGTTATAAGACGAACGTGAGCAGTATAACAGCAAAAAAAAATTATATCGTTTCTGTTTTATCTGCAAAATTTTGTATTGCATTGGAACGTTTTGATGTGTATTTGTACAGATACTGTTGTCTGTTGAGGAGCAGTACTACTGCTATAGTGAAATTCAGTACTGTACCCGTAGTAAATTTAAATTATCTGTAAGTTGAAGTTTCATATTAACGAGGGAAATTGTGAATCCGTATGTTAAAAATTTTCAATTACTTAATCCGCGTGCATCAGGGACATGTAGATACCGGGGAAGAAGTTATGAATCATGTTTTGCGTACAGATAAATTGCTGCGTTTTTCACAGAATGGAAAATACCAATGCTGATGCCGTAAGTTGTATAGAAGTACGATTAGTGCTCATAAAAGCAGCAAACGTAATTCGTCGTGAAATTGTAGAAATCCAGGAGACCCTGCTTTTTCAAACAAGCGACGCTATCCCACACTGACGCGGATTTCCCCGTTTCTTCCGGATGATGTCAACCAAGTTCTGTACAAGATATTGAGTGGTTTTGGCTACGATACAGTAGGGATTTTGTGCGATGACACGGACGATAGCGGTAGAACTGGGAGGTCTCCTGCTTCCTCTTTCGTTGTACCAATGTGTACATCCGTCTTCGACACTTTGCGGTTGAATTATAATTTAAGTGTCAGCCGGTTCTACATCACTGGCAACGACAGGCGGAATACGATGCACTATTTGGAAGAAATCAGGTCCATTGCCCGAGGTAAATCGTAAATCTGCTTCAGAGTTCAAACATATTACTGTAAAAAAAAGAATGCTTGAAGGAACTAGAGTATGCCTATTATATGTAATTTCCGCTTTTGTAGCACAAATATTAGAGTTAACGTTTGTGTAATTTGTTCTAGTTGTCGTCATCATTGCACATGGCAGCCGCATTCGACCCATCATGGTACAGAAAAAAATTAGAAAGTTGGTATCTCAACACATTTTCACAGTTTTGCATTATGTCACAGCTGGCTGCTTCCGATGCGCAGATGACAAACGGCGATTATGTAAGTCAAGAAATCTAATTCAAGAAAGGTTTAGGGATACGTGTAATCGATAATCCATCTAACAGATTCTGGTTTTCGAAGGTATATTTCGCATTTGAGCCTTTTCGAAGTCCAGAAATGGTCGGTAACATCACCTGGCGTTCGGACAGCTCTGATGGACGAGACGAAGTACGTATAGAAGTAGTCAGCAGTGGCGCAAAAAGCCTTAATTAAACGACAAGATAGCAGTTTTGAACGGGCATGGTCCTTTTCCCCTACACTTCTACACGTTAACTAAATTCTCTTACTCACCAGGACGCTCGTACGGCGTTTCGCTCACTTTTCAAAATATCAACGCGTCCCGAAGAATCTCCAGAGTATCGCAACTTTACCAAAGAGCTGAAGCGACTTACCAAAGAAAAATATAGCTACGAATACGCTACTGGAGAGGAGGTACGTGATTGCACGACCGATGACCTTTCTGATGTGATTGCATGTCCACTACAGCAGATACATTAATTTTAAATTCTGACGAATAATTACATGTTTCCTGTTTGGGTTTTAAAAGGTCAATCCCTTCACTATGGCTTACTACTACGCACTATCCATTTATGGCCAGGTAAATAGAGCACTGCTGCATCCCCAACATCACTGGAAAATACATATAAGAATTTACCTAATTTATTTCAAAGGTTCTAAGCGAAATGGCGACGTCGGGAGTTGGTGGGAATCCGCGCGATGGTGTGGAAGTTTCCAAGCGAATGCGGAATCGTACGTTCACCATCCTTGGACAGGATATTTTCATAAATGCTAATGGAGACCGTGAATCAGACTGGGTTCTCAGCCAACCGGACGATAATGGCAATTTTAAGGTATTTCCTTTCCCTATTTGTTTCGGCACCCCGGAAGTGCGTAATTCTAACAATAACATTAATTGTCTCCCTACTGTGCAAGTGAAGCTTTTGGTGCAGTGATACAATCGAGCAAAACCGCAGCTCTCGATCAACGAGGGTCACTCACCATTAGCTAACCAATCTTTTAGCGCATTTACGGTTTACAGACTAAACATTTAGGAAAACTTAAAAGCATGAATTTCAGTCGCGATTCGTTAGGTTAATTAATGGCGAATCACGAGTGAGTACCACGCCGTCGCTCTTTAGTTTATTATACTCTGTACAGAGTAATGAATGTACGTAGTCTTAACAAATAAGTCATTTCGGCAGCCCGTTATGGAGTATTCGGCTCGGCAGCGAGTTCTTCAGCCAAGCCGCGATCCAGTGGATAACAGCACTCGTCAGATTGTATGGCCGAATAAGCGCAACAGTCCGCCGTTGAATGAACCACTTTGCGGCTACCGGGGAACAAAATGCGTATCTGGTGAGTGTAAATTACTCCGTAGATGTTTATGTCTGTGGACGACAACATATAAGGAAGCGTACGCAGAAATATTTACATAAGAATTTGCAGGTGGTGGAGGAGACAGGAATGCTTTTCGGGTTGTTGTTGCGGATGTATTGCAGGGGACGGCAAGCCGGCAACAGGATTCACCTATCCAGAGTGCCCTGAACTCCACAGTAAATTTAATTCAACAGTTTTCTTCGGTCTTGAACCAGTACAGAAGCATTTTCCACATTTAACAATGACAAGGACAACCGTCTCTAGCTGCTTTTACAAATAATCCGTATATGTTGCAAAAGCAGCGACTGATTTTTTTGGGAATGGTCTGCTTACTAAAGCTGCTAGCCCGTCAACGCATTAGCATCAGTATAAAGGCGGCATCTGTCCAAAAACAGGCAAAATCATAACATATTGTATAACTGTTGATGACTGCATTTCTTTCTCAGAATCGTAAATAACAATTTCCGAAAACGGCTTTGTTATGTGACGCGGTGTTGATCTTCATTCATTTACTGTATCCAGTATGGCTGCATTGCCATGACTAGATTGTCGGCCAAACCGGCATTTTTTTGTGTGGTCCTCGTATAATTATAGAAGTAAAGAATCTTATTGAACAGAGGAACACGTTTCTGTCAGGTGGATTACACGTATGTTTCTGTTTTAATTATGACTAGGAAGCCATACTCTAATAAATGCAAAAGCTCCTTAACGGATATACTAATCAGATTGTGGCTGGAGGGTCTGTTATGTTAGTCCCCGTATTTTAGTACAAAGTACTTAAATCTGGTTTGCCGGTGGCATCGGAGAAGTACCAGAACCCGGATGATGCACGCTGCTTGTATAGCCCGTTTGGTTTTGTAGAGAGTTTCTACGTAACTTCGCACGTACAATCCACTAACCGAGCAAAATTTAGAAATCATTGTAAATCCCAAATATATCTGCAAAATATGAGAAGACTACAGATAGACTTACCTTTGCTTTTTATCTTTGCTGTATATTTTACAACTTATACGTCGGCAACGGTGGATATCGGTTTGATGGAATTTTCACTGTCTGGCAGAAATTCGGCAGTAGGTCAAAGCGCACGGGCCGTATTTGACAAAGGAGAAGAGCACTTGCGAACGAATTATGGTTCACTACTAAATGTGACGGGAGCCAGATTTTATGAGCAAGGGGCTTGTTATGACGCGCCAGACGCGGAATCCAAGGCACTTGATTGGGCTGCACGCCATTATTACATGCAGACCACTGGCAATCCCGTTTTGGCCATGATTGGTCCAGGTACACCAGCTGTGACATTGCTTTAATGGATGCATAATGATGCCATAATCGCCATCTAATTTCTACCTGATCTTAGAGTGCTCACCAGTAACACAATCCTTGGCCAGTTTTGCAACAGGTGCGACATACTTGTGCATATCATAATTATTAGTGCACCCAAAAAGTAAATAATTTTAGTGACAAACAGCAGTGCACTGTTTCAAAGAAATTTTTTAGAGTATCTGCAATATAGTGCACTATTTGAGCCAGTTAAGCAACACATATGGTTGCGCTTTAGTAATTCCATTTTGAAACGCACAACACAGCAATGTTGTATTGAAGTTCTTATATTGAAGATATTAATCGCACACTTTTAAACACAAAAATAAACTGACGCACGTATTAACAGTCCAATGCTTCAGCATTTGCATAAGCTAAGCTTTTCAGGTTGATGAAAAAAATCTTGGAAGATTTATAAAGCAATCTGCGCTAATTAGCGGTAAAAACGGCAAAATCTGAAGAAAAGTCCGAAAACCGGTAACCTGCTCGTAATATGGCTGCCTGAAAGCTGAATCGAACAGCCGGGAGGTTTCATGGCACTATAAAATTATTGTTTGGTTTTTTCTTGGTGGTAATAATGACATATTAGCCGGATGTGACAGTACCGTATTATGAGCGCAGTTGATTGCACGTCCAGGTACTGACTGCAAAGTGTAAATTACTGAATTTTTTACAGAATGGAACATACCAATGCTGATTCCGTAAGTCACATCGGTGCGGCTAATTCGCTCATTACAACAACATTCGTACCGTAAATCCCAGTAAAATTGTAGGAATTTGGGACATTCGTCCTTTTACGACAAACGGCGTTATCCCACGCTCACACGGGTGACCCCGTTTTCTCCGGAAGAAATCAACGTAGCTCTCTACAAAGATACTGAGTGGCTTTGGTTACAATACGGTCGGGATTTTGTGTGATGATACGAAATGATGGCCGCAGAAGGTCCGTTGTGGCTATAATCATGTGTTCATCGGTCTTCCATACCTTGCGCTGGACCTATAATCTAGCGCCAGCCGATACCACATCAATGGCACTGACAGGCAAGACACTATGCATTATCTGGAAGAAATCAAGTCTGTTGCCCGAGGTAATCATGCATGTTTGCTCAAAACGTTAACGGCAGAAGAAGAAACAGCAAGAATATTTGACAACGCTTATTGTCAGCGTATTTTCATTGATTTGTTTTTAGTTGTTCTCATCATTGCACACGGCAGCCGCATCCGATCCATTATGGTACAGCAACACTGCGAACTTTTACCTTGATTACGAATTTTCGATGCTTGCAATATATAGTTATTTACAGTTGGCTGCTTCAGATATGCAAATGACGAACGGAGATTACGTAAGAAACACATGCACATTAGGTACTTTCCATTAAATGTATCGTTGTGAGCGACGCTTGTCTCTGTATATTTTATGAATAAAATATACCATCTTATGTTCTTTTGGAGGTATATTTTGCCTTTGAACCTTTTCAAAATCCACAAGTTGTCGGCAACATGACATGGCGTTCAGGAAACCTAGATGGACGGGATGAGGTTAGTACATGAAAGCTCCGCCGCCGAGTAAAACAATCTAAATAAGAGATTGAAGGGACATGATTTCTTTTTATGTAGAAGTGTCATCACGTTACATATTCATCTTATGCTTTGGCTTTAGGATGCTCGTATGGCGTTTCGGTCGCTCTTCAAAATATCACCCCCTGTGCGGTACGAAGAAAACCCAGAATATCGCAATTTCACCCAGGCGATAAAACAATTAACCAATGAAAAGTATGGTTACCCGCTCTCTGATCAAGAAGAGGTACGTGGAAGCGCGACTAAGGACCAATCCTATTTGGTTGCGTTTGCATTACGACAGCGGTGGTGCATTAATTTTGTGTTCTGACCCGCCGACAATTAGTGCTTCTATCTATGGAGTGTTATTCTTGCTTTCTTTAAAGGTCAGCCCATCCGCCATGGCCTACTACTTTGCAACGTCCATTTATGGCCAGGTGAATATCTGTCGCTACTGAGTTTTATAATATTTTTGGAATTCTTATACGTTTTCTGAGTGTACTTCAAAGGTTGTAAGCGAAATGGCAAAGTCGGGATCCGGCGGGGATCCGCACGACGGTGCGGCAGTTTCCAGGCTGATGTGGAACCGAACGTACACTATCTTAGGACAGGAGATTTTCATAAATGTTAGTGGAGACCGCGAATCAGACTGGGTTCTTAGTCAACCCGACGTTAATGGCAATTTCAAGGTATTTTGTGTGTCCGTAAGAACTTATACTGCACTCTGGCCGTGGGGCAAAACTAAATTTGGGCCTTTGGTCGCTCGGCAATTTTGACCAGTTATGGAAGCATGGTGTGGAGCAAAAGCACTCATGTACCGATCAATGAAGGGCGCTAATGAGTGACCAGTTGCTATTTTGACAGCCCATTATGGAGTATTCCGCCCGGCAACGAATTCTTCAGCCAAGCCGCGACCCACTGGACAACAGTATTCGTCAGATTGTATGGCCTAATAAGCGTTCCAGTCCTCCGTTGAATGAACCGCTTTGTGGCTACCGAGGAACAAAATGCGTATCTGGTGAGGGCAGATAGTACTCGCATAAAATTTATGTCTATTTCTACGACAGTATACGAGCACAAGAATGAATGCCACTTACCCAAAAATTTGTAGGTGATGGAGGTGGTCGGAATACCGTTGGCGGTGTTGTTGCGGATGTATTGCAGGGAACAGCAAGCTGGCAACAAGGTTCCCCTATCCAAAATGCCTTAAATTCCACCGTAGATTTAATTCAGCAGTTTTTTTCGGTTTTTAATCAGTATAGGCGCATTTTACACATTTAAACGATGACAGATACGTTCAGTTTTCTCCATTTAATTTTTCAATAAATCCCAAAATTTTGAGAAAACAAAGGTAACTGCCGCTGGATTGAGCAAACCCTATCAAGTGTCCTAAGCTGTTTAGTACCGCAACAGAAAACGGTAGTAAATTTGACTGTGTCGTCATTTGTTATGTTAATGCGTTTGTTATTGTTGTGATGCAGATAATTTTTTTTACGTTGTACGGTTGTACCGACCGCATCTCACGGCCCTCCCGAGTTATTTTTTGCAGAATAATAGATGATTTACCATTTGTTGATTTGCAGCGTGGAGCAAAAATTAAAGCGCAGCACGACGGAAATTTTGTACATACATACTTCACTGCAAATATATGCAGTCGGATCTTTTTAAAACTGAACGTATTTTAAGGCATTACATAATTTAATGATAGACTTCGGATCAACTAGCAGTTCACACCGACAAGCCAGGTTTCGGTTAGTAATGCATCAAATGGTCAAAAACACTGAGCACGGTCATGTATAACATGGCAAACTTGCGGAAGTTAAAATTACAGTTATTTTTTTGTAAAGCGGACAAGATCCGGTAAGACTTAATTATCGGATACGTATCAGTATCCGATAAGATTTATGGTCGTGGTTACCTCGTTAAGCTTTCTTCCATACGCCTCGAATTTGTCCCAGGTACACATATACTACGGTAGCAGTTATCCTGTTCGGTGTTGTTTGTGTGTACAAAGCCACATATGATCTGCAAGCGAAGCGGCTGGAAGCGGGCGGCGTGTGGCCAAGGTCTACGCGAACTTGTTTCCTGCCCGTCCATTTAGCAACTGCAACAAAGATGTCCAAAAACAGTATATATAATTATAGAATGTTATAAAATTATAAAGGTTGTTGAGTGCACCCCTGTCGCAAAACAGTAAATCGCAGTTGTCGAAAAAGGCTTTATTATTATGTGACATTTCACGCCGATCATTCATCTATCCATTACGGCTGACTGTCATTACCATGTCAGCACAACCGGAATTTTTTCCCTGTCATACTCATATAAAAGTTTTCAGAATGGAGGAACACGTTTTCGTCAAGTGGATGCAAATTTTAATTGTGGCTATCAAGCCGTATTCTAATAAACACAAAACTTCTTAGCGGATATACTAATCAGATTGTGGCCGGAGGGCCTGTTATGCTGGTGAATCACGATATTGTAATCATTCTGGTTTGCCGCTGCACCGCGGAGAAGTAAGTACTCGTACACAAACCCAGGATGATGCAGACTGTTGAGTAGCATTATTGTTTTTGCCGCCAACGAGCACTCATATAATAATTTCGTATGTGCAATCCTCTCACCGAGAAAATTTAAAATTTTATAGAATACAAAATTTATTACATCTGCAAATATGCAAATACCACAGACACCAGTGACTTTGTTTCTTGTCGGTGCTGTATTTACAACTTATGCGTCAACGCTTGATATCGCGTTAATGGAATTTGCTCTGACTGGCAGGAACCCGGTGGCAGATCAAAGCGCAAAGGCGGCATGGGACAAAGGGGAAGAGCTCTTGCGAACAAACTATGGTTCACTACTGAATGTGACGGGAGAAAGGTTTCTTCCAAACCCTTGGGAGGCCTGTTATGACACGGGATCACTAGCACTCAACTGGGCTGCGCGCTATTATTACAGGCAAACCACTGGCGATCCCGTTTTGGCCATGATTGGCTCAGGTACGTACAGCAGCTACGGTATTTTGCTTCTAATATGTACTTGCATAATCGACATCTCACTTCTACCTGGTTTAAGATTGCCCACTGCCAGCAAAATCATTGGCAAATTTCGCAACAGGTGAGATGTGCGTGAGTAGTATTATGAGCAGAAGTACACTAACGAAAGCATATAATTTTAATTTATTATTACTGTGGTTCGGCACTGCTCCGCTGCAATATGATTATTCTAGAGTAAATGTAATATAGCGCGTTATTTTGCTTAATTAATCAACATATTGATGGTGATTGTAATTTATATGTATGTAATTTGTAATGATAATGTAGCAACCGGATGTTATGTATACAGTACTGCATTACGAACGCAGTTGTACGCACGTACAGGTATATAAAGTGTAAACTAATATCTTTATTTACAGAATGGAACATACCAATAATGACCACGTAAGTGGTACGGTCAAGGCTCATAAAAAAGAATCATTAAAATACGCAGTGAAATTGTAGGAATTCGGGAGATTCGGGTTTTTATGACAAGCAGCGTTACCCCACACTCACACGTCTTTCTCCTTATCGCGCGGAAGATGTCAGCGTAGTTCTGTACAAGATACTGAGTAATTTCGGTTATAATACAGTCGGAATTTTGTGCGATGGGACGGAGGGTAGCGACAGAAGTGGGATGTTCCCTTCGGCTGCTCTGGCTATGTCCGTGTGTAGATCGGTCTCCAATACTTTGCGCGACATCTATAATATAAGTGCCAGCTGGTACTACATCCAAGGCAAGGACAGGCAAAATACAATAGACTCTCTGGAAGAAATTAAGGCTGTTGCCCGAGGTAAAAATATTTGCTCTAAACGTTAACCTCAGAAGAAGGTACTTATATACATAAAATTAAAAACTTGGCTATGCTTGTTGTCGGCGTACTTTTATTCAGTTTGTGCTAGTTGTTATCGTCATTGCGCAGGGCAATCGCATTCGACCCATTATGGTACAGAAAAATTTAAAAAGTTTGTATCTCATAATTTTCTCAATGTTTGCATTATGTCGCAGCTGGCTGCTTCCGATATGCAGATGACGAATGGGGAATACGTAAGGGCGTAAATTAATTGAAAATTGCAAACAGCTTTAGAGATTCATAATGAGTTCTTTCCATAATTAATCTGATAGTTCCGCTTTGTTGAAGGTGTATTTTGCATTTGAACCTTTTCGACATCCAGTCCCTAGTGTCGGCAACATTACCTGGTATTCAAAAAACGATGGACGGGATGCGGTACGTAAGTTCTCCTGGTTTACGTAAAACAGTAACAGGAGATTGAAAGGACTTGCTGTTTTTTCCTGAAGAAGTGAACATTAATCTTCCTACTTTCTCACTCATTAGGAGGCGCGTTTGGCGTTTCGGTCGCTATTCAAAATATCAACCTCTTCATCGTACGAAGACAAACCAGAGTATCGCAATTTTACCCCGGCGCTGAAACAACTTATCAAAGAAAAGTATGGTGACCCATACTATAATGGATTCGATTTAGAGGTGCCCGACTTGCGACTGATGACCTTTTCTTTCTAACTGCGTGTCCGTTACGGTAGCATAAGCGTATCGATTTTAAATTGCTGACCCGTCGACGGGCATGGCATATTTTTTGATAGCCTAATTTCGTTATAGGTCAGTCCATTTACCATGGCCTACTACTATGCATTATCCATTTATGGTCAGGTAAATATTCAGCATATATGTGTAGTCATAACATTACCGGAAGAAATAGTTTTACGAATGTCTTTCAAAGACGCTAAACGAAATGGCAACGTCGGGATCTGGTGAGAATCTGCACGATGGCGCGGCAGTGTCCAGGCTGATGTGGAACCGCACGTACACAATCTTAGGACAGGAGATTTTCATCAACGCTACTGGAGATCGCCAGTCCGATTGGATTCTCAGCCAACCGGATATAAATGGCAATTTTCAGGTATTTCCATGGTATACACGTAAACTTGTACTTTGATTGACCGTGATGAAAAAGAGAGTATCTGTAATTTTTTTGTCATTCGGCACTTTACAAACTGATCCAATCGATTTTTTTGATCAGACAAAAATATATCGACCACCGAAGGTCACTATATATGGGTTAACCAATCGCTATTTTTCCAGCCCGTTATGGAGTACTCAGCCCGGCGACGATGGCTGCAGCCAAGCCGCGACCCGCTAGATAACAGTATTCGTCAGATTGTATGGCCGAATAATCGTTCGAGTCCGCCGTTGAATGAACCGCTTTGCGGCTACCGGGGAACAAAATGCACATCCGGTGAGTATACATTTATGTTTATTTCTACGACAACATACGAAGAGGGTCATGCAGTACCGCTTACGCAAGAATTTGTAGACGGAAGAGATAAAGGTGGGAATACCTTTTGGGATGTTTCTGCGGATGTATTGCAGGGGACCGCAAGCCGGCAACAAGGTTCACCTATCCAACATGCCTTAAACTCCACAGTAAATTTAATTCAGCAGTTTTCTTCAGTTTTGAATCAGTACAGAGATATTTTACACATTTAGACGAAAACAAATACACTCACTTCCCGTCTCTATTAGCTCTTGCAATAATATGTTCTTAAAATTTGAGAAAGCGAAGGTATGTAACTGCCGCGGTGTTGAACAATCATAAAGACAGCCAAATCAAGGGTCTATGCTCTTTAATAATGCATCATACAGCGGTAGATTTGACAGGGTGCTAATTCATTGATTGATTGTTCTTATGCAGATTACGGTATATCTTTTTTTAAATTTTCCGACCGCATTCTACAGCCGCTTAGAGTTGTCTCTTGCGAAATAATAGGTGATTTGCCGTTTGTTGATTTGCACTGTGAAGAAAAAAAGTGCCGCGCCGGCGAAAGTATTTTGCTTCGCTGCAGATCTGTATGCAATTTCGGCTTTTTTACAGGTATTTTATTGAAATAACAAAATTAATAATAAATTATGGATTAGCTAGCAATTCGATCGTGTCGACAAACCGGATTCAGTCAGTAATTAATACATGGTCAATAACAAAAACACCGAGCACGGTAATATATAACATGATAAACTTTGGTATAACAAACAATTTTATAGTCCATACACTCAGTTATTCATCTATTCCCTAATTAACGATATCGCTCTTATTGGAGAGCGACTCCTGTAGGATACAGCGTCCAAGGCACGCGACAGAAATCCCCCAATATACGGTAAAAATAGGCTTCCATCTCGATATGAGTTAACCCGCTTCATTCTTTTTATAGGAACAGTGGCAAGGGTTCCTGAAGTAGAATACATAAAATAGTGTAATCATCGCAAAAAGAATAACTACATAGTCTGCATACGCTTGTTTTGTTCAATAATACCAGAGTGACCGCACACGTCGCTATGAAATCTTCGCACCTACAGTTGCATTAAAAGTCGTCGGCGCTGCGGTGCTGTTGCCTTGGGCTTTGTAATATAAAAACGGCGCGTTGCTGGCACGAAGAAAACCGTCAAACTTCTTTTGCGGTGGCGATAGGTCTACGTCAATGGGACTCCAGATGGTGTAGGTGACCTTATGGACATCGTGGTAACAAATTAGTTGCGTTTGTCTGCTTGGTATCGTCAATAAGCAGTGTCAGATTAACCAATCCTTCGCTGAAACCTAAAACTGTAAAATTGTCATATCGAAAAAACTGCTGAAGAAATCGTTTTCACGGTAATTTACTGACCGAACAACGATTTCCAGATGTTTCGCATTGTTCCCAGCGCTACTTCCTTATCCGTTGCATTGAAATATCGGATGTACAATGATCCATTTACAACATTTTTTCCGTGGTCGATGTGAGATTTGTTGGTAGCCGAAACATTTTGAGTATGATTGTTAATTGCAATGGTAAAATTTCCATTTAAGCTCGGTGTTATAGTAATACTAGAATTTTGTAGCTGCTCTTGCACTTGTTCCGCAATGGACGAGAAATTCACATTTTTGATGGGTACACCGTTAAAGGTCACGTTGCTGAAATCCCGTATAATCGAGCCGAGTGTAATCACCAATTTGCGTTCTGGAATAACCGGATGAATTAGCTCGGATCCATTAAGAACGAAAGGAAATTTTTCCAGGCGTAAAGCGTTTTCAAAGGCCGTTGCCAGGTTTAGCAAAGCGGTTTTGTTCAGTGACGATTTGCTGGCATTGAGCTGGACGGTATAGTTGAATTCGTGCACACTTCCGGGTGCGTATGTTTCATCCGTGGAAAGAATTTTATCCGATAAACGAATAATTGTCACGTTTTTACCTACAAAATATCAAGAATAACTTTTGCAGCAACTATAAGTATAAGCTTATACAGATACGTTACCAGTTAGCCAAAAGAATTTAATTATGTTATTTTTACCGGGTGGCAGTTTTTACTTACGGGTAATTTTATTCCACAATAATAACAGCTGATCCACTTCCGCGTCTCGTTCTTCATCGTCCGAATATTGCAGAATAACAGACCGTACAATCTCTATCTTAGGATCGTTAGACGTAATTTTAGAGGTCACCGGTGCGGCGTCTATCTCGTCATATTCGTCAATTTCCTTTTTGGGTGGCTTCTCCTCAACAATATCCTTGTAAATACCCTGAGCAGCGTGTTTGTTAAATTCGTTGACCTCTTCGACGTCAAAACCGAACATGAATTTTCCGGTCGGTAAGATTTGGCGCAGCCGGTGCTTAGCGGCGTATGTGTCAATGTGGGCGGTTTTGTTGGACTGTGTCCCAAGAACGGTGTAGTACACTTTGTGGGAATTCGGTAAATTGCTGGCGGTATGATCGAGTGCTTCAAAATCGAATTCCAGAGAAACATTCGATACCCCGAAATCTAGTGCAGAATAAGCACACGCTGAAACTTCTTGGCTGTGCTATAAAGTTAGATGACTGAAAACAATCCTTTAAAATTATAGCGTGTACGTCATTTCTATACTGAATCATATTTAATTTAATTTCTGTGCATTAACTTCTATTTACTGTACGTACTATCTGTATACGTTAAACGTACAGAGTACTCTCTGTGCATTAAATATTTTGTGAATTCATCGTTAATAACTGCGGCCCATATCTGGGATGGGCTTACCTCGTAGGACTTTTTTCCATACGTCCCGAATTTGTCCCAAATAGTTATCCCGTTCGATATTGCTTTTATATACGAGCCAAATATGATCCTTTATCAATAAAGCGGCCGGAAGCGGTGGCACGGAAACTGGCTCACCGGCACTTGCAACGGGCGAAATGGTCAAAGTTTCCTTCTGTACGTAAACAAAGCCCACCAATTTGTCTTATGGTAAAATATCATCATTTTTTAAGTTATAGCCCGTTTACAAAATAAAACTCACCTTTGAAGATGTTGGACTGGAAACATTCGCTTTGGAAATGACCATCTTAACCGATAGGGCGGGTGTCCGACTCGTTACAGTTGCTGATGTCGTAGCCACATTCATGACCTTTGTAGTGCCTTCTGCAGTATCGTTGGCTTTTGACAAAAGCAGGCTCTTTCTCGGATTTTGGAGGTTTATCGTAATGTTAAAGGTACTTGTGTTATTTGACTCTGATTTCGTTATATTTGGGAGAAGGGATGCGTTGACGACGGTTGCTGTGAGTGTTCGTTTTGGAGAATTCGAAATGGTCGCTGTGGAATTAACGAGAATGGTTTTGGTGGCATTGCGATCCATGCCGACGGATAGAAGTTCCTGAAAACGCGCTATGACGGTGGGAATGTTAATGGGTTTTCCGCTTGTTTGAATGACGGCGACGTAGGACACATAGTGAACGGGATGCGGGTCACCGGCAACGACTTGGTCTTCCGGTCGGATGATGTCATCATATACAACAACATCAACTTTTGGCGCATTTTGTCCTAAAACAGCCAGTTAATAAACATTTTTTAAAACTGATACGTTTTACATATTTTTTAATTAATTTACTTGGTGTAAAATAGTGTATATAGTATATATATTTTATTTCAAATTAATATAATAATCAGTCGATTAAGATACTCACTTTCCTTATTGTCTCGTTAATTTTTACTCGTTGCATTACTCTCTTACCTAACACTTTTTGCCATGTGTTTTGAATCACCTGCACCATGTTTTTCAGGTCCAGTGCAGTGGCATATCGGATTAAAATTCCGGAAGGTACAACAGCAAAATTAGCCGTGCTTGGCATGGTATGCAACAGGGTGTTTTTGTCCGGAAAGGCGAAAACGGTTTGATTGCGACTAGCGGCATATTTGCGCACTCCTGTTCGTGCTTCATCCGCATCCAAAGCGGTACCGTTGGTCAGTGCCACAAGAATGTACTCTACGTGGTGCACACTGGAATTCTGCACAGCTTCGTCAAAAATTGGGCGCACGTGAACAGCAACAACTTTCAATCCTACAAAAATACAATTCAGTTATTCACAATGTTTTTCGGCAGCAACACTTAGAACTTTTTTTGAAAAGGTTTTTTGTAAGATGTCATAAAGGTCACATAAAATACCGAGAGATTTTCCCCAAATTTCCTTCAGCTGATCCAGCTTTTGCTCCTTTTCTTTGTCCGTTGTGTAAAGAAATACTACGCTGTCGTAAACTAGGACCGACCGAATCGGCTCTGGCTGGTCGAGTTTAACGAACACCTCACTGTCATCACGACCAGTGGCCACCATGACCTCCGGTACTTCCGATGCTTGGAAGTTCAGGAAAGCACTCCTTAAATTATGCCGGAATTTCTGCAGAACCGCTTCTTGGTCGTAGTTTGTGGACTTGGTCACCACAAATACGGTGTATTCAATGTAGTTCAACGCTGATCCGTCGGTGCTGGTGCTGACCGTTGTCTCGTTGTCCAATCGTAATTTGATATCGCTGACGTCTGGACCTAAACATGACCACTGACCGCATCATTACAGACAAAATTTCGTGCACTTTTAGTTCGTAAAAAACGAGTTAACTGTATGTCAGGGTCAAGTTTATTTCAAGTAAGTCAAAGAGATACAAAAATTTCAAGAGCCGTTTGAACAGTGTAAAGTTCAAATAAAGTACAGTATTACCTAATTAAACACGAAGTGCTACACTGACCTATGGAAAAGCAATAAAATCGCACCAGCTTGAAAAAAGTTGCCCTCGATCCGAAAAAAATTTTCATTTACAAGTTTGATTGCTTTGTAGTTTATGGACTACTGTATTTGTTCATCAATCTTCTGCTGCGCGACTACGCATGGTACGAGGTAATGACACTGCACGAAAATTCCCAGTTACGGTAAATCTACTCAGTACTATTGTTAAAAAATTTCAGCATACCAAAGACGTCAAACCAGAGCTGCCGAATCTGCCCCAGTTCATCAATCTTCTGCGCTTCAGTGGAATAATTCAATAAAATTCTGTGCTGTAGCTGTAATCCCAAAAGAGGATCTGCAGATGGATCGTTGGCATTTACCGACGTCTGCAGAACATCAAAAGCAAATGATTGAAAAGTAATACTGATAATCACCAAACTGTTTACCCTTACTTGTTGCTTGCTCAAGGTTTTGTCACTGGAGTCACCGGGAATGTCGTTTGATTCGTGCTTGACCGGTGGGATAACGGTCACCCCGGCAATATCAATCGTCGGCAACAGTTCGCGAACTTTATCCCGAAGAGTGTCGACGTCAATATCGGATTTCGTAGTTTGCACTAAGACGACATAGTAAACGTCATGGTACAGTTCGTTGCCGGCGATGGCGGTTGTTGGGGCATGTGGCGCGTCCCGGTATATGGAAACTTGGACGTCGGTCGCATCGCTACCTGTAAAAAGAGTATTAGACCGTTACGAGTAAAACATTTTTATTTAATCAATAATTTTTAATTCTTCCACTGTATCCAAAGTAGCCGGTTTCTAAATATTTTTTAAGGTGTCAAAGAATGCAGGTACAAACAACTGTACATATGTATTCTCTCACCCAAAACGTTGGACCATATCTTTTGCAACGCTTCAGTCAAATTGCTCAGCAGCTCTTTATCGGTGAAACTGACTGACAACGATCCCAGAATGATGTTGTTGTTCACTTTACGACGGTCAAACAGGCCGGAAAAGAGGTCCGTTTTTGGGATAATATTCGTCATACCGGCTCCGGCTAATAGTTCGCGGAAGCGGCTTCGAACGCTCTCCACATCAAGATCACCAGCACGGGTTAGTGCCAGAACAACGTAATCCACGTTCTGGATGGTGGTTCGAGAATCCACTGGACCAACTTGCACGGAATCATTGCGCACAACGGATAAAAATACATCAGCTTGTGTTTCGGATCCTGAATAAAAATTCTTCGTGCAACTATTTGACTGCATCGTACGTATAGTTCGAATTAAATAGCCCTGTTGGCATGTTGCATTGGACTTAAGCCACTGCACTACGCCAGCTTCAAAAATACACCGACTTTACCACGGTTTAGATTAAAAAAATTAACGTTGTACAGTAAACAGCACTTGTACGATTCGATGCATCAGTAAACAAAACAAATATGCGCCATATCATCCGATTGACGACGTCATAATACATTCTGACATAGGTCAGCATAATACGTTATTAGCATGAATAAAGAAATACAAACGTACCGATGGCATCCATCCAAACTCGGCGAATAGCTTCCATAATTTCCCCAACACTGGTCTCGTTGGTGTTCAGTTCAAACATGATATTCTCATTAAACACCGTCGCGTGCATACCAGCAGGATTCACACCACCAAACCGCTTCCGAATAAGATCTTGAATTTGCGCATCGACCGACGCGTACGTCGTCGTTGCAGGCGGTTCGGTCACCGGCTGGACCGTAGTAGGATTTTTAGCGGTTTTATCGTCAGGTAGTGCCTGCATAAATGACGGAATCTTCAAAAGGTCATTGTTAATCTTTGCCGATAAGGGTTGGGCGAAGTCCTGCGTGGCTGTTTCCACGGTCAGCGTTAGAGTGGTCGGAACGGTTGTGGGCGGTTTCGTGACGACATCAACGGCCGCTGTTAACTGAACGGTTTCTTGTGGTAACGACCACATGAACTCTTGCGCCGCGTTATCCAGATTAACAGTCTGGGGCTCGTTCGATGTACTTCCAATCTTTCGAAAAAAAATTCTAATGAACGTTTCGATACTCTGTATAGATACAAAACAAAGCATCATTTTGCTTACAGTTAACGTCCCAGGCTGCAGCGTTCCTTTGTCCTTTACACCAATGGTTTTATTATTTGACGTCATTATCGGTGTTCGCGGTTTAGTCGTTGTATCTTTTTGGCCCCCTCCTTGGGCGTCCGCCACCGCCTGGTGGAAGCGCTCCAGTGCGTGCAATAAAATTTTCGGATCAACACTCCATCCGCTGACTTCGTATGTGACATTGTACACCGGTATCCTTTGCGATGACGACGTGTCGTTGTCGGCTTTGACACTGTCCACGAAACGGACATCCAACCCCGTCGCTTCTGCTCCTAATGTGAAAAATCCGGATAAAATTATGTTTTTTGTAGAATAAAATGTGAAGCTCTTATTTGTTAAATGGACTTGCCTAATACTTTATTCCATAAAGTTTTGATCTGTTGCAGGAAGAAATTCCGCTGATCTACAGTTTCGTAAGGTAATATCAAGTTATCCGTAATCCAGAAAGGTGACCCCGTATTATGTGGTTGTGGAGTTTCTTTTACCGACAACGTCGGGCTTTTTACTACAGTTTTACTGGATGATGTAATTAATTTCTCAGTGGTTGCGGTTGTCGTGGTGGAAACATCGGACAATTTGGGTAGCGCGAACGCAACCGGCCACAATCCGGCATACTGGGAAGAACGCAATAAATTTCGGAATTGGAGTTTTAGCCCCACATCTTGATCGGAAATTTGTTCGTTGTTCAGTTTGCGCCCGGTAATAATATACGTAATCAAATGGGGCAACGCTTCCGAGGTAGCTGGCGTATCGCCGAACAGAGTCAAATGCACATTGAACGCCATTCCCGCTGGCAAAACAGCACCAATTTTAATAATTTTATAGGTGTATATGTACTTTTACAGATGAGTAAAATTAGAACTGGATGATAAATGAGACAACATTTTATCTATACGTGGTAGTTTACCTAGTAATGATTCCCAGATAGTTTTAACTCTTCGTAAAAGGTCGTCGCGCTCTTCCGGGGTATTGTACTTGACCCACACGGAATCCAATACGGCGAATGTTTCGTTCGTGGCGTGATTGACTACGTTGGTAGCGTCGGGCGATGTGAGATTGACTGGTGTTACCGGAATCTTGGTTTCGGCCAGTTCATCACGGAACGCCAGTTTTGCGGCATTCGTGTCAATCGGGTCTTCTGTGTTGCCCAGCACAACGTAGATGATCAGATTGGCTTTGCTTTTTGAGCGGGCGTATTGGTGTGAGAGATTGGATGGAGCCGGCAAATCGTCCACTAACACGACCTGGACATCGTTCACTTGTGGCGCTATGAGAACGTACGAAACATAATTAAGAAAATTAGCATAACATCAAATTATTTATATGAAAAATAATGGTTATTGTAGCAGCTTTGTTTTACAAAAAACAATTAATTGAATGATGACGGAAAACTGTAAAGTTTGCCTTACCTAGAGCATCCTGCCAGACTTGGGTAATCTGCTGGAGCGCAATATCCCGGTCTTCTGGTGTGGCATAACTGATAAGCACAACGTCAGATATGACGAAAGACCAGTTGGGAACCGGGAGATCGGGCAATGACACAGGTGTTGTTGTCGTTTCACTGACAAAGTTGTCCGCATCGTGAAGAACGACGATATCGTCATCTGACAACGAAACATTACAGCCGGTACTCATCGCAGAGTCTCGAAAGTACAAAGTATTTGCAACATTATGCATTCTTGCGGTATTGTGCATATAGTTGTAAACGAAACGTTTATATAAACGTGCTTTGACATTACTAATAGTTGTGAGACACAAATCACGTATTTTTACTGGAATTTCGAAAGAGTACGAGTAGTGGCGATACAATATATTGTATTGTGTCACAAAGTTGTTACTAAGACTAATAACATGCACGATATACCAATATGTCCGAATAACTTTCAAGTCTCAGCATGCAAAATCATTACAACCGAGGAAATGTGCAAAGTGCTTTCTGAAAATTATAATGTTTCTTCTAGGCATTGTACGCGTATGTATGCAGCCTCCTGGTCACGCATGTTCTCTTAGCATCCTACTAACTTATCTTAATTTCTATAATTTTTTAACAACGTATTATTAACCTGTTATTCTGGCAGAAGCTTGCAAAGGAATAAAGTGCCGTATATCGGCTGTTGTTCCACTTATCTGCAAGACAATTTTTATAATTTCAATTTTTTATGAAAGGAGTACGTAATTAAAAAAATACTTATAATTCTTGTAAAAAATAACTTATACGTCCTCTATAGCGTTAATTTATGAAAGTGACAGCAATATGGGCGCTATTAACCAAACATACTTTTATTCGAGTTCATACGAATCATAACAACTTAACGAGGTTGCAGACTTACCCATACAAATAAACAAAGGAAAGCAAAACCGTTCATACTCGATATGTGCGAAATAAATCATTCAGATTCAACAGCGCAACAGCATCGATCACATCAGACAGCAGATCTGAGCCAAGATATTTGCATAACCGCTCAGAAAACAAAGATTAAGCAATGGCTGCTTTTATCAAAATTTTGATTTGCATATGTGTGCTTGGGTAAAAAAGTAAAAACTGCAAAGTTTATAAAAAAGCATAATATAAACTACTGCGCAATGTTATTGCTGAACTGGAAATTTATCACATGCCGGATCAGCAACTGACAATAAAGAAGCCGGAAACGCTACAGCGTTACTAATCAGATATAAAAACAATTTTCCTAGTGATAAAAGTGAAAGTATCAGCGAATGAAGTGACAGTGAAAGTGTTATTGCCTCATCTTTTTCCTCGGGCGGGTTCATTGTTATGCCGGCTCTCCAGTTCAATACCGTGGCGACAAAAAGTGGTGTGAAGATGTTCTTCAGTTCATTGTCGGGTTAATCTATCAAAGCCAAAAGACATGATATTTTTAACTGAGGGTTTAGGAATGTAATCGCATTATATCAGCCTATTGTAGCTTTATTTTACAAAGCTTAAGTGTGGTTTACTTTTATAGAAGCTTGTTTATTATTCCGGTAAATATGTATTTTAGTATCGCATCGGTGCGAACACCCAACCCGAGAAGCATGTATTACTGCATTATACATGCCATTACATGGTGTGTTATGCGTACTCGTTTTATGTGTTCACATGTCTGCAACTGCAAACGTACAATTATGAAATCGATTTCATCCCGTGTCAGTACTTCAAATAGTAAATTTCTTTTACTGTAATCTACAAAGCCTGAATCCAAAAGATTGTAAAAAGAACCATGTTACTAATCTTAAGGGGAACATTAACCTTTTTGAACAATATTGCGGCACGGTTTCGAGTATTTCTTGCAGTATATACCCATACAAGTAGATACCTCGCAACTCGAAAGGCTTTTGTTATGTGGTATGGTAACACTTTATTGATGGTAATTTCTGAAGTTTTGTCCCTTTGATACAGTTTACCTTCATCTAGATCCACCCCTTTTCTGACACACAGAAGCTGCGCATGCATGCATTGTAAATAATATAGCAGGTGCTCCAATAAACTGACAATGTTTCCATTTTTCCTATCTTTTCCATCAGCAGCGTCCTGCGCACATTGCTGTTATCCTTTACATTGCTGTATAATGCACAATGCACGGTTCTTTCAATAGCCTGTAGTGTGCAGCCAAAACTGTACTCAAGGAGTGCTAACCCCTTAGTACAGTTTTGGTGCAGCTTATATAGCAGTGCTCTGCCGCTTTCCATAATGTTTTAATACAGTATCTGTACTATCAGATTTATGCAACTGGTCGATGCATTTCTCCTCATCAAGACATAATTATTTAGCAAATGAAACTGCAGATTAAGTACGCTGTTCTGCTAAAACTGATAAGAAGCAAAACCTGTTTGCGATTACTCAATAATGCCAAACACTATCATGGATGAATGTCATTTAATTTTTTCTTTGCAAGAAATTATACTTAAAACAGCCGGATGTCTGCCGTTTAACCCGATTCGTGTAGCAAACCATGGTTGCGGTTATAAAACGGGAAGACACACCCTCGCGTTAATCTGCCTGGCATTGGGCACTGGTGTTATTCTGGGTGGCGTCTTATCAATTGTACTTTATCTCCTATCCGTAATTTGGAAGGTTGTACTAGTCCCCGACAACAAAAGCGTTTTGCTATCGTTTATGGATTTTGCGCCATATTTTGCCATTAACACGCGAGCAGTAGTTGTACCATCCATCTGCATTCTTCTACGGCAGCAATGGGCTGTGGTTAAAGAGAAACTGGAAAAGGTCATCCGTCTCCAATATCCCAGTACAACGATTAGGAACCAATATATTCGTAAATGGACAAAAGCGTCACGATGGCTTGGTGTTACTCTGTCGGTTTTCGTGTTGTTGTGGGAGGTTGGAGACTGGATTCATTATCAAGAAGAGGACCCGATTTACAAGGACATGTGGAATGACACCATCTTCGACCCCATTCCGCTGCGCATGACCGTCTGGGAGTACATTATGTTCTGGGCATTGTGTTGCAGTTTTCCCTTTCTTCTTTCTCAACAAATCTACACAACGGCAATTATCATGGGATACATTTTGTATGATTGCCTTAAAGAATTCAATAAATGCATAAAGAGTGAAACCACAGATATGAAAACGTTACTTGCCAGTCATGTTCCGCCGACTTCTTTATTCGCAGTGAGAAATGGAAGCGTCGAGAAGCTACTGCTAATGCAAAACCGGTACATGCAAATGGTAACCTTTTGTGGAGAATTTGTTAATTTTCACGGATCAGTATTGCTAGTTATTTACGGGCTTGATTTATTGGCAACTTGTGGATTCACATCAAAGTTTGTCGTACTGAAAGCGTCCGAAAGAACTGCCACTGGATATGCCATGGATACCTGTTCTTTAATGCTCTTTACTCTATATATGTTACTCCTGCTGCCAATTATTGCAGCTCAAGAGCAGGTAATTCAGTGCCTTTTCAAAAAAATATCTTTGAATAACTTAAGCTATCAATTTTTGAAAATGACGAGTGTATTTATAAAGCTATGTACAGGCCCAAAAGATTCCGGCATTGTATCACCGTTTTGTGGACTCTTTGTTTTCGCTCTTGGAAAACGACAAAGAGGTACAAATATGAAGTTTATGCACTGGTGCATGCTCAGCGATCACTTTTGACAAAAAGATTTAATTTCATCCAGAGCTACCAGCTTCGTGTGGCGGTCGATGGTATGGTGACCTTAGTACGCGACAGGCCGATTTCACTCAACGGCGTGGGAGCATTGAGCATTTCGCGGAAACGTTTAGCTGGAGTAAGAGTTGCTTTGCTAAGCCGCTTTATGTATATTACCCGCAATTCTCTTGGTTAACTGTTTGTTTCATTAGACCATCACTTTTGTCGTGTCGTGGGCCGTTTTTCTCCATGAATTCAAAGAACGCCATGTTGATCAGGAGGACCATGCGGGGCGCCTGCTGTGTATCAACAGATCGACCGGCGTTTAGACTAATTGATATTAAGCTTGCTTAAAAATGAGCATGGTCACGACTCACAACGATGGAATCATCAAGCGCAGTTTTAAGATTTATGTAATCCTATATTTTATACCACATACGGTGAGCCACTTACAGTCGTCCGACAAAATCGCAAACCAGTAAAAGAATTTTGTACTTTTGTTTAAAAAATTCCATCGCATCATTCTTTTTCTGCGTGTAACCGACCCCTTTGTACTCGTACAAAGGATATGCAGCTGACGATACATAAGGAAAATTTTTTGGTTAATTTTCCCGGGACGCGTTCCGGGCATCGCCGCATATCGTTTTTCCGGGGTCACCAATGCTGCGTTGTGTGAAATCGTTTAAAATGATCGCACACGATAGTACGAAAGTCAGAGTCTGCAACAGAAAGCGTACAAGGTACAAGCTGAACTCACAGGGATTTTTTGTTTATTACAAACCCCAGCCAGGAAATTCCGCGTAATATGAAAAAGATCAGCTCCGGAAAATGCAACTGGATGTTCCTTCGTAAGACTGATAAAACTGCTTATCAGCAAATAATGCGAATGGGAATTTTTTGAGGAAGCGTCCTGTCAAGAAAGATTAAAACACATATGCAGCTGCTTACAATCAGAATCACGTACGATTTACCTGTTGAACCTGACATTTATCCATAATTTCGTGCAGTAGAAAATTAATCGCAACACTCTGTAAAAGTGTAATGGGATCAGTGAAAAATCGCTGAAAGAGTGCCATCGCTGTAAAATATGCCATCAAATAATTTTACGTGGGGTGAAATACTATACCTTTCAGTTCACAGAAAAGTTTAGCGACATCTACTTACTTCTTCGTAAACCTTTACCATGGGAATCATAAGGCCAATGTACGCCGCAAATATAGCGATGGTGAAGAAGTTCAGTACGTATGCCAAAAGAAATCCTTCTCCATCGGCCACCGTGGCGGAAATGAATCCACAGATGGTAAACAAGTCCATTCCATATATGACGAATATGATACTCCCATACGCTTCATTCAAACCATGACATAACTTTAGACTACTCAAATATCGCGTCTTCAGGGATGTCAGTTGGTTAAACAAGGTCGTATGTTCATAAAGGTCATCGCTCTGTCGCCGTGACCCAAGTTCCGGTACTATGCCTAAACTGGCGTTGATATCTTTCAAGTTTTTGTTAACATCGGTAAGTGAAAGTCGCAGTAGAAGTGCAAGTAAAATTAAAGAGATATAAACCTGTTGCGATAAAGCAAAGGGAAGCGCGCAAAAAATAATCCATAGAAATTCATTTAACCACACCGTAATTCGTAGCGGGAACGGTTCTAGTGGGTTGTCAAAAGTGGCATTCAGTCGTCGAGGATCTTGCTGAGCAAAATGCAGTAAATCCAAGGTTTCAAAAATTGTCACAAGAGCAAACGCGCTGACGCCTAATACTATCGAGACACACCGTAGATTTTTGAGATTTTGTTGCAAATTATTATGGTTGGAGCAGTGAAGTACCATTTCCTCTGCACAGCGCTTCGCATAACTCCAGTAATCTGCATATTTCCAGTAGACGAATAATACAAATAGACAGCGAATATTGATAAAGGTGAAAGGTATGTCGGGTAAAATGCGCAGAAGGATGTTGCTGGATTTGGTAAAAGCAAGTTTCCATATCCACGGCCCGGCATTGATGGCTATGTTGAAAACACCACCGGAAATAAATATGGTTATCATAGTGGCACTCACTGTTTTCCCAAGTCTTGATTTGTTCCATGGTAAAATACCAAACGATTTTAAAATGTTTTCTTGGAAACTGAAGATATTACATGATGCCGCAATCTTGTTTTTGTGGAGGCTGGCTCGATCATGCTCTGGCAAAGTTTTCATCATCCCGAAGATAGTCAAATCACCGGTCAATCAAAACCTTTTGATAGATATAATTGCATTTAATAAGATAGGGCTAAGTATAATCAGCGGCATATATAGCAACATCAAAAAGTCATCACTATGTAAACGCTCATGCATTTACACACTCATACATTTCGTAATATTGTGGAGATTTATACCTACTCAATAGCTTGTACGTTAATTAATTGAAGTCATACTATCCTTAACCGTTAACATAACAGTTAAGAGGGTCGTGGTTGCTTTACTGTGGAACAATGATCAAATTTTACAAGGAAAGGTGTGGAATGTATGATATGGATTGGCAAAGGTCACTGTTACCCATCATGATTCCGCAAATCCCCAGATATCGTGGACGGGAAAACAGTGTCCCATACGTTTCAGAGTTGTTTGATTTAGGAGAAATTTTGCGTACGCTTTTATAAATGGGATTGTAGAGCTTTACTCCTTTCTGCAATGATTCCCTGGTGTACAAACCATCTGCAACCTCCTGGAAGCGAAAGCAAAGCTTATATATGCCACTGGCCCACTCGTAGTGATAAAGGCAGGAGCGCTGCCATAAATACATGTATCGGTGAATGTACAATGTACATCTATTTTAAACATACTTACAAAAAACCTTTTCCGTCGAAGGGTTTATGCTGCTCCACACTGGATGGTAGCATCTGCATTATCTTGAAGGAATACACAAACGATAAAAAATATTATATATATTTTGTAACACAATCATGGTATTCTCGTTTTGTATTATAGGCACTGTATAATAAAATATAATTTGTATGGTCGTACAATATTTCACAGTACTGTACACGTATGCAGCGGACGCCATAATTATGGTTACACTTGTGTAACCATGAAACCAGGGACTTGTCAACCAGGCGTTTTGGTCTGTTGTGGGTCTTGCCGTTTAAGTATTGGTCCTTGGACCGACTCCACTGTATACGGAACTACGTTTGTACACCATCCAGCAGCTGTTATACCTACATCATATTGTGATATCATGACTTTAAAAAGATAAAAAGTTAACTTCCTGGCTTGACGTGAAGAAAATCTAGCAGCTACAAAGCGGGGTCGGTGATGAATCCTGTATTACCTGTTAATTCTTAAAGATTTAACATCATTTTCTTGCCAATAAAGCCGCACAGCACGATGATTCACGTCGACACCAAGAAATTTGTTGTGGGTCAGGTCGCAACGTTGAGATGGCTCATAATTTATACCAATTATAAAGACAACAATATTGAGTTTACACATTGCGGTGAGCACAAAGTTTATTATTGGTCAACAGCAGTTAATGAAACCGCGAACCACATTGGTCTATATATACTGTAGAAGAGATTAATGACTTACGATTAGCAAAGATGTACACGTATACGTATCTGTACAGACACGTAATAGTTTAAACGGCCACATTTCAAATTAAACGAATAGAAGCAGTCGTTTTTATAATTTTATTACAGTAGTAGCAGCATAAAATTTAGGTGAAACTGTGCAATCACAGTACAAAGGCGGCCTCCAAACCCGGGATATCGCCATGAAGGTTGTGGTCTTGTTGACAATTCTTTTGTGCGTCCTATGCTACGGTACATTCTACACATTCCATGATATCTTGACTCCAAACTATGTTCGTATTTCTGTCTCATTAATGGTGCATCTGTGCTTTCAGGAGTCTCGGGAAGAGGAAACAACAGGGCACCAGGATGTATATGCACACAGGTCAGGACCCCAGTGTGCGGCAAAGATGGGAAAACATACCCGAACAGTTGTGAGGCCCGTTGCAAAAGTAAGTTGCTATACACGCACATCTAAAATGTCAGATTTGCATCGTTAATTGATTATTTGTACCTTCCTAAACCTTTTGTGCTCGATTTTAGATATACTTGTCGCCAGCCAAGGAGCATGCGAGGATAAGCCCAAGTCACAAAACTGAATGCGTGATTTCTCAGCCACTTTAGTTGTCGATGCGGAATCAGCACTGGGTATTTTCCCATAATATTAGTTTTTCTATATGTAATATATATGTCGCCATATTTGTTTGCGGATGGAAATTGTTGTTACCGGATTAAAATATTGTACAATCTAGAAATATTTAACGACATGACATAGGTCATAGACCAGTATTGACACGTGGGTATTTGTGTATTCTTATCGACGTCAACTTGTAACCAGTGCGATTTAATAAAAGAAAATTTGAAGTTACAAGTACACAATTTCCCCACCTTATACGTAATTTGGGCGTAATTTATTTTCTTCTGCAGTTTACTGTTGTCATATTAGAGCTACTGGTTATAAAGAAGGCTCTTAAAAATACATGACATTTGGAAAAACGATAAATCTGCCAGTTGAATCAGCCACACCGTCGCCATACCTACGCTTGCAAGGGTAACGTCGAAGTAGTCATTAAAAAGCGAACGGATTCTTTTACAGAAATACGAGAACGAACAGAATCCCACGAAGAGAGTAAGTACGAAGAGGATCATAAGTGACTGACTGCGATGACATTATACAATTCCTAATATTATATGGAAAATGATTCCATACATTACTAATAATTACCTACCCCAAAATATTCTCGCTGCCTGCTGTTTACAGGTCTTAGTTATGCCAAAAATTGCCAAATTATGTCAGATTTTTAATATGCTGAATTATGCTTAATTACGCCAAATTTTTTTATAAGAAACTGTCAGTACGGTATTTAATTACTTAATTAATCCAGCACCGAGGCAGATTCAAACTTGAATATGCATTGCAGTGAACGCGTTAACCTCTCAAAACTTCGCCGGCAAGCGTCCAGATAATCTTTTACTGAACTAAAAAAGAGAACTGGTGCTGACTGTAACCACAGATTTTATCCAACCGACATCAAGCGCAAAAATTGTCAGATTTTTAAAATCATAAAAAAGCTACTGATTGTGAGCCCGGCTTTCAAATCTTTTCGATCTGCCCCATAATTAGTCCTTCGTTACTTGCAATAACCCAAAATTTTCGCCCCCTACCGAGTGCCACAAACGGAATGGAAACGGTGAGACTTTTCCACTTCAAATTAATTCGCAAAAGCCTACCAGCAAGTTTGCTAACTGGTAAGCATCGTATAGGGATGCTTAATGTTCGGGAAAACTTAATAAAACCATAATTAATTTTCTGGTGAAAAGTACAGAGTACGGTCACAGAGCCGGCGGGGTCGCCACTGTATAATCCTGTTTTACCTGATTGCGGCGGCTGTAACTGTTCGTATCGACTGTTCATGTATTTCCTGGAATTAAGGCGGACGGCCTTCTATGATTAACACATACTGTACTGGAAACTGTCACCTTTTATCAGTCTGATGTTTATACGCTAATTCAAATTGTTAATTAATTGCACGGAAACCTGAATGGTCGCAAAAAATACAAAACACAAGTTCGAAAATCGTTGCTACTGCCAGTGCTTTTTATTGGCTACCGATGGATGTTGTAGATAAAAAATGTTCGTACAGCGAGTAAATTAAAGCTGGCAATCAACACACCTCAAACCCTCCGGGAATAAGCAATGTAAATGGCAATTACACTATTAAAATAAGATGTTGCAATATTTTTGTGGTAGAGACTAGAGGTACATACATCTAGCGACACAAATTTTTCTAGTAAGTTTAATTCCGATTATTCGCCCAACAAAACATCATGAAGGCTGTCTTGTTAGCAGTTCTTCTCAGTGTCCTCTATTACGGTAAAGCTTCGAAAACAAAATTGAACCTTATACTTTTTTATGTTGATTGTGGTAATCCGGTTTTCAGAGATGCAGTTTATTATATATATGTACCGTATATTATATTCACCTTCTAGGAGCTTCGGCAGCACCGCAAAAAGGAAATACAGAACCAGTATGTTTATGCACGCAGATTATGAATCCCGTCTGCGGGAAAGACGGCAAGACATATCCGAATAGCTGCGAAGCAAAATGCAAAAGTAAGAGAACACGCTACATATTTCTGATTGGCTGCAAAAAATAATCGGCGGTCTTTTATAACCCGGAACGTGGTTGGCTACAGAAGTCGTTGTCGCCAGACAAGGAAAATGTGAGGATAAGCCTAAGAACGAACCGGTACTACCGTACTATGCTTTTGCACGCAGAATATGAATTCCGTCTGCGGGAAGGACGGGAAAACATATCCAAACAGTTGCGAAGCCAACTGCAAAAGTAAAGATGATTGTGATACAAATTGTACATATTAATTCTTTAATTTGTAGCAAAAAAAGAAGTCTTTTATAAACCTTGATGTGTTTCGGTTATAGAAGTAACTGTTGCCAAACAAGGAAAATGCTAGAATGAGATTGGGAACGTAAAATGACAGTTGATACGGATCTTCTGATTCTCCCTGTCGATGGAGGCAATTTGTCATTTCCGCTGTGATTTCGCTACGACAGAAGTCACAGAACTGCTGATGTCAGATCAGGGTTGCTGTTACTTACCATTAGTTATTACCGAAAAAAAAGTGCAAACCGCAAATTTCGTTTGTTACATACAGATTAGTTAGTTTATGCATAACAATTTCAAGTACACGCTACAATTTCGAAAACGTTGGAACATAGTAAGCGGAATGAAATGCAAATAAACTGCAAATTTGTATAACTCTACTAAAATTTTATAACTGTAGTTTGGAATAAAACGTCCGTGTTAAACTACAGTAAATACTTCTTATACCAGTTTGCACTTTACAGTGTACAGCATTTCGCTGTATGTAAACCATACACTAGAGAATTATTGTAAAGGTTTAATTATTTAAGTACTTTTGTTTTTCACTGCTTGTTTAACGTCTTTCAGCAGCCGTCTGCTAGAAGTCTAGAACACAGGATCGTAAAGCTAAGAACGAATCCACGTTATAAGCTATTAAAAATATAACGCAAAACGAAGCAAGAATATTTCCACGCATCGAACTGATGTCCCATTGTCCACATTACTATAACGTACTCTGTACGTACAACGTTACTATAACGTACTCTGTACGCCATGTGTGCAGTGTTGTATTATGTATACACTGCAATATGTTTTGTCTGCAAAATCTACAACAATGAAGCAAAATGTTGCTGCAATTAACGATAAAAACAAGATATCGGCAATCAACGGCTGTGCTGTAGGAACGAAAAAACTTGGTCTGAATCCGCCGCCAGCGCAAACGGTGCATTTCCTCGTTTATATTGCTCACTGATTATTATTTTAATAATTATTGGTGCGTTTGTACGGAGGCACGGTGTTTTAAAAAACCAACTCGTGTCATGCCGGCTGTCATTAAATCATCCGTCAGTCCGAAATTTCGTCAATATAAGCCAGTTCGCTTCCGGTCTCGTGGGTCAACTTTTCTGCTGATATGTGTTCACTGTTCATGCTTGCAGATGAACGCTGTTTAATGTAGATCATTCACAACTTCAACCAAATTCCCTGGATACGTTAACGTCCAACTTCATCCCGGTAGTGTTACAGGAATACTCTCTTACAAGTATTTCATCAGTTCGCTGGATAAACTCTTTGAGTACAATTGCGCACGATAGCACAAAGGTGAATGTCTGGAAACAAAACTGCGTTAGGCAAACTGTAAACACAGTTCATGAACAATTTTCCTTTCACGTACACCGGCCAGAAAATTCCGGGTCACGTGGAACATGTCGGCTCCCGAGAAAATAACTGGATGATCTCGAACGAGGTTGAGAAATCGCGAGAGCAGTGCTTGTAAAACTTTCTGTGAAAAAGGAAAACTGTATATGTTTTTCCGCCCTTCAGGGTGATTGAAAGCACTGCTAGATCACCAATTTAAATCATTCATTAACTAATACATAGCACCCTGGAACAAGCTGTAGCCTGCAGGTGCATGAGCACTACCGTAAAAGCGTACAACAAAACAGAATCAAAATTACCCTACCAACTCAACGGCTGAAACCGCTTTTTTAAATGCACCTCCGCATACAGCGATAATAATTATTTATTCGCCCTCTCATGATGGGAATTGCACTACTTCACTAACGACAGGTATAGTCAATTTATTTATTTTATTTTTTTATTTATAGGTCCTTCCCACGCGAACTGAAACAGACTCTTCACCTGGTTGTATTTTTGTCAGCGCTGCTCGTTCCTATACATATTAAGAATTTATTTTGTATTTCATTATGATAACTGTTCTTATTATTGTGAAAAGCGATTTATAGTATCTCTATAAGTTCTACCTTGAATCGGTTTAGAAGTTGCACTTCCGGCAGAGCATCGCCGCTCTCCACCATTGTGTGCAGCTGTAGATTAATCTCCAATCCCTGTAATTAATTTAAGGATGCAAATACTTCGAGCTATTATTTTACGTAAGCAGAATTAAATGCTATCGTAATTTATAAATGTTTGAGAATCAACAATCAATGATCGCGTAGCTTATTTAGCCATTTCAGCTGCTACCCGAAAGAAACTACGCGAAGCCCGTCCGGAGTTAGAGCACTGCTCTATAATTACGATTACAAGAAACATTCTCGGCTTCGCCTCCGCGTTTCTTGTGGTCAACGGCCACTTTTATTTAGTTCTCAATGAATATTTATTGAAATAACATATTTCGGTCGAAGCATAATCGGTACATCGCATTAGCGCAAAAAACGGATTTTATATGAAAACACGGATTTGATTTTATACGAGTATGATTTTTTTTAATCAGTTCATGATTCTCTCAAATCACCATAAATTCTCACAACTGAATTCATGATTCTGTGAACCTTAACCTGATCAATCTGGGTAGTGGAAGCTCAGTCACTGGTTCAAGTGACGAATCTGTGCAATGGTCAGAAGTGCCTGCTTAGTCCCCCGTTAACCTAACGGTCTCCGTGAACTGGACAGTGCCGGCAGTTCCGTCACTCCTTCACTTGACGGGATCTGTGCACTTAACAGTATCGGTAGCTCGGTCACTCGCTCACCTAACGGGTCCCCTAGACTGGGCAATACCGGTAGCTCGGTCACCAGCTCACCTATCGGGTGCCGCATTTGGTGAAGGTAGTCAAAACTCTTCCGCTTTGGCGTTCCAAGCGGGAGAGGTTTTGAAAGAAATGAATACTACAGTATCTGGCCGGGTTTTCGACTACGGGCTTTCAGAATATAATATTGGTTTTGGTCTGTATTTTCTGGTTTGCCGGCTCTGGTGTATCCCATTCGTAGCTAAATAGATCTGAATTAGGATACTCTTTAAAATATATGGCGTGCACCAAGCCACCAGCCAACCAAAAGCATATTGCGTGTTTAAAGAGTGTGGCGTGTCGTGGCGTAGTATGTTGTTTGGCGTAACTCATGAATTTACATCGTTCGCTGTTCTTTATCGTGCTCTAACTCCGGACGGGCCACGTGGCGCAGAAAATCCATGATATTTTTCTATAGCGCATAATTTTGTTATCCATATGACTGATTTCCCCGTAAAAAATTTAAACAAATATTTACAATTTCAAGACTGTACTCTGTGCGTCTGTCATATTTACCATTTCGTATGTGCCAATCATTGGTATCAAAAATAAAATATACAAACTGAACACCACGATACCGAAACAGTTTGTCACATAGGCCGAAAAATACGTTTCGTCATTGGAAACCATCCCAGTTACAAATCCACACACCGTAAATAGATCCATTCCATATATGATAAAAACGACGGTCCCGTAGGCTCCGTTAATGCTATGACAGAACCTTACAATTTGAAAATATCTCGTTTTCAATGTCTTTAAATTCTCATAGACATGTTCACAAAGATCACTGCTTTTGGCCTTTCCGGTTTTTGATAAAAAATGGAGGTGAGTGCTTTCCTTCTCCAGACTGTCTCGAATGTCTTGAAGCGAATACTGAATAAGCGTAGTATGCAAAATTAAACCGATGTACATCTGCTGTGATAAAGCAAAAAGCAGTGTTGTCCACACTGTCCAAAGAATTACGTACTGCCATATTGGAAAACGCACTGGAAGCGGATCCAACGGCAGATCGTACTGGAAATTACGGCGCCGCGGATCTTGATCAAAGTAGTGCAGCCAGTCGCCGGTTTCAAATGCTCCAACCAGTACAAACGAACAAATTCCGAGTAAAATCGATGCAAATCGTAATCGGTGTAATTTGATTGTTAATTTACTTTGATTGGAAACATTTGTCAGAATGTCGGCTATGGACTGTTTCGAAGTAATCCAGAAACTGGAGTATTTATGGCAAATAAACAATACAGCCAGAGGACGTACGGCAATAAAGATATAAGGAACATGCGGTAGCACACGTAGAAGAATATTTTTGGAATTCGGTAACGTCAAAGCATATGCGCTGGATGAGCTAGTCAGTAATGCACTGAACGATCCACCTAGCAGAAAAACTCCAACGAGGACAAAATGAAGAGCCCTTCCAGTTTTTGTGCTGCTGTTCCACAGAAAGCCAAACAGTTTTAGGAAAAGTTCCTGGAAAGCGAAAATTTTGGACACGGCATTGTAAGTAGAGCCATTTGCAGACATGGCGATTAATTTTAGCTCGATGCTGTAGAGTTTGCAGTGACAAATCCTTGATCGCAACAATTATAACGCGATTTCATAATGTACATGCAGAACAAGAAATTTGCCTAAATAATACTGTTTGCGCAACAATTTTGTGACAACGAACAACGGGTTGTGCCGCCTGTACGCACATATTGGCTTCTACTTGACCTTTAATTAAAACTCTAGCGTTAAAAGATTAAATCCTAACACCAAAACTACTCTAGATATCACTGATATTCCGGCGTATAATGTACGCTTATATCTGCTTGACATGCCCGAGTATCATGGGAATTTGGAGAAACCATGTACATCGATCCATGTCAAACAAACGTTCGATTCGTTTCTGTTAATGTGAAGAACGCTGCCATAATGACGTAACATGCAATGCGAAGTTTGTATATTTGACAAAGTGACTGAGATAAAATTCAATTCATTATTGCTTAACAGCCATCTAAATTTAAATTTTAAGATTTATAGATTGATTTGGGACTGCAACGCTCAGTTTTAACTAAACTTCCGCCAGATCATCCCGAGCAGTGTATTTGCAGTTCGTATTGAAACATACATAGGACATCTGGCACAACAGGCGCTTCTCAGTGATATTCCGGGCGCGGGTTTTAATGACCCGCAAAAAATGCTGCAGTGCCCGGCTCCAAGCATTCCGGCGGAATCGGTCAGTAACGCATTTGAGCATCATATATACACCGGTGGATAACGCCTTGGACCCCGGTGAGCAATCCACACTCCACCCTATGCAGTGCACTATGCAGTGCATTTAGGGCGATTGGGTGGCAAGCTGCAACCGCGGCTCGAGCTGCAAGTGACAAGTATACGAAAACAATTTGCTTTAACGTTTGACTGAGTTTTACTTCGAATACTGGAAAACCAGCTAGCAGGTACATAGCTTTCAGTTCCTCCAAATTTTACTGTTGCTACTTCACAGAATACAAACAGTTTTAGATACACACAGCAGCTATACTTCGAATTTCGACAACGTACCGGTATACCTAGACTGCTTGCAGTTTGGAAGTTCATGTACGACCACCTGGAAATCAGTTTTCCACTGCCAAAAAACCAGACAGCGCAGCGGTCAACACCTCAGTTAGCTGGAATAGAAACGATATTGCTTTAAACAATAAAAATTTTTAAAAATTCGAAATTTTTAATTAGTATCTACCTTGTTGTTGTTCTGTTAATTGGCTATTGCCCGAATAAAAAACAATAAAGGTACACTTAACATACAAATGTACATGGATAGGCGTATTGTACACTCTCCATTTTGGCGCATCTACGTACTAGACTACTGCAGCATCTGCATATTATACTGTACGTATAATTTAAGAACAATTCGTATATATGTTCCGGTTTCATGCACGCAGATTTGATGGCGCGACAAGATTTTCGTCTTTTACTCTATCCAAAGGTTACCAGTAGACTAGTTAAAATATGGGAAAAGATGGGAGTTTTCGTTGTAGTTGATAAAAATCCTAGACTTTTTATCTCTTCACAGTATTTGTCGATGTTAGAGTTCTGAAGTCAATTAATATAAATTTCCACTGTTCTGTTGCTTTTCCATCGATTCTGTGGCTGCCAAACTGTTTTTTATTTCTTGTTTCACAATGATAGCACAAGCGGACAAATATCATTATGTTTTTGTTAAAGATAACTGTTTTGATCACGAAAATCCGGTATATCTATATACATAGTACACTTACACATGGAAAAAACCCGCATTCTCAGAAGCCTGTTAAGTGCTATGTGTAATTACGGTAATAGGACCAGATCATGATCTGATAATAACACTTTGCTAATGAAGTTCATATAAACACCAGATTTTTTTCGTGCCATACGCAGCACAGCACCTATGTGGAAACTTACGAAAAACCGTAGAAGTGCATAAACCGTTTTATCTTCTTCGCGTTTCGATAATTGTGGTATTTGACTGCAATTTTCCAGAGTACTTTGTACCGGCATCATGAAGTTCGTCGTTTTGGCGGTTGTCTTGTCGATCCTGTGCTTTGGTAAGTTGGGAAAACAATCTGATTTCTTTTACTTAATAGATGCGTAATCAACATGCATAAAATGTAGCGCTAAAGATGATATCCAAAGAAAATTAAAAACCAGACATTAAATTGTATTAGCATGCCACGGGAATAAGGAATTTCGTTCACATTTTAGGAACTCTGGAGGCAGCAAAGAGTGCAGAAGGCGGCGGTGGATGTATTTGCACAGCTGACTTCTCTCCAGTCTGTGGAAAAAACGGGAAAACCTACTCGAACGCATGCAAAGCCAAATGTGAAAGTAATTATGAAGTTTTGAGTAATCCTGCATCAGTATTATGCTTATATTGCTAAGTAAATCGCAGATCAAGAAGTTCGAGACTGCACAAAACAACCTTAACGTTTAGCGCGCTTTACTGTTTAGGTTGTACGTACAGGCTACAGCATTATGCCTCTCCCTTTTTACGAATTACAGTGCATAATGCTTACTTTAATAACGCGTAGTATACTAGGCAAGCCAGCCGTTTTGGATCGTTGAGCCGTGGTTTTTATTTTCAGAACAACCAGTTGCTCATACGGGATCATGTGACGGAAAATCGGGAGGAAAAACGGTCTAAATTTACCCGCAGTAGCAACTCTAAGAATGCCGGGGATGTTTGATTTCATCGTTTTGTTGTACTGTACTACTACAAATATTATAATTTCTGTACTCATATTTTGCTTTAGCATGCGTACATTAATGCCATGAAAGTATCTGTAATGTCTGTGTACTTACTGTATTTTCGACTGCATTACGCGTGTTTCATATTCGACAAATACAATGATACGAGTTTTACACTTTGTAATTAAAAAAACTTCCGTATTTTCCAGCACAAGATGATCTTGCTTTCTTTTGGTACGACCCGTGTCTGACATATTCCTATTTATCAGAAAATTGCTTACGCATAGTAAAAGATTTACAATATACAAAGAGCAATTCAGGCCCGTGCAGTAAATGATAAAAACATGAAAATCCAAGGAAACCCAGGCCAGTTCACACTTCACAGCTCAAATAAAATTCAGACAATCGAGCAGCACGCAGTGCCTCCATCACGCTTCTGTGGCTTGGATGCCTCCTTACCCTTTTTACGCTTGATATCCCGCTTAGGCGCGTTCCGTATCTCCTTCACGAGCGTGTAGAAGGCCTCAGCAACGCCCGCTCTCGTTTTAGCCGAAGTTTCAATAAAAGGGATCCCGTAACTGCGAGCTAAATCGCTGGCGTGCTGAGATTTCACATTCCTTGCCAATAAGTCGCGTTTATTCCCGACCAGTACCATGGGGATGGTATCCGAATGTTTCACGCTTTGGTTTAGGTTAGGTTTTAATTGCTTAATGTCTACAGATACAAGGAATCACTCCTTATCGAGATCTATAGACAGGTCAACATAATAAAATAAGAAGAACAACAATTTAAAACTCTTAAAAGAAAGAAATGAAACAATTCATCGATTTTATCAAAGGTCAAGGTTATTCGATGGCAGGTGGTCTTTAGCAGATGCGATCTCCTTCCATGAGACGTCTTCCAGAGCTGTTTGGAACGCTTGCAGTGAGCGATACGACGATTCCAGATTTTAGCGATTCTCCATGCGAAGGAGTCTTCGCTGGCTGGCACTTCCGCTCCACAAAAATTGGTCCTGGCGGCTTGAATCGGGAATGGGTGGCGCGACATCCGATCCGCATTCCGAGTGTTACCTGCAACAGTGTTAGCGGCAGTAACTGACTCATAACTAATGAAAAAGTTGTTACCGAAAGGTATCGTGCCGAATACGAGTTTATATGCAACACACAAAGAGGTTTTAATGCGACGCAATTCAACACCGTCCCAGTTTATCTCGCGAAGCCGGCCACAGTAATCTGTAAGTGCACTACCCATTCGCAATCTTTTCAGGAATTTCAGGGCACATTTATCCAGATCATTTCTATGAGTTTTAAAAAAGGGTTTAACAACGGGACTGCAATAATCGAAAAGGGGAAAGACTAATGCTTTATATAAACAAATAAGTGCTGCAGAATCATAATGGTTAAAAAGCGATAGAATGTAGCCTATGCGCTTCCGAATCTTGGTACTGTAGTGGCTCGCACATCTTGAACCACAGAGTCGGTGTACGGGAAAAATGTGTATCCGATATACACACTCTCTCCGGGCAAAATGCACGGCTACAAAATAATGCTCGATTTGATTTTAATGAACACTCCTTCTGGATCTGTCCAATAAATCAACCCTTTTCATTAAAATGTGCGAGCCGATACAGTACACAAATTACTCGTGTGTTCACTCCACCGTAGTTTTCGATCGACCAACAATCCTAAATATTGGCGATAGGCCGATTTTCAATCTCAACGTTGTTTAGAACGTATTTATGTACGTCATTCAAACTTCGCTTTATGGAAAAGCGCATGTGCACTGATTTTTTCGGGTTAAAGGTCAATCGTTTAGCAAGAGCCGAATTATATACGGCATCAATATCTTCCTGGAATTTCGTGTAGTCGTCACCCGTTATTAAAGGCCTGCATAAGAACACAATATTCAAAACATCATCAGCAAAAATAAAAATCCTGCTACCATTGAGCAGAACAAACACCAACCCGTTAATTTCGCAAATAAACAGTATTGGGCCTAATACTGAACCTTGTGGTACTCCGCTGGTAGTTATCCCGCTTTTGGAAAATGCACCATTCACGACTACAATCTGTTGCCTCCCGATCAAATAATTATCCAACAAACTAATAACGTCGGGGTCAATACCAAACAAACCGAGTGTTGTCAACAAGGAACGGTGATCTACCCGATCGAAAGCTTTAGTACAGTCTAACATTATCGCATCAACTTTAATTCCGGTATCAATAAAGTCTTTAACAAATTTCGAAAAAATCAAACACTGCAATTCCGTGTTACGTTTGGCACGGAATCCAAACTGGTTTTCACTTAACAAGCAGTTATTTTCCAGGAAGCATCGTAAATAGTTCGCAATGCACCTTTCAAAAATTTTTGAAATGGCATGCAAAATTGCAATGGGGCGGTAATTAGTAATCACCGTTTGGTCTACAGACGTTTTAGGAAGAGGCCTCACGTACGATGTTTTCCAGTGCGACGGAAATAGATTGTGTTCGCACGTAAAAAAAGCCATACGATAGACCGTACGATATACGATAGGCTCGTGCACGTCATCACGGCGTACCCTTATCGGATCGTTTGACGATAGGAATAACGGTAAGTCGTGATCCTATCGTTATGCTTTCGTGGGCGTAACGTTCGTCCTTGCGAAACTGCAGCCGCCTTAGCTGGCATATACTTCGATAAACCGTCCGCTCGATCTTGCGAATCCCAGAATTCTGATTGGTTGTTTATACATTCATGTACTTCGCTGTGTAAACAAAGACGAAATGGGATTTTTGTGAAAAACTCTAATGATTTCTTTCTAAACCAAAACTCTTGCTACATCCTGTGGATTTATTTGGCGCCCGAATGCGAAACGATTTGAATGTCGGATGTTTGAGACGGTTTTGTAGATTGGTTCTGACTATGAAGTTATCGCGATGGATGCAGATACAGGAGAAACTAATCAAGATATCCCTAATGTGCGCCCACTGAAGTGTCGGTTCAATGCAACCTCTGACCTGGCTCTCCTTGATTTGATCAAACACTACAATCCCTACGTTGCTGATAACAGGACCGCTGCCTGGAAAGACATCGTGCGATCGCTCAACGAGACCAAGGTAAAAATTAAGAGAAAATCAGTTGACTAAAATTGCATGCATTTAGATTTTAGCCGTGCAATGCTACGTGCAACTACAACTATCGTTTTACAGATTTTCCCAAAACCTCTCACAGACAGAGCCGTCAAGGAGCGGTTTGCAAATTTGGTAGCTTGGTTTAAAGCCAAGGATTTGCGGAATAAAAGCCGGAGTGGTAGTGAAGAGCAGTACGGGCGGATGGAGTCCCTTCTGACTGAAATGTGTGAAATTATTAAAGATTCCGAAGAAACAGAAGCGGAAAAAACGCCTTTTGCTGTGATAGCCCGAGAGAACTCGTCAAAGTCTCCCTGAGTTAGCCAAGGCTGGTTAAGGGCAGAGAGCAATCGGGACCAGTGACAGTCAACCAATCGCAGCGTATGATAAAATATTCGCGCCAGAGACCCATGAGATCTTCCGAAAATACTCCGAAGATCACACCATCGATTAGGATACGACATCCTTCGTAACAAAATACACAAGGCCTCTACACCAGTACTTCTATCTCGTTCTACAGTACGAACGAGATCCGGGATGCGCAAAGCCATCCGTAGGCGATCTATATCATCCTTCCGGACTCGAAACATCCTCCAACAATCCAAATCCGAGAAGCGGTCGAGATGAAAAGGTTTTTCGATCCAAGCCTCCTGCTTTTCACGGTAATACGCTTCATCCTGTCTTCTTTTAAGGAGTCTTAGTGCGGTAAATTGTCTTCTGTCTATTCGTCCTGATCTCAATAAATGGGCAATAATAAAGAAACGCATTTTCACTGAAAGAAATTTGAACTCAGATGTTAAAAATGCTGCTACGTCTAAGATCTTCCCAAAAAATTAAAAATGAAGAACGGTAATCGTGCGTGGTATATCGTACGGTCCCAAACAGTTGCGAACACACAACGTCTTCTCCGGTGCACTTCCGATACGGTCCGCACCGGACCGTATATGGTTTACCGTCTACTGTTGCTGTACGGCGAACACAATCTAATGTACTGCATCTGACGCAAGCATTAAAGTAATGCTTGCTTGCTTGCATTAAAGTAATGCTTGCGTCATATGCAGTACATTTCCGTCGCACTGGAAAACATCGTACGTGAGGCCTCTTCCTAAAACGTCTGTAGACCAAACGGTGATTACTAATTACCGCCGAATCTGCTCGCGGTACGCTGAGATGTCTTCGAATGATATGGGGTCGTTGAGGGCGAATACCAGCAGAAAGCCGTCGCCGGTCCGCATGTACTGTTCTACAAGCTCCGCACTTTTGCATTTCTCTTGGCCAGCCGTGTCCACGATATCCAGCAAGCAGGTTTCTCCATCAATCACCACTCGCTGGTGATACTCATCTCCTATGGTTGGATCGTATTCTTCCGCGAAATGGTTTTGAATTAGTTGTATAGTCACGGCAGTTTTGCCAACTTCTCCGGCACCGACGACAACGAGCTTATATTCCGTCATATTGTGCACTGGCGCGCTGATTAATAATCACAATGATTAATCCGTCTCGGCAGAATGGGATCGAAATGCTTTCCAGTCTACCGCCCATCCACCATAAATGTGATTTCTGAATGTCCAAAAGTTAAAAAAGAGACTATACAGATCCTGGTTGAGCTGGCGTAGATCAAGACATTTTAATGAATCAGAATACAAATTCATAACGAGTAATCGAGACGTCCAACAGTCCACCTCCAAAATGCAAATGGTGTGAAACAGCACGCTATCAGCAGGTACAAAATCAGGATATCCATTCATCGTAATTTAGCCTTTTAAGCTTTAAAACTTTAAAAGCTTTGTTGCATCATGCGTTGTACTACAAACTACAAAGTACGGTACAAACTGCAAAGCGTTTGGTTTATGCAGTGAAATCAAATACTGCCAGTTTTAGATAATATAAAACCATGATGCCGATTGTTTCCGGCACGTGTATAACGCACAAACTATATTAAACTGTCAGAAAAATTGTATGGAATAGAAATCTAAACTCCAAGGAGGATAGTTTTACTAATTTAATATGATGAACCGCCGAAAAATAACTATTGACTTCAACGTTCCCCTTACTACTCGTACACTCTCGTGGGTAGGAAGGAATAACGTTGATACAGTACAACTTTCAGTTGCTCACACCGCTTCACAAAGTCCAAAGAACCTCAACAAACCTTCTTGGGACTGAGGTCGAGTTGCCTGAATCCATATGGACTACGTTCGTGTTCCTTATCTGTTCAACAAAGGTCACTATGCTGCAGCAGGAATATTTACTAGTAAGGCTCTACAACAATGTCGTAATCAGCAAAGTGTACTATGCAATCTTAAATTACCAAAGCGAGCTTCGCGAAAATATCTGATATTTCAGACTTTCATCGTTCTGGCCTTTTGACACAAGTAGCAATTTAAAATTTTAAAAAATCCAACGCTTCACGTCATCTGTATGGGAATACGCATATCACGACTGACTGGACATAGTTTATCCTGTTAATTGATGCTTTTTTTTTACCCCCAAACGGTCCTACCTTTAATAAAAGCGTTTTTTTTAATTTTGCTCTTAATGAGGCGGTAGCGTATCGTGATACTGCATCATACGACGTAACCATGCATCTTTACAAGAATACATATCTGCCACATTTTTAAGTGTACATGCTAATAAATTATTCATTACAAGGTAGCCTCGCGCATCCGCGCTCGGCACTTAAGTACTGGATAGTATTGGCTTTGTTTTAAATAAATATACAAAGGCTGACGTTCGGAATTTCTGACGTTCTGACAATTTTTCACGTTCAGAAGTTCTGATGTTCTGACATTCTAACGTTCTGATGTTATTACTTTATGACGTTCTGATGTTCTTACTGTATGACGTTCTGACGTTCTGACGTTCTTACGTTCTAACGTTCTGCTGTTCGTACTTCATGACGTTCTTACGTTCCGATGTTCTTACTTTATCACGTTCTGACGTTCTAACATTCTCACGTTCTGACGTTCTAACGTTCTGACGGTGTTACGTTCTTACGTTCATACGTATTGAATTTCTGACGTTTTGACGCTCTAAAGTACGAAACACGTATGGACGTTTGCATGACGTAATAATATATAATTTTACCTAAAGAGCAAGTATTTATGCATCCGCTATAGTCTCCGTGGTTACAGACATTATGTTTTAAAGCACTTTTTATTGCTGTGCAGTGAATACTTTTTTGAGTGCTCTTTACGTTTGCTATACTTAAGACCTGGGGAAACCATCTTCTGACCACTGGTTATTAAAAACAAACAAAAATCTATTGGCACACCTATGAAAAATATGGAATTTTTTAAGACCAAGCTGGACTTAAACTGACCACGAGTTATCGAGGAGTTAAAAACGGCGCATAAATACGCTTTGGTCGGTAAGCGTGTATGAATACAAGGTAGCCTCGCGCATCCGCGCTCGGCACTTAAGTACTGGATAGTAGTGGCTTTGTTTTGCAAAGGTCATTACAAATATAAAGGCTGACGTTCGGACTTTCTCACGTTCTGACAATTTTACTTTTTCACGTTCTGACGCTCTGAGGTTCTGACGTTCTGACGTTCTGACTTTCTGACTTTCTGATGTTCTGGCGTTCTGACGTTCTATAACGTTCTGATGTTCTGACGTACTAACGTTATGATGTTCTAACGTCCTAACGTTCTGACGTTCTGACGTTCTGACGGTCTGACGGTCTGACGCTCTGACGTTCTGACGTTCTGACTTTCTGATGTTCTTGCGTTCTGACGTTCTAACGTTCTGATGTTCTGACGTACTAACGTTATGATGTTCTAACGTCCTAACGTTCTGACGTTCTGACGTTCTGACGTTCTGACGTTCTGACGTTCTGACGTTCTGACGTTCTGACGTTCTGACGGTCTGACGGTCTGACGGTCTGACGGTCTGACGGTCTGACGGTCTGACTTGACGGTCTGACGGTCTGACGGTCTGACGGTCTGACGGTCTGACGGTCTGACGGTCTGACGTTCTGACGTTCTAACGTCCTAACGTTTGACGTTCTAACGTTCTGACGTTATGATGTTCTGACGTTCTAACGTTTGACGTTCTAAAGTTTTAACGTTCTAACGTTTTGAATTTCTGACGTTTCGACGCTCTGAAATACATATGAACTTTTACATGACGTAATATACATATTTTACCTAAAGAGCAAGTATTTTTGTGCATCTGCTATAATCTCCGTGGTTACAGTCATTATGTTAGTCGTAAGTACTTTTTATTGCTGTGCAGTGAATACTTCTTCGAGTACTCTTTACGTTCCTATACTTAAGACCTGGTGAAACCATCTTCTGACCATTGGTTAATAAAAAAAAACAAAAATCTATTGGCACACCTATGGAAAATATGGAATTTTTTAAGACCAAGCTGGACTTAAACTGACCACGCGTTGACGAGCCTATTAAAACGGCGCATAAATACGCTTTGGTCGGTAAGCTTGTATGAATATAAAGAAAAGACAAGGTAGCCTCGCGCATCCGCGCTCGGCACTTAAGTATTGGATAGTATTGGCATGTTTTGGAAAGGCCATTATAAATATATAAAGGCTGACGTTTGGAATTTCTGACGTTCTGACAATTTTAATTTTTCACGTTCTGAAGTTCTGATGTTCTGACGTTCTAACGTTCTTACTTTATGACGTTTTGCCCTTCTGACGTTATGACGTTCTGACGTTATGACGTTCTGGCGTTCTGGCGTTCTGACGTTCTAATAACGTTCTGACGTTCTAACGTTCTGGCGTTCTGACGTTGTAACGTTCTAACGTTCTGACGTTCTAACGTTCTGACGTTCTGACGTCTAACGTTATAACGTTCTGATTATATGACGTTCTAAAGTTATGACGTTCTGACGTTCTAACGTTCTGATGTTCTTACTTTATGACGTTCTGGCGTTCTAACGTTCCGATGTTTTTACTTTGTGACGTTCTGACGGTGTTACGTTCTGACGTTCATACGTATTGAATTTCTGACGTTTTGACGCTCTGAAATACGTATGGACTTTTGCATGACGTACAGTAAAAATATATAATTCTACCTAAAGAGTATTTATGCATCCGCTATAGTCTCCGTGGTTACAGTCATTATGTTTTAAAGCACTTGTTATTGCTGTGCAGTGAATACTTCTTCTACTGCTCTTTACGTTTCCTGTGCTTAAGACCTGATGAAACCATCTTTTGACCACTGGTTATTAAAAACAAACAAAAATCTATTGGCACACCTATGGAAAATATGGAATTTTTTAAGACCAAGCTAGACTTAAACTGACCACGAGTTATCGAGGAGTTAAAAACGGCGCATAAATACGCTTTGGTCGGTAAGCTTGTATGAATATAAAGACAAGGTAGCCTCGCGCATCCGCGCTCGGCACTTAAGTACTGGGTAGCATTGGCTTTGTTTTGGAAAGGTCATTATTAATAGAAGTATATAAAGAAAATAGACTAAGATTGAAATCAGATCTACGCTTTCGTAGTAGTGTTTTATAAGGCGTATTAACGTTCTAAGGTTTTAATTTTTAACGCTCTGATGTTCTGACGTTCTGATGTTTCACGTTCGGATTTTCTAACGTTCTGACCTTCTGACGTTCTTAACTTCTGACGTTCTTACTTTCTGACGTTTTTTCACTTTTCACAATCTGACATCCTGATGTTCTGACGTTCTAACGTTTTGTTATTCTGACGTTCTGAATTTCTGACATTTTGACGTTTTTAATTTTTCACGTTCTGAGGTTCTGACCTTTTGACGTTTTATTTTTCACATTCTGACGTTCTGCTGTTCTGACGTTCTAACGTTCTGACGGTCTGATATTCTGGCGTTCTGAACTTCTGACGTTCTGACGTTTTTAGTTTTTTACGTTCTGACCTTCTGACGTTCTAATGTTCTGACGTTCTAACGTTCTGATCGACCGAAGCGTAGCGAAGGTCTTCTGTGTTCAAGGAAAATGAAAAATGTGGTGTCTGTGCGTCGGTCACCGCCACCAAATGCACATATGCGCGGTGGTATTTGTCGACCGGAGCGCAGCGAAGGTCATCGACCGGAGCGCAGCGAAGGTCATCTAATTCAGGCGAAATGAAAAAGTGTCTGTCTGTCTGTTTGTTACGGAAGTAAACGATGACGTCATAAGCGGAAGTAAAAAATGACGTCATAGTTCTGCTCCAAACGTCCCTGGCGAATACGGGATTATGATTAAATTTTATGAGTGGATGTGCGCTGTTTATATAGGTACACTGCTGTATTGAAAAGCATTGTAACTACGCCATAGGTCATGAATACGACGACATGCATCGGCATCCCAAATACCTCAAATTAAAGCTTTTTTAAACCTAAAAGCGGACATGTCTGCTGTGATGATCGAGTGGCTACTGGCAATTCATCACAGCATATTTCAGCTACTGCCAATGACTAAACGAGACTCCCATCGACCTCTGGACTTTTCTTAGAGCAAATCTGACCTCGGGATCATTTTCAGCGCATTTTTCTGATATAGAAACCATTTTTCAAAATTGTTTCTGAAAGAAAAAATTTCGACTGTCGGGGCCCCAT